CAAATATCTCGGCCTAGACTTGGATGTGGTGGGTTTCTTTCCTTTGCTCTGGGTAGCTGTCCGTACTCTACGGCCGCCACATTGACAAGCTAGAAAACTACGCCTGTATAGCAGATGCGAAAAACCGCATAAGAAAGAGTCTTTCTTTAGGTTAGCTGACACAGTCCAGCTGATCTCTCACACGGCACAATCGAATACCTACGTATAATCTACAGTAACACGCTCAAAAGCCCGGGAGTAACCTATTTGCAATCTACCCAGATCGTCGAATCTCCATATGGAGTCCTTGTGCAACCCGTCTCCTAGCATCTGCCCTTTGCTTTAATGCGGCCATTCCTATTACGGCATTCGAGCCTAATTGGGGGCGTATTTACTTTACTGATATATGCCTTATAGTCATGGAATGGATACGCGCAGGGAATGATATTAGCGTGCCCTGATTCCTAAAACCCCGTGCAGGGCGAAAAATCGCCCTAGAGGCAACATTCCACGAGTTCTTAGCAGAAAAAAAAAGGGCAAAAAAGCAACATAAATAACGCGCTGTGCTTCTTTTCCTCGGATTATTATCTTGACCTGTTCGACTTTTCTTTTCGGCCCTACACTCGCCCTCCCTCCCACCTCGGCCTGCCTCCGCCATTATGGTCAACCTTTTCCTCTTGTGTATAGCTACACTTGCCAGCGCCTATCCAGCATGTGACAGTACATGTGCTAGCGCTTATCCGGACCCCGGCTCTTGTATAGGGAACTGCTGGACACATGATCCTTCCATGATCCAGCGCGAGTTGGATGGCATATACTTCCGCTTCTCGACTGGGTACGGTGTTAACACCATGGTCTCGCCCTCGCTCGAGGGTCCATGGGTGGATTGGGGTGCAGCGCTGCCGGGTGGCTCAAGCATTCAGCTGGAGGGTGTCGACAGCACGGACATTTGGGTATGCGAGTTGAACCCCGATTTTAACAATATGTATTTATGATTAACACGAAAACTATCAGGCTCCAGATCTGCACTATGAGGATGGCATCTACTACATGTACTACGTGGTGTCTAAGCTCGGCACGCAGACCTCGGAAATTGGCGTGGCGACCTCTACGACTATGGAACCGGGGACATGGACCGATCACGGCGTAATTGGCCTGCCCCCAAATGACGCCTACAACCGCATCGATCCCAATTGGATCACTATTGACGGCAAGCAGTACCTACAATTTGGCTCCTACTGGGAGGACCTCTTCCAGGTCGAGCTAGCTAGCCCGCTGGAGGTTAGCACTGCCAACCCGCCGCACCAGCTAGCCTATAACGCCAGCCTGAACCACCGAGAGGAGGCCGCGTTCATGTTTCAGCATGGCGATTACTACTATCTCCTATTTAGCGGCGGTATTGCAGGCTCGTACACGGCGACTTACCCAGATCCAGGTGAGGAGTACCGTATCCATATGTGTCGTTCGACGAGTGGAACCGGAGACTTTGTAAGTGCGATTCGCCATAATATAACTAAGGAGCCTCTAACCGGTTTCCGTACAGTATGACAAGGCTGGTACTTCGTGCTTGGAATCTGGCGGCACTATCTTACTAGAGAGCCATGACCAGATCTACGCCCCCGGTGGACAGTATGTGGCCCATATCCCTCTCCTAGCACACCTATAACACTATACGGGCAGCCTGCTAACAAGACTTCCCAGGGGTGTCCTCAATGATAAGGTTCTCGGCCACGTCCTATACTATCAGTACTATCCGCTCGCGACGAAGGAGGCGGGTGGAGATGGTGACGCCGGCTACACGTACGGCTGGAACAAGCTGGGCTGGGAGGACGGCTGGCCGTACGTGAAGGCCACCTGAGCGTGAACCGCCTGGACACTGCATCGCGTGTTCTTCTGTCCTGTGTGACAACGTATTGTAACGATTGGCAGTGTATACCGGGCTTGATAGCGGGGACGAGATTCATTTCTTTGTTGTGGTCTTTTCTTCTTCTAAAAAGGCGTTGTTGATGTTTTCCCGGTGATATTGTATCACATGACTAAAGTCACGTGGTTACGGTAGATAGTCGGAGGCTAACGCCCACGCACGTCTTCTTGTTTCCTTTCCTACACTTAATATTTTGTTTTTACACGGTTTCCTATATTCTGTTCTGGTTTGTTACATAATAGAGACCCCGACAAAGCCCGTCGCGGGTTCCAAGATCTTAACCCATCCCCGGCCCGTCGGCCCGTACCCGCGGGTTGCTCGCCGAGAACTGACCGGGGCAAGAACATGTCGCGACTCTCTGGCATAGTTCAGGCATGGAAACCATCCGTGAGAGAAGTCTATTTGCTAATCAACCAAGGATGGACTCTCATCTCCAACAAACGAAAGGCCCCCAATAACTAGTACACATTGATGATCATTTCTAGTCACTAGTAGATCCTAGAGAGTTTCCTATCTATCGAGCGAGCAGTATGTCAACTTCGTTGTGATACGAGGCTGGTGCAGATCAGGAACCAAGCCATGCGGCATCATCAGAAATAATACCTTCACAATTATCTATACGAAAAATCAAGTTGGTTTCCAATTGACTTAGACCTCATATTGTAACTATATATAATTCTTTAGCCATCTGAGTTCTCCCTAGACGGTACGCAAGGGTTGAGGGGAATGATTCTATGAGCAATAGTTTCGAAACAAGCTAAGGTGTGGGTGGTGGTTGGTTTTTCAGTAGATACTGACATGCTAATTGTGTGAACCTCCAATCGGACTTGGATGTTGTATTTGATCCATGGATTTGTACATATTACCAAATATCCGTTGTATTGAACCTTTCCTCTGACATTACTCCAGTAGCCAGTCAATGGCGTGATTAACAAGAGCCTCGCTGGTCACTTGTTCGTCATGTAATAGGTCTGATAGGCCCTGAACCCCAGAACTGAGTTCCATATGATCGATTATATGAGAAGGACCAGGGATCTTTAGATTGTCCGCAGTAGAGTCGATGTCTGCACTCGTATGACGCGTAGTGATATGTTCTGTGCCCGCCTCAGGCTGCGTTGCTGGCATTTGGCGCTCAGAGAGATCGGAAGAATGCTCAGTCAAGAATCGGGACATCCAGTTATCAAGCACGAATGGATCTGATATCGCATCCTGGCAGGAGTTCTGGAACTTTCGTAGTCGTGCCACCTAAAGGTAGGTTAATTTGGTTTGTGGCTGGGTCAAATTCGACACATACAGAATGGTCAACCACAGGCCAATATGATTTGATTCTCATCAGGTACTCAAAGTTCGAGACGAGTCGTTGTCGTGCGATAGCAAGTTCCTCGGCGTTATCACTGAAGAGCAAAGCGTGCAGGTGAACACAGGAACTGATCACAGCAATGTGGCCATAAATGAAGTAATTCAAATCGCAGCCTTCGATGTCCGTGCTATGTTTTATTATTTCGGAGACGGTGTTCGCACTTTGCTTGCATTGGGCTGCTCCTTGTGGAAAGTTTGGGGTATTCCGGTTGCTGCGTGCGTCCAGGAAAGGGAAAAAGAGCATTTGGCGGAAGTGATGACGCCCAATATGCATTGCTAGAAATGTTCGACCAAGGCGATTTTTGACGGAGGATAGAATGTTTTCCATGTTGTATTGTAGATTTGGGGGCAGGTTTTGTTCCCACTCATCCAGGCTGTTCTCCAGCTTGGTCGCCTCCATGCAGTAGTCACTGAACGGTATCAGGCTTTGACTTAGCCGTCGAAGGAGTGCACTGGTCTTATTGAAAATTTCGAGCGTCTTTGCCATTTGCGCCCACATATTGCATGGTGAGGTCGTCTGTGGCGGATCTGGGTCGAGGCTGGCAAAGGCCACATCATCAACTTCCAGGGGTGTATATTCTGGGCCATGTGTGAACGATACAGACTCGATCGACATGTCTGTGGCTGTCCAATGACTGGCAATATGGACCGAGAGCCAAGTGCGACGATACTCCTCTTGACGCATGATAGTGGCACCATTTGGAATATCTGGCATCCCCAAAGCCTCTGCATGCAGCCTAGCGAGTCCACTGTAGATGTGCTTTGCTTTTGTGTTGCCTTCCCCGCCGTAGTAGTAGCCGATCAATATTAGGGCCTGTACCGTTTCCAGGCTGGGTGTAGTGATGTACTGCTGAATGAGACTCTCCACTGCGGACGCACCTAGCTTCCCCCGCTGACCACGGGCAATATCATGATAATGTGGCTGGTTGGAAAACCTTTCAGCCATTGCGTACATGGCATACACCAAAATTTTGGGTGCTTTGCTTTCATGTAATTGACGCATAAAGCCTCTTTCGTGGAACATTGTATGGGCCACATTGTGAATGTAGCGAAAGTACAAAGTAGTCAATTCATGGGAGAGCTCCTGACCGGTTTGGGCGGACATCTGTGGAAGATCCATCCTCCTTTGGAGGCTGCTTGACTGACTAGGGAGCCCAGTGGGTTCTTCAAGACTGCATGGAGCTGAGATAGACTGACATGGTCCGCAAGTACGGCCATCTTCTGCTGGGACGCATCGTCTTTTTCGTGTGCTGGCTTCTTTAGTATCACACCATCCGCATATCATACCGTACCTACCGGCAGCTCACGCAGGCTCCCGCCCTTGTCCTCTTAAGGGGGAGCTGCATATATGACAGCGAGTAAAGAAAGTATATTTATCAAGGCTCAGAAGAAGGCTAAACGAGAGAAATACAGAACAACATACATTGAAGCCCTTGAGGTCCCGAGTTCGGCTTGATGCTGAGTCATCCTGTCCATAACGTCCATTCCTTGGAAATAGTTGCACTCCAGCTTCCAAGGTTGTATGTATCAGCTGGATCAGCGAGAAGTGGAATTTGAATTAAATGGTCGAGAAAACTAGTGTCTGGTACTTCCGACAAACAGCCGTTTTATACTACCTATCGACCTATCGACCTATCGTCCGATCTCATTTGCTCAAATCACGTTGTGGACTCAAATTTAGCCTCTATTTTAACCAGTTATATCCGGAATTCCCGTGTGACCTAGTCGTCTAGCGCTCTCAAAGATGACCATCGCATACTCGTTCGAGAAATTCCTCCCCGATCACGCCCAGATGAACCTGCCAGGGATGTGTTAGGCTAATCAACGCGAGAAGGAAGATTCGATTCACAATGCCGTTCCCGGTTTTAGCAACCGGGTTGGCTTCAAGGCCGACAATCACGGTGTCCTGATCTGTGGGACTGAAAATTTGCTGCATTACCTCTTCAAACACGGAGCAAATTTCGGCAATGAGCTCTCCTCTTCCCACTCTGTCGGCCGCCTTCTTATACACTGTACCGCATGTCAGTAGAAATAAACGGGGCGTGACCCGTCGGGCTATCAAATTACCTACCTGTCAGTATTCCCGCTGCGTGGGAGAATATCCAATACTACCGAGAGATCCGTCAGCCATACGCTCTGACAAACAAAAGACGAAGAGTGGGATATAAGACAGATACTTTGGTAGCAGATCACAGAAGCTTCTGTTGGTGTCAAGTCGCTTGTTTGGAGCACCGGATAGCCCAATGAAGCCATCAGAGCTCTGCAAATACCGTCTAGGCTCCGTCGTGCTTTCTGTGGTGGGGAATTATTTAGAATCTTCACTGCAGTCTCCTGGGTACGACATACCCCGGCATTAAGCGATTAAGGTCCTGACCATCGAAAGAACGTACTGGGAAAAAAAGACACAGAATCTTTGATACCTTCGCCTTCTCTCTACATATTTCCCAACTAACAAAGCTACTTATACTTCAATCTACCAAAGGCAGCACCTAGCAACTATCAAGATAAACGGTTATCTATCATTTATCAAGACGCTCCCGTCGACGACCTGATTCACCATCTGCCCTGTATGCGAACTAGTATGATGTCCCACTCTATCCGTACAGCAGACCCGTCAACTTCACGAGAGACAAGCTAAGGGGCTATCCGGGCCGTGTTGATACCGAGCCACAGCTTATATGCAGGTACAAGGTTGAAGAGTGTATAGAGATCAAGGAGATTTACCAGTAAAATGGGCCATTGAGTGGAAATCCAAGATATATACGAGGACATTCGATGACTTCGCCAACTACCGTTACTCCTACTTTACCGTCGGGCTCATAAATCAACAGTTCACTACAGACCTGGCATCGGACTCTCGTCGACAATGCATCTATCAATAGGTCATATTTGTACTCCATATAGGATAATGTAAAGGAATAAATCCCAGTCATACAGGACCAAGACACAACCTGAACGGCATAAGCGCAAAATGTGTTTGGTAGAGTAAGATACAAGCCGCAAGGAATCAGGTCGTCACTGCAGAACTATGCAGCGGGGGTGCATAAGAGAGTAAATGGGGTCCCTATGTCATTTCACTTCGCGCCCAGCACCACTTATCGAGTCAAGTTATACTTTCCCACTCGATTGTTTGGTCCATTATCGTGAAATCCGCGTCCTCCCCTTCCCCTTTTCTTCTTCATAGTTCGTCGTCATCTTCATCTCGTCCCCCTTAGACGGTGTACTTGGCCTTGGCGCGCGTGCTGCCGCTGTGTGCGCTGTCGGTGTGACCAGAGAATTCCACCACGTCGGCCTCCTTCAGTCGGAGGACGTCCTTGAATCGCTGTCCGATCGCCTCGAGGATCTCCTTGCCCTGCGCGGGTGTGCGGGTGTTCTTATCGCCTTGGATGCTCTTGCCGACGGTGCGTGTCCATAGACCCACTCGGTAGAATCCCTTGCGCACATTCACAACCACTCCCATGACTTCGTTGTCGGCGTCGCTCTCGAGGGTCTCGCCGATCGCGGACAGCTGTGCGTGCAGCCACAATTCGTCGATGGGGACCGATCGCTTGTCCTTGAATTGGTACGACCACTTGCCACCGTGCTTGTTCTGGGGTCTTCCCACTCGGGCCGTACGCCCTTCTTGAAAAGATGGTAGTCGGCCTTGAGACCGAGTTCGGAGGTAGGAGTGATGTTGTTCTAGAGGCGGGTGTTAGTGCTGGGAAGTGATAAGTGATTGGGCTGGACATACGTAGATGCCCCAAAATTCTTCGACGGAGCTGAAAGTGACCACTTCCTTGAGGAGGTCGTTCCAGTTATCGCCCTAGTAAATCCATCAGTATCAACTCAACAAAATCATCAAATATAGTTTACCTTTCCGCTAGGGGGCTTGGTGAACCAGAGGGTCCATTCGTGCATCAGAGGGTGCTTCACGTTGAAGTCCTCGGCGTTGTGGAAGACGGTGACCGGCTCTCCGGACTCAACCTTCTCGACAGGTGCAGAGTTCTCATCGGCGACAGCCGGGGTACCATTCTCGACGACGGCCATGTTGCGTGATGTGGGGGGAGGGAAGAAAGGTTGAAGATGTCGGATGAAAGGCGGAAGAACTTTTTAGGGGAAAGCGCAATCGGCTTTCACACAAAGAAAAGAAAAGATAGATGAGAGGAGAGAAAGGTCTGCTCCAGGCAGTGAATGGTGAGTCGACAATTAACCGCAAAGATGAAGTTTTGAAGTTCGACAAAAATTGCCTTCCGACGAACATCACCGCTTTCCGAACCATACAGGAGATCAATAGATCACTTTCTACATTCAAGTCTCTTTTTTTTTTTTTATTGGTATTTTTACTTTCTCATTTCTCATTCCTCGCTTTGTCTCTTCTAAGAAATGAATAACTTATTATTCTAACAATACAACCTGGATACTATTGACCGAATACATGTATAACCAACCGAATTCTATATGAAGCGCCATGTGAAAAGCAGAGAAAATATGACAGAAAAGTAGGTCAGGGTATCTCTAAATCAAGTCCTCTAGTTATCCTCACCGCTGTTCATAATGCTCAGCAGGCAGTTCCAACCTGCAGTATTATGTTAGTACTGATCGACTCGAATGAACCTTGGAGAAGAGTACTCACCTAAGCTGACCACGTTGACCACCAGTACACGCAGTTCTGGGGGCACAAGAGCAAAGTTGGCACCTTGTACAAAGGGCCACACCATCAGGTTGGCCTGGTAGGCAGGAGCGAAGGCACTGCGCCATTTCTCCCCGGGGTCACTGCCCTCCATGATAGCCATCGAGGACAAGAAAACAGTGAGTTGAGTTGGGGCAAACACGGCCTGATCAGCCGCGACACGCGCTATGGTTGTGGCGGTTGCGCTCTTGAGGACCACATGGCGCTGGAGGATGCCGAACCAGGTGGTGGCTACAGGACCGAAGACGGCTAGACAAACAATATGTGAGCAATTGCAGAGCTTTCAAAGGTAAGAAGTGTGACCTACCTCCACCGTAGAGAGCCATGCGCCCAGTTCGGGCAAAGTCGTGCTTCTCGAGACCTCGGCGGTCAACCGCTTGCTGTGCTAGGACATCACCGCTGCCGAATAGGATCTGTGTTTGGATGAGTATGAGTATGAGGAATTGGTTGAGAAATCGAGGGTCGTACTGCACTGGTGATGCTCGCGGTGAGGATGGGCTTCTTGGCCAACTTGGACTGGTACCTGAGACCAAGGTTAAGACGTGAATTCAATTCGTGGTGAACAAGGGGCTTACCAGCGAAGCATGATGGCAATGGAAATGCTTATAGACAAGCACCACAAGACAAGAAAGTAAGAGAACGCTGGACGAATGTAAGGGAGCTGGGGGAACGAGGATCTTTAAATTGCGGAGAACAAAGATGCCCTGTCGCATTACCCAGTTAGGAAATGCAGCCGCCAACCAGATTTTGCAGTGACGTAGATGGAGGATTTGATTTACGCAAGTTATCAAGCATGAATTGGTTGACTAGAGTGAAATTTTGATCAAGTATTACACATTACACACTCCCAACTATTCATCTTAAACATACACATAGTTGTAGCTAACCGTATTGATGTAGTTACAGTAGCAGTCTAACGTTATCTCTTTAGATCTAGCCCGGTCACATGACCTTCTGTTATCGTGCACGTGCCGCATCCCGATTTGGACTTAGGGCTTAGGTCTCCACTAGGGCTCTCACTCGCTTAGCCCACCCGCGCAAATTTCGGGTCAACAGAGTGAGCCGTGAATACCTCGACGACCATCCTCAATTCGACAACCCTCCTCGTCACTCAAAAACATCAAAATGGCTGACGCTGCTCCCCGTGGACGTGGTGGTTTCGGTTCGCGCGGCGACCGTGGTGGTGACCGTGGCCGTGGCCGTGGTGGTCGCCGTGGCCGTCGTGGCCCCAAGCAGGAGGAGAAGGAGTGGCAGCCCGTCACCAAGCTCGGCCGTCTCGTCAAGGCCGGCAAGATCACCTCCATGGAGCAGATCTACCTCCACTCTTTGCCCGTCAAGGAGTACCAGATCGTTGACTTCTTCCTGCCCAAGCTCAAGGATGAGGTTATGAAGGTACGGATCGACAAATACACCGGGAGGAATGGGATCGGAATCGAATTGCGACAATTGCGCACAATTGCGCAATGAGAAAACGAGCTCTTTCTGCACCCATCGAATCAGCATAAGAGATCAAGAACTAACGTTCAATTTCAACCTACAGATCAAGCCCGTCCAGAAGCAGACTCGTGCCGGTCAGCGTACCCGTTTCAAGGCCATCGTCCTCATCGGTGACTCCGAGGGTCACATCGGTCTCGGTATCAAGACCTCTAAGGAAGTTGCCACCGCCATCCGTGCCGCCATCACCATCGCCAAGCTCGCTGTCCTCCCCGTCCGTCGCGGTTACTGGGGTACCAACCTTGGTGAGCCCCACTCTCTGCCCGTCAAGCAGAGCGGCAAGTGTGGTTCCGTCTCCGTCCGTGTAAGTAGCCTTTGGCAGGAATTCGACGATACAGGGAAGTCGGTTTCTAACGGATTGTCTAGCTCATTCCCGCCCCCGTGGTACTGGCCTTGTCGCCTCCCCCGCCGTCAAGCGTCTGCTCCAGCTCGCCGGTGTCCAGGACGCCTACACCTCGTCCTCCGGTTCCACCAAGACCCTTGAGAACACCCTCAAGGCCACCTTCGTCGCTGTTGTCAACACCTACGGTTTCCTTACCCCCAACCTCTGGGCCGAGACTAAGCTCATCCGCAGCCCTCTGGAGGAGTTCGGTGACGTCCTGCGCCAGGGCAAGAAGTACTAGGTCCGCCATGATGCATGATTTTTGTTCCACAATTCCAACGGGTTTCTTTTAAAAATTATCTCCCTCTGTGCTTGGTGAATTATCGTGTGCGGGAGACATCCCGTACCACTGGATGTATCTAGAAGGGACACAAAATAGCGAAGTCCACGGTCATTGCCAGCCAGATATGCGTCTGTGTAGGATTTACCTCTCTGTAGGTGTAGAGTGTAGCGGTTGTACCTCGAGCAGAGCCTCATGCACACTATTTGTAGTCTAAACCTTATTTTGAGTCTACGTCAAGTCGAGTCCTTTACAGCTGGGAGAGACGTGGCATTTAGGGAAGAGCCAGTACTGTTCAATGGCATTAGTTGACGCTGCTATGTCCATATCAATCCAGTCCAACTCCATCGGTCTGCATTGAAAGTCCCAGTCCCAACATGATTGGCTCGACATGAGTAGATAGTATACGAAACATGATAGAGAGTGTACACGTGCAGTTAAAGACATAGATATACAATCAGTACGTCTAGGAACGAACTCCAGGCAATGCTACCTAAGTCTGCTGTTCAGCTGAGAGTACAACTCATCAGCGTGGCAGGGCAGTGGTACCTGGCGACACCTTCCTCTCCAGGTTGTTTCCCTCTGTACCTCTACTCCCCTCTTCTGTTCTCTCTCTCTATCTACTTCTTGTCTCTTCCCTTCACTTCCTCTGATATCTCCTTTGTACTCTACCTCGGTTCAGATGTAAACGTACATCATGGAGGAGTATCCAGCCCACTGGAAAAGCACTCTCATGGGAGTGGATTTCTGGAAAGACGCCGCCGCCTATGAAGATGAGGTCGCTAAAACGCTTCAACGAGGTAAGAGGTTGTTTGTTCTTTGTTTCCTCGCATCTTGCCTGTACCATCCAAAGACGAGGTCCCGCTAACTTCTCCAGCCCTAACTCTAGACCTGCATACCCAATTCCCCTTCAACATGGGCACTGAGCAAGGCCCTCGTCTCCAGGATGTCCCCAAGATACAGCGCCATCTGAGTGCGGTAGAACTTCCTGCACTTTCTGGTCTTCGACGTCGTTCTAGCGTGAAAGGTACTACTGCGCGTATCAAAGGTCTTGCCCGCCATGTGCGAACTCCTTCGTTTATTGCGCCTCCGTCGGCTTTGGATCTGAAGTTATCACTTGATACTACTTCCCAGGTAGTCAGTGATTCCAAAAGTACTACTGTTCGGGCCGTTGAGATCTTGTCTCGTTCTCCGAATACTTCCATCGATTTTCCTATTACCTCAGGTCTGGCTACGCCTGTCAAACCGATTCAGTTCTTCCGCGGCGGTCCATCTTGGGGGGAGCTTCCCAGAAGCAAGGCGACTCTGGGACTGGATTTGTTCTCTAGTATTGAAGAAGAAGAAAAGGATGATGACATCCTTGCTATCATTGAGCTGAAGCCGCTGTGTGAGTTTCGGAACCTTCGTTCCCTCAAGCTCACCGGTATGCTGCGCTCGTACCAAGTGTACATTTGGCAGGCTGTTTGGCTGAATCCCAACCTTGAAGCTCTGCATTTGGCTATGGCGCTTGAGCCGGGTATTCTTTCCATCCAGAGCACCGAGTGGAAACAGATCAAGACTGGTTGGAAGATGAGTGGAAAGCAGTATGCTTATCCGGTTTACTAGTCAGTGTATCTTGTCCAAACGTTGTGGTACCTGACTCATTGTTTCTAGTGGACATTACGGCACTGGCGAATTGAACCCAGACATTGGATACGGCGAGTATCTCGACAAACATGCCATCGAAAAGGCCAAGATCTGTGCGATGGCTATGGGCCCCACTTCGAAACGTCTGGGGATCAAGACCATCTCGCTTTCCGGCTTCGTCGTTGATGCTGACCCATTCTTGCACTGGTTTGATCCGGAGAAGCTGCGGACTATTCATTTCAAGGCACACTGTGTGGATGCAGGATTGTGGTTACCTCGCAACATGCGGAATGTCACTATTCGCCTGTCTAAGCCTTTTGACTTGGAGGCTGTTCCCATTGGCATTGTCACACTGAACTTGTTGAAGGATCTGAGCATGATCACGTTGGTGAAGGGGCGCAAGGTGAGCCAGGTTGCGTTTGAGCATTGGGATACAGAGGAGTGGGACAGTCTTTTCAGTCCCATGTCCAGATCTACTTCTGGATGAGATCCTACATTCACGATTCACGATTCATGCGGCGCTCAATACCCAGGGACGGGGTGGTACTTTTCAAATATTATTCAATTGAGAGGCAAATTGCCAGTTAACCTTAAGTACATTTAACGAAATGCAGAAGCGAAAGAAACAATAAAAGAAAGTACTTCCGACTGATGTAGAGAGGAGAACAGTAACTTATGACGAGCGTAATCACCCAAAGCAGCAAACACATTCTGATCAACCGAATAAAGCACACAGATATCATCCTTCAAGTCATAGTCTGCAGAGCAACACAATTTGCTTAAGCACCCTCTTCCTCGATACGAATGGCGCCTTCGTTACCAATACCACGGGACCAGAATCCGTCCATGTACAGGGTACTGTAAAAGTTAGTATATGTACATATACATAGATAAAATCAACCGCTTACATTTCGGGCGAACTATCATGTGCCAAAAGAAGCCAGTACCCAATAATTCCCTGAGTAAAGATATCCAGAATGGCAAAGAGGATAGTCTCCGTATTGACGCTAAGCTGGAGAGCGAGAGGTCCAGCCGCGATCGTACTATACAATATCGTCAGCACTTTCTTCCTTATCCACAATGGAAGGTTGAAGATTGAAAGACATACATAGGGAACAAAGCCAACACAACAATCGTCGAACCAGAAAGAGCCCCGAAGAACCGTCTCGTGCTCGCATCCTTCACCCTGGCTGCTCTCTGTGCGTGGAATCCTACATGGTGGATCACAACCAGGTAAGCGATACACGAAATAGTAAGCCAGACCCAGCGCTCGCGGCTGTGATTCGCATATGTACCGAGGAGTCCGGCTGAGAGCATGACCAGGTCGGCGACTATGGCCAGGAGGAGGTTTGCGCCTGGGAGGCCTGAGATGAGAGCGAAGTTTATGAAGAGGAGGGGGGTTGTTAGGGCCCAATTTAGGTAGCGGAGCCAGAGGATCTGGCGGAAGATTGTTGTTGTTGTGTCTGGGACGTGTTTGTGGCTTTCGTGGATTCTGTTGTAGCTGTAATTGCTTCCGAGATTTGTGGCCAGGGCTAGGTAGACTATGAAAGAGATTGTTGTTGTTATGGAGGCTAGGGTGTGGAAGATTCGTTTGGGCTGGCTGTGTTAGCTGGTGTACTCTTCATGTATGGGTGGTTTATAGGTGGTGTAGAGTATAGAGTCTCGAGTGATGTATAGATGTGGGGATGTTGCAGATCCGGGGTAGACGATCAACTCACCAAGGGAGAGCGAGCTGCCAGGAGATAGAACACCAGCGAGGAAATGCCCATCAACACAGTCACAACCCTATTATTGTTAGCATCGTACTGAAATCATGTAGAAACACTTACCAGAGAGTCCGCATGCCCACATCGTGGATCTCCTGCCAGGTCTCGGATCCGGGGATCACAGTGGGGATGGGCGCCACCGAAGAGGTGGTGGCCGGGGCCGTCAGAGACGGGAATTCGTCAAATGGAGGATAAATCATGATGGATAGCTATGAGGATTGAAGCATTGAAGGAGGAAGAAACGAAAGAAGAGTGAAGTGGCAGAGGAAGTGGCATGAGTGGGTAAATCAGGTTCATGATTGGCAAAAGCGTCATCAAAGTTGACTTGTCGTCATACACAGAACTTGTTCTTTCTTGTTACTTGCTACTGTTATTGTTATTAATGTTGGTTCTTTCTATAATATTTGCTACAGTTATTGGTGACACAGCGTAAGAATGGAATAATTATAGCTTCAAACTGCATCAAGTCTATAGTACAATGGTATACATGCATATCAAGCATTTGCCTCTAGTTCACCCACCACTGTCTCACACCGGTCGCAGATCGTATTTTCCGCCACTGGTTCCACAATAGCATACCGCCAGCATCGTGGGCATTTACCTGCCTGTGGCGCGTACACGTGCACTGTACCCGGTTGGCCACCGAGCTCGATGGCCTGTTCGTATTGCCATTCAGCCTCGGCGATTTCGGTGATAACAGGGTCGGCATGGGATGCCAGGGTGATGGAAGACACGACAAAGAGGTCGGGGAGCTCGGAAAGGTACTGGCGGAATAAGCTTGAGCTGCTAGGGAGAGCGATGTGCACGAATGATTGCAGGGATGAGCCAAGTTGCTTTTTGCTGCGGGCTTGCTCTTGCAGGTTCTTGATGGCGGAGTGTACCACTGTCAGCTCCTGGTAGCTGATGTCCAGGGAGACATCCTGCCATTCCGGTGCGGGCGCGGAAACGATGCGCTGCAAGGGGTGCTCGGTGTGAGTGCGGATAGCCTCGGGTGTGTGTTCCCACGTTTCTTCCACGAGCATCGGGGTGATGGGGGCCAACACCTCTTGGAGATGACGGTAGACGTAGAACAAGGTCGTTTGAGCAGCCCGGCGGCTCATGCTGTCTGCGCCCAAAGTGTAAAGTCGGTCCTTGATCGCTTCCATATAGAAAGCGGAGAACTCGAGATTGGCCCATCGGTTCATCGTGTTGACAGCCTTGTAGAATTCAAAGTTGTCACATGCTTTCTGAGATGTGAGAACCATGTCCGAAAGGTGCTTCAAGGCAATCCGATCCACCAACTGCAGCTGCTCATATGGGACAACGCTATCGGGTCGGAAATCGGCGAGGGCACCTAGGAGTAGCTTGAACGTCACACGGAACTTGTGAAGACTGGTGTTGACAGTCTGGAGTACCTGCTTTCCAATCACCACGTCCCGCGTGTAGTCGCTGCTTGCCGCCCACATACGAAGTGCATCGGGGCCAAGTGCGTCGTACACAGGTTCTGGGTTCCCTGTTTGCTTCTTTCCTTTGCCCTTGCGGGGCTTGAGAGGAGGCAGCAAAGTTCCGTCCATGATGGTCTGCGGCGCAATAGTGTTGCCAATGGACTTGCTCATTTTCCGGCCATGTTCATCCAGGGTGAAGCCGTGGGTGATGAGGTTCTTGAACGGAGCACGAGGTGTTGTACCCTGGTCGGAGCCGAGTTGGTGCGAGATGTAGGTGAGAAGGCCAGATTGGAACCATCCGCGGTGCTGGTCGCTACCTTCGAGATACACATCAGCAGGGTGACTCCGGCCTTCAGTGGGGACATCGATCTCTGCCCAGCTGGTACCGCTGTCAAACCACACGTCCATGGTGTCTGTTCCACGTCGATACCCTGCTCCAGGCTCATTCCGCAAAGTCAGAGGAATCCATGCAGCATCGTCGCCACTATCGGTCCACCAAGCATCGACGCCCCGCTCTTCAATCGTGGCCATGATGTGTGAGACGCTGTCTTTGGTTAGGACGGCCTCTCCAGTGGTCCGATGATAGATGGCGGGAATGGGAACACCCCATGAGCGTTGTCGTGAGATACACCATTCACTTCGATTCTTCACAAAGTTCTCCAGTCGCTGCTTTCCAGTTTCAGGGACGAACCGAACATCCTCCAAGGCTCGAAGAGCACTACCACGGATGTCGGCCACGTCGGCAAACCACTGCTCGGTTGCCCGAACAATGATCGGAAGCTTCGAACGCCAGTCGTAAGGGTACTTGTGCTCGTACCGATGTTGTGCGAGCAACTGATCACAAGATTTGACATATTCCAAAACTGCGGTGTTACCTTCTCCTAGAACAGGCTTTCCAGTCAACCGAGTAGGATCTAGGGGCATGGCTTTCTCCGTGAATCTGCCCTCATCGTCGACAGGAGCAAATACGGAAATTCCGCGTGCAAGGCAAGCCTCGTAGTCATCCATTCCGTGACCTGGTGCGCAGTGAACCATACCGGATCCAGAATCAGCAGTGACAAAGTCTGCGGCGATGATGGGCTGGGGTTGAGCTTCTGGGCCCTTGAACAGAGGTCGATACATAGTTTTCTCTGCCAACTCCGAGCCCATGACAGACGGGATAATGATAGACAAGTCCTCATTCAGTATGTTCTGGAGGTACTCGAACCGGGACTGGGCGATGAGAAGGTGGCCATGGTTGTCAGACTGGACAATAGTGTATTCCAAAGACTCGTGGACAGCAATGGCAGCGTTGGCAGGTAGCGTCCAGGGGGTTGTAGTCCAAATCACAGCACTCAATTCATTTCCCTTGAGAAGAGGGTCCTCGGCAAGGTGTTTCGGAATATTGACCAGAGGAAATTTGACCAGCGCAGCGGTAGAGACATGGTCCTCCTTGTATTCCAGCTCTGCTTCCGCAAGAGCCGTCCCTGTTGAAGGCGACCAGTACACTGGCTTGAACTTGCGGTAGATAAGACCTCGATCAACCATTTCCCGGAAGATGCCTAGCTGGCGCATCTCGAATTGTTTGTCCATCGTCTTCCAGTGGTTCTCCCAGTCGGCCATGACTGCAAACCCGCGGAACCCCTTCATCTGCTCCTTCACGGTCTGTCGAGCCAGCTGGCGCGCTGATTTGCGAATTACAGCTGCGCTGACCGACCCGTCGGCAATTTCCATCTCGCGCAGACCTTGGAGCGCCTTGAGTTCGATCGGCAGCCCATGGCAGTCCCATCCTGGCACGTAGCGCACCCTCTTCCCCCGGCTTAATTGTACGCGACAAATTATATCCTTCAAGATCTTGTTAAGCGCATGTCCAACGTGCAATTCACCGTTCGCGTATGGCGGGCCATCGTGGAGGACGAAGGGATTCTCGGCCGGTCTTTCGCGGCGTTGCCAGGCGTAGAGGTCATCGGTGCACCGTTTTAGGTATTTAGTCTGATCGACAGGCGAAACTCGAGGTGGAAATGACGACTTGGGAAGCTTCAGCGTCGACGTCCAGGAACGGGGAATCGACCGCGCCAGTTCCGGCATTGTCCAGCATGTCGTGGAGGAGTAAAAGTTCGGCGCGCGGAGTTCAAATATTTAACTATGGACCAGCTTAGAGCTTGCACGTTCATAGTGATTTTTATTCATATTATGTGTTATTGGGCTTTAATATTTCTATGCGCATTTCTGTTTTCTTCTAAATGTATTTTCTCGCTTTGGTTTTGTTACTCGTGTTGGATATATATTTTGCTGCAATGCTCCATACAAACCAACCCCAGCAGCATCTATCCACCAACACAGCTATTCATTGTCATAATTCATAATGCATTTGAAATAGCTAAATATGTACCAATACCACATGAAAATCAATACACGGTAAGACTGCTCACAGCGCCATTCTTGAGCACCTCAAATAACAGACCAGGAAATCCGAAAAGCTCCGTATTGCCCAATCCCCCGTCTTGGCCGTCTGCACCACTCCGAGGACCCTTCGCAGTACTCTCTTCCCAACCACCGAGGAATTCCACGCTGCTCTCGGGGCTGTCACCCCACCCGCGGTTGAGGACCATTGGTCGCTGCAAAGCACGCTCTTCGGCGGGGCTAGAGTAGGCTCCTTTCCAGGTTTTGCGTAACCGCTCCGAGATCTCCTCATAGGATGACTCGGAAGATAGGCAGCTCCCCGAGTCACCAATGGGAATGGTCCAGCGGCTTCGACGGTGGCGGTTGAAGGGATATGAGCCTGGAACGTTGCCATGGAGGATGATCTTTGTTACTGCCAACTGGGATGAATGTGGCTGTGGCGTAGGGTCTGGTATACCGGAGTCTGGAAAGGCAGGACCGGGTGTGGTTGGGTATGAGATGAACGCATCGAATCCATGATGGAAGAAGTTCAAAAAGCACTCCGCGGGCAGTGAGGTAGGGTCTCCGACAAATGCAGCAGCCTCATCATCTGAATCATCAGTAACACTGTTATTGGATGAGTGATCGGCATCTGGCATTTCAAATCCTCTGCCTGGAGATGGACTTAGGTGTAGCTCACCGGCGCCGGTGGCACGGTGAATGGATATCCGGCGGTCATTCTTACGGTAGATCGCATCGGGCGGCCCGAAGTCCGCAATTAAGTCCTGAGGAGTAGTTTCTCCAAGGGTGATGCCTAAGGGAGCTCCTGTTCTGCGAAGGACTTCAAGCTTGGCAGCTCCTAGAACCTGCCACTCCTCGATCTCGTCTGCAAGTGACTCCCGGGATTTGCCAATCAAAGCGGATGAGCGAGGATATTGGGGTTGTTGTATAAAAAGCTTTGCTCGAACCTCTGGCCATGATGATCCCTGGAAGATCGACATGGAGGTGGCTGGCAAGGCAGCCGAGGAGGAGAGCAGTGCTACGAAATCACACTGATCGGACCAGGCCGAGTGCTGAAGGGGAAACGAGAACGCTACTCCGGGATAAGATAAGACGTATGTGCCATATGGTGACTGATCTGCCGGTGGTACGTATTCTCCTGGGTATGAAGGACCAAACAGGCGATTGTAAACGTGCCGGAAGCTGGGGCCATGCGAAGATATTGGGTGTTCTGATTTGGCCCCCTTTAGCACTTCCTGGTTCTTATAGACCAGATTCACTCTGGTGAAGTCGAGTACTTCGATCAAACGAAGTCTCTGATCGGGACCATCGAAGCGAAGACGCAGGCCGTTCGAAGGTAGCTGCAGTACCACGGGATTGCGGAGCGGATCTGCGGAGGAGTAGGCAAGGTCGATGGCGGGGTATGTTTGGGGATAGGATTTGACTCGGGTCAGGACATTATGAAGCGAAGCTCCTAGGGCTATGAAGGCATTAGCCGAAGCACTCAAATGGGTGGACGGAAGACGTGCTGATAAACCCCAGTCCTTTCCCGGGGAAGATTTGTGCCTGCGAAGTAGTAGTAGATGTAGTCATAGTGGGCTGGGGTCTGGTTCTATGACCCAAAGATGAGCAAACGAAACTCCATGCGATAGAGCTTACAGGAGGTGAAAGAGAGGAGAGCTTGGGAGACCTTGGGGGAGGGGACGATAAGATATGACGATAAGGCCAGCAGACCAAGTCATGTGAGAGGGGTGTCACGTGGGCTTTGTTTATGTTTTCCCGTTTGAGACAAAAGCTCCACTGCTATACACCACTCCGACTCAAAATTAGACTTGAGCAGACTTGATTACTTCGGCTTATCGTGCTTGAAAAATAACCCTCAGCCAACATACAATTGTCGCCTCGCCACCATGGCCGGCCCTTCAAGGCCACCATCCACTCTCCCGACCACCACAAGGAGGTCGGGTTTGCGCCAACCAATACGACGAGCCGGTTCGGCTGCGCCAGAAAGACATGCGACACCTACAGCACCAACACCATCAGTGAGATCGTCCGCGGTCAGCGCTGCCCGCCCACCGAGAAGCCCTGAAAAGTCAAATGCGCCGGCCAAGAGAAAGGAGAGAGAATTTGAGCGGGAAATCAACGAGGATACCAGCATTCATGTTGTGGTTCGTTGTCGCGGTCGCAGCGATCGCGAAATAAAAGATAATAATGGTGTTGTGCTATCAACTCCAGAGGGTGTAAAAGGAAAGACACTCGATCTGTCGATGGGACCAAACGCAGTGTCAAACAAGACATTTGCTTTCGACAAAGTCTTCTCCCCAGCCGCCGACCAGACCACTGTTTATGAAGATGTGGTGCTTCCGGTTGTCAACGAGGTTGGTGAAGTCGCTATGTACTGATTGAGTGCTGCGCTAATTATGTACAGATGCTGGCAGGTTACAATTGCACAATTTTCGCATACGGACAGACCGGAACAGGAAAAACGTACACCATGTCAGGAGACATGAACGACACACTTGGTATCTTATCCGATGATGCAGGTATCATTCCGCGCACACTTTACTCTTTGTTCCACAAACTCGAGGACACTGAAAGCACTGTGAAATGCTCCTTCATCGAATTATATAACGAGGAGTTGCGTGACTTGCTATCATACGACGATAGTACAAAACTCAAGATTTTCGAGAACGAAAAGAAAGGGGGACACAGCACAATGGTCCAAGGCATGGAGGAGACCTACATCGACTCTGCCTCCTCTGGCATCAGATTATTGCAATCTGGCAGCCACAAACGCCAGGTCGCCGCAACGAAATGTAACGATTTGAGTTCCCGGAGTCATACAGTGTTTACCATCACAGTTCTCACCAAGCGCACCACCGACTCTGGCGAGGACTATGTTAGCTCAGGAAAGTTGAACCTGGTTGATTTGGCTGGAAGCGAAAACATCGGACGAAGTGGCGCAGAGAACAAACGGGCGACCGAAGCTGGTCTCATCAACAAGAGTCTGCTCACTCTTGGCAGAGTGATCAATGCCCTGGTCGACAAGAGCTCGCACATCCCATACCGAGAGTCAAAACTTACCAGACTCCTGCAAGATTCACTCGGAGGACGAACAAAAACATGCATCATCGCCACTGTCTCGCCTGCCCGCAACAACCTCGAAGAAACCATCTCTACTCTCGACTATGCCTTCCGAGCCAAGAACATTCGCAATAAACCCCAGATCAACTCCATCATCTCCAAGAATAAGCTTCTGCGAGATATCGGAATGGAAATCGAGAAGCTCAAGAGCGAGCTCATTGCCACACGGCACCGAAATGGCGTATACATGACACCTGATGCGTTCGAACAGATGACAGTAGAAAGTGAATCACGACGAATTGTAAACGAAGAACAGCGTGCGAAGATCGAGTCTATGGAATCCAGCCTCCGACACAAGGCCCAAGAGCTGCTCACTATCACGGGCAACTTCAACTCGCTGAAGCATGACAACGAAGAGACACAGTCCAAGCTCAACGAAACGCAAGACATTCTTAACGAGACCGACAGATATTGGAAGGATTGTCAAGAACAGCTGGACGAGGAGAAGACTGTGCGGAAAGCCCATCAACAGACAGAGAAGCAACTTCGCAGCATTGGTGCGGGACTGGTGTCCACTCTGAATGGCACGATTCAAGATGTGAATGGATTGCATGCGAAAATTGATCGCAAGGACAACCTGGAAACAGACAATCGACAGACTTGGCTGACTTCCAACGGTGAAATCTCAGATATTACACAGCAGATTGATGCTCGCATGGAGGTTTTCCAGACGCAGCATGCCAAGCTTCTAGAGGACATGTCAGGCAAGATTCATCAATTTGTGGACACTGAATTGAGCACCGTGCAGTCTGCTAGCTCTCAACTCCAGACTCTTGGTACCTCTTTTGACAAGGTTGAGGCAGAGGCAAAGAACAACACCTCCAATGCTCACAACGAGATGAATGAGGTTCTTGAGGAGATCAAGGTCCTGCGGGAAGATGTCAAGACTAAGGTTGGCGAAGGCTTGAATGGCTTGTCCGCGGCGGCTGCTCGAATCTCCAAGGAGGTTATTGGCGAGTTCTCTGAGTTCCATACCCAGCTTCACATATCATACAGCAGCCTTGGCAAGGACTTCAAGTCCATGTTTGAGAACGTGGCTAAGCACCTGGATGAGCAAAAGGCCGAGGTCAACAGACTACGAGTTGAGCTGCAGGCAGCCAACCGCCAGACTGTGGAGGCCAATAGAAAGGCTTCGTCCAACCTTGCTCAGGTTTTGGAGGAGGAGCATGCCAGTGCACAAGCCGAGCGTGACACCTTGATGTCTCATATCCGGGGACTCCTCGAGGATTCCAACCAGCGACAGAACAACCGCCTTAAAAGCAAATTCGATACACTCCGCACAGATATCTCGGCTTCGGGAGACTCGCTTGAGCAGGCCACTGCGCAGCATGATAGACACATTGACGAATGGATCTTCAGAGAGGAGCAGTTCGCCAAGGACGTTTCTGCATCTAAGGATGAGATCAAAACGAGGATGCAGAATGATTGGGAGGTAAGCTACTCTGCAGCGCAACCTTTTTGAACGTCAACTAATTCTAATAGGCATTCGACCAACGCAATGCCTCGATTCATCGAGCAACAGAGTCTGTCCACCAGGAAACGGTCCGCATCGTGGATGCCCAGATGAGCGATATGGGCACTCAAATGGAAGCATTGGATGACTTTGTTGCCAAAGCACGCTCACAGAATGGCCGTTTCCACGAATCCCACATCGGCAGTCTGAATACCATGGCCGAGAATGTTCGCGAGTCCCGTTCGACTGCCCAAAGACAACTGGACGGGTTCACTCAGCGTATTGGTCAACTTAGAGAGGATGTCGATATCGATACCGAGAACCTGGAGCAGTCTACCGCCCCTCTACAAGGGGAAGTCCGCCAACCACTTTCAGAGATGCGCTCATATATCCAAGGCCGCGTTATGAAAGAGTATGTGCCTACAGGTGTAACGCCCCAGAAACGACGCTACGAATATCCCTCGGTAATGCCCCAAACCGAATCCCATGACGGCCTCCGCTCTCGACACCGGACCTCCAAGCAATTCACCGCTCTCCCCTTCAACGAAGAAGAGGATCGCAAATCCCCCGGTACTTCCCCTGAACCATCCCCATCCAAAACGTTTGTGTATCACGATACTGCGGGACAGGTAGGGACCCACCCTGTTCCCTCATCCGCAGCCCTTTCTTCCAACACTGGCCTTAGGGAAGTCGATCTAAACGTCGCCAGACCGGTCGCATGTGACGAAGACGCCGGTGTGGCTATCAGCAAGCCTGAGACACCTGCGTTGAACGGATCCGTGGACCTGGACGAGACCCCCGAAAAGGAAGAGCCGGAACAACCTGCTCGCAAGCGTCGCCGCTCAAACTCCAATATGGTTGAGAGTAAAGTTCCGCAGAAGATGCCAAAGAAGATATCTAATATGATGGAGGGTCGCGAGAATCAGATCCCTGCAGGCCGGAGATTTAGAAACTGAGGCTCTGATTAGGTGCCTGTTATGTTTTTGTTCTTTATTGTTTTCATTTTGATACCCGATGTCGCTGGGCCTTTGACTTTTCATGGGTTGGAGTTGGCTGAGAAAACAGTGTGGGTTGGTCATTCTCTTGTGTTTCTTATGTTCGAGTGCCAATTGATGGCAACTTTATTTGGCTTGGCGTTGTTGGCTTGCATCGGTATTCCGATAGGGATGTCCGGATTCATCTTAATACATTATCTCCCAGAGTTGGTTCATTGTATGTTCAAAGTAAATCAAAGAGGTATCTGGCACTAGTCTGATGGTGGACTAATTGTAAACGCATTCTCCAGAATGCGCCAAAGCAATGTTATCCGGAATCAAAGTATTACTGTCGGTCAATCGAAATGTAAGGCTGCTTCTCCTTCCAGTATCCCTTCTTGACCTGCATTTTCAGGAGGATCCTGTTCCAGCCGTTCCTGCTGTTCACCCGGCTCTGGCTCCGCCTCCGCGGCATCGATGATGATTTGCAACTCGCCCATCCTCTTCGCAAACTGATCCATCATTTCTTCCAGCCTATGCGCCCCCTTTTCTTTCCTAGAAACTTCAACTGCCATTCCACCAGTACCGCGAATCTTCAACATCAATCCCTGCCCTGGTGACTCGGGGGTATTATTCTCAAATGTTGGTGCTGGCATTACTTCCGTATCGAGGACCTGCCACGAGGACGAAAAGCTTTGTGCGGAGGTCACGCGGAACTGAGGATGCTTGCTCGCTCCAGACTGTCCCTCTTGTGGGAGCACAGATGGGTTCGCTGGTGACGATGACATGGACTTTGTTTCCCCCTTTGGTTGGTCTGTTGTTCGATTCTGTGTTGCGTCATTTGTGGGCGGTACGAGCCCCATGTCTAGAATGAGGTAATTCTCCCGGACTCCTGATACAGGTGGTGGTAGTAGTGTAGCTTTTTCCGGGTCAGCTTCTGGGTCTGAGGGGTCTTTTGTCTCGTGGGGATTGGATGCGTTGGTCTGCGCAATTTGGTCTTTCTTGGATTCGGAGAGGGCATCTTGTTGTGCACTTAAGCTGCGCAGAGCTGCTTCGGTGATGATGTCGGTGTCGTCGTCGGAGAATATGTAGTGGACGTTGGGGTGGTAGTAGTCCGATGTATGGGCGTCTTCGACTAGGGTAAAGAATGGTTGGAATGTGGGTTTGGATGGGTGTTGTTCCTGGACTTCAAGTTCTTTGGTACTGTCAATGGCTCCATCGTGGCTCGGGGATGTGACGATCTCTTGTGGAGGAGTCTCGTCTATGGATGGGCGGCCCTCGGGGAGTGGCGCTCTTAACTGTCGATCGCTCGGCCGCGACGAGGCTGTCCCTGGTCTCGAGAGGGTCTCTTTGCGAAGAGAGTGCCGAGATGACGAGGACGATAGGGGCTGCCGATACGGAGATGGATTGTTTTGCGACATCTCCAAAGCCGGGACTACATCATGGAGAGGATGTCGAATGTCGAGTGCGGAGAGCTCTTATCGATAGCGCCACGTGACGTAGACTATATAAACAATCTTGGAAGTATAAGTCACTTCATCTTAACAACGGGCGGACTCATATGGTCCAATGACTCCAAACAAATCTCATCCACAAATAAAGCGAAGTTAAATCGTGCCCCGAAACCGTATTCCGGGCCGGGGATGGGATCATTCTCGCATTCTTTCAACAATCTCTGTAGTGTTTCGGGCGTGTTCACCACTTGCGGTAGCTGCTCCGCTACCCAGATATTGAAGTTATCGCGCACTTCGTGCGAAGTCGCACTATTGAATTTGTTCTCGTCATCATGGATCACAAGCTGATGGCTCTGCAAGAGGTCGGCTTTTAGTCTCCAAGTAATAATTTGACGCTCTCTTGGATTTTTAGATCAGCTTGAGCATCCTATTCCACGCTTTGTCGTCATTGTACGGGCAACGATAGATAGAGAACCCCCAAGGTAGATTGGACTTCTTTAGATGGATGTTGGAGCGGGACATGCGGACACCTACCTCCAAACGGAATGTCTTTTCCGGATGGGCCCACGACAGCGACCTAGAGGCTTTTGGCAGTTTAGATATTCAAGGATGTTTAGATTTCGTGGGCCATGCGTATAGAATGCGTTGGGAGCGAGGAACAGGATGTCAATTCCTGGCAGGCTTTTTAGCGTGCCTTCAGATTTTGTGCCCGGGTGAACATAGGGGAAACTGGAGAATCTGTCTACATGTATATAACTCGAAACAAATGAGCTGTGACGGCATTACATTACAGTACATTCTCGGAAGTTCTGGATTCGAGTGAAGAAAAGCCATGCTTTGACAATGGCATAAATTTGTATAATAAAACAAGGCCTGCATAGTCTTGATTGGTCAATCCGTCAAGTCTTCGTACTGTCGCATTGTTTATGCTCGCTTGACAATTTCTAGTTTCCACCAAGTCAAGTTCCACCAAAGAAAGAAAAAAGCACAAAAGGGTATCTCGAATTCATCCGCAACGCCGTGGTAAATATGTGGGATCGGCCGTCACTCGTTGCCCTGCTTCCATTCGAATTCTGGAAACAGTTAGATATAAACCTCAGAGGTAGTGAGGAGAGAACATACTCTGTCGGCACATTGGGCAAAGACCTTTGGAAGATTCTTGGTTGATCCAAGTCAACAGGCAATGCTGTTAAAAACGCGTCAGACCAGTCCCTCACTTAGATGCTTGTCTAGTCTCACCATATGGAATGAATGCCCGCATGTCCCTACCACTAGAAAACAAATACAGTCAGCATTCAAGATCACTCGTGGACGCTGGGATCAATAGGTTCACTCACAAAGCGCGCATTCGTCGCCGGGGAATTTGCAGGTTGGACAGGTGCCATCGAATTGCACACGGCAGATACCACAGACTTCATCTTCTGGGATATCCCAGTGCCACGTCGCAATGGCATTCCACTCCTTGAGCACGACCTTCATGATGTGTGTTGAGGGAAGAAGTGACCGCGGCCGATAAGTAATGTTTATCAATCATGTGAGCACTTCTCCGCACTCCACACTCGCGCAATAGTTGACCTCTTATTGCTACAACTTGCGTCGTTTATTTCCTGCAATCATGGCGTTCACTGCCATGCGGTCCTTTGCGCCTGTTCGCTGCTTTCGCACCATGTCTATCCCAGGGCAGGTTCAGTCGCGCAGCATCTCTTTCTCCTCGTATCTAGTCACCCCCAAACAGCTCAACGAAGCTCTCAAGAAGAACCCTCCGACCAAGATCTCCACATCACCTCGTGTGATTCCCCTCTGTGCAGCATGGTTCATGCCTAACGACCCAGAGGGTCGCAAGGGAATTGACTCGTTCCGCAACTCTCGCATCCCCCAGGCCCGGTTCTTCGATCTAGACGCTATCAAGGACCCTGATTCACCCTACCCACACATGCTACCAACATGTGAGGCTTTTGCCGAAGCCATGAGCGATCTGGGCATCCGCCGCGATGACGAAGTGGTGGTCTACGACACTGCCGAACTGGGTATCTTTAGTGCGCCCCGCGTGGGCTGGACACTGCGTGTGTTTGGCCACCCCAATGTGCACATCTTGAACAATTACCGCCTCTGGGTGAAGGAAGGACTCCCAACCGAAAGCGGGGAGCCTGCTCCTGTGGAAAAGTCCAAGTACTCTGTGCCGACCTACGACTCGAGGCTTGTGATTTCCTTCCGTGAAATGAAGGAACTAGCTTTAGACTATGGCAAAGAGGGAGCTGAGCCAGTGGAAATTCTGGACGCCCGCTCTTACGGTCGCTGGGCTGGAACCGACCCTGAGCCTCGCCCTGGTCTGTCCTCTGGCCATCTCCCAGGATCGAAGAGCATGCCCTTCCAGCAGCTACTGGACCCTGAGACCAAAACTTACCTCCCTAGTGAAGACCTGCAGAAGATCTTTGAGGAGAACAAGGTGGATCCATCTCAGACGATCATCAGCTCTTGCGGTACTGGTGTGACTGCCGCTATCATTGAAACTGCGCTGGGCGAGGCGGAATTCGGTGACCCTCACCTTCGCCGTGTGTATGATGGCAGCTGGACGTAAGTGCAACTTCCTCGCATCCTTTGAACATTATTGAACCGTACTAATTGTCAATAGTGAATGGGCGCAGCGAGTCAAGGAATCGGATGGTCTCATCAAGAAGGTGAAATCATAGGTGTCATAGGAACTGCTCTAAGGGAATTCTCAGCTCACGAACGACATGATCTCTTTTACTCTTAGATTGTATCCCAGAACATAGAATCTCTCGTTTCTCTAATTACGCTCTTCTTTTCCTCTTCTCTTCGTTCACCTGCACCTACCTGTAGCTGACTAAGCATGTCTCGCCCACGAAGCGCATCAAATCTCGCGCTTTCTTTTACTTCAGACAAACCGCTGGGACTACAAAGATGCGGATGGAATATTCCTATCAACAGGCTTCTCTTCGTGAGTGAAAATCACCTCATCCGTTTGCGCTACCGACACCCGCCTCCCCCCACATTCTCCCATGTCCCTCCGACCTCCCTGGCTCTTTCTAGCGTGCTGACCTCTCTCAGTCGTGGTCAACGCTTCCAGTCTTCCGATATAGGGCGCTTTCAGCCCTGTATCTCACCTTCTCTCTCACCATGTCGACCGGGCGCAAGGTCTTTCATTGTGCCGTGGATGAGACGGCCTTGTCTACCAATATTAGCGAGATCAAGAAATGGACTACCAACGGGGCAATCGATCTTGTCGTTCCTCTTTACAGTGAGTCACTTGGCAATCGAAGCAGCCTTAGTCGCTTTGCGCTTTCTCTAACTAACACTCATTCTCTAGCCCTTGAACGCCTCCATGCGCTGAAGCGAGCCGGATCTCAGGTCGCCATCAACGCCCGCGAGGCTGTGCGCTTTCTCGACCGGGTCACCTCTGGCAAGGATCATATCGCCGCCGACCGAGTCCTTCTCCAAGGCCCGATGGAACAATATGACCGCTGGGAAGAGGCCGAGAAATTCTTCCTTCCGGAATTCGAGGAGGAGCCCGAGGCAATCGACGACGCAGTCACCAATGGCGAGGCGACCGAGCCCCTCGCAAAAGAGACAATCACCAAGACCGAGCCTAACGACCTGTCGCAAATGCTCCTCTCCAAGTTGAACTTCAAGAAGGACCCAGAGGCCGCGTCGATCACTTCCGTCGGTTCGCCCAGTGGACCTGGCTCGCGCACGTCCTCTCGCAGCTCTCGCACCAGTCCTGAATGCGCCCAGCACGATTCAAGCAATGGAACCGCCAAGAATGAGAAGAGCAAGGCCTCTAACCACCAGCGCTCGATCTCCGCATCCGTCATCCCGACCGCACCGGCCGCCCTTCGCCCTCTGCTGAGCGCCTTACTTTGGCGCCTGCACAACGGACCCGACGCTGAGAACTCCGCAAAGACTTGCATCCTGATTACCAACGACCGCGCGACCCAGGTGTGGGCGCAGAAGTTTGGAATTGGCGTCAAGAACATCCTCCAGTTGCGCACCGCTATTCAATACGAGGAGCGCGAGTACAAGAACCGCTGCAAATACGTCGAGAAGATCCAAACCCTACCCTCCGAACCCAAGACCTTATTGTCCTACGAGGAAGAAAGCGACGAGGATGAGCTGGTCTTTGTTCCCCGTGGTCGTGGCAAAGGTGCGCCTCGTGCTTCGCGTGGTGGCCAGCGCAAGGCTGCTCCCAAGCCGGCCCCCAAGTCTGCGCCTGCTCCCGCCGAGAACTCGGTTGAGGTTCCAACCCAGCCTATTGACCCTGACTCGTTCAGCCGGTCTTTGGGTGGCGCCACCAAGCAGCCCACCGTGGACTTGAACACGCAACCAGGTGCTACCCGAGGGATCTCGGGCGCCTCTCGTCGTTCCTCCAATGGACGCCGAGGCGGGCCTTCTCGCGGTGCACGAGGTAGCGGTCGTGGCCGGGGCAAGCTCTGGGTTCCTTGATTACACGAGTGACGGTCTACCGACTCTATCATTTGATAGGATGACGTAGATCGTGTTGGACCAACGCATCCAGAACCGGACAAGGGTATCTCTTTTCTCTTTGCTGGGCTGCTACTATATCTTGCTGTGATTGCTTGATTGCCCGCAGAGTGTGTTCCCCTCTCTAATCCCCGGCAACTCCAGACCACGATCGGATCTCGGACTATCTCGACCTCGAACAGGACATGAATCCAGTGGAGGATTCAGTCCGCGGCCCCTGTGCTGCATGGATTTGTTGAAGATTGTCCCTCTTTGCCCTGTTCCCCCTCGGAGGAGATGGGAGGCGATGAATGTTATTTTGGAGGGAGATTATGATAGTTGATTTTGATTCATCTACATCCCAGTTGTAAAGTGCACATGGTCCAGTAAATTGTAGTGTGATACCTTATGTATGGAGTATAAAGAATGAAGTATCAAGTATGAAGGCTGAATGAAGTATAGACAGCTGAACGGGACTTCCCCGCGTGATTGACCCGTGGGACATACACATCACTTGACTTTCCACTCTACACTTCTCTCTTCTACTCTTCATCTCCTCTCCTATTCACTTACTCACCTACTCACACACAGATCCAATCTAATCCAATTATCCACCATGTCCGTCGACCAAACCCCCTCACCACTAACTTGGAGCGCCGCAACTCGTTGGAGAAACACCTCCAAACCCGCCCGGGCATGCAGGATCTCAAGAACCGCCACATCCTGCTGGATACCAATGTGGCCCCGTACATATCCCAGAAATGAAACCTGGAAATTGCTGAAAATAGCATCACTAACGCACCTCCAGAGCTCTCCAGTCTGCCCGCCAGGAACTGGATCGCCAGCGTGCTTCCGATAGCTTGAAGAAGAGCTTGGAGAAGAGACCTGAGAAGGATGAGCTGGTTGAGCGTATATTTCCCTTTTCGCTTCTATCTCTCTTCTCTTTATTGCACACTTTCATGCTCTGTCACTTTGGTATGCTTGATACTTGATCTATACTAATCTCGCCAAGGCAATATCCTCCCCGCCTCATCGGCCGCTCCCGCATTGCAAGCCCATGCTCGCGAACTCGAGAAGCACATGTTGGCCGATAATCTCGAGCATAAGATCCAGAATCGGCCACAGCCCGAAGAGCTTATTTCGCAGGGTATCTTGTCCGAAGATGAGGATCCTCGCTCGGCCTGATTTCTAAACCGCACTACCGAGTCGGCTTTTCTACCTTTTGGACTCGATGATTTGAAATGAGATATGGACAGGGCTTCAGGCGTTATTCTTTTTGTTCTTCTAGTCTTGAGAGATTGACTTCCAACTGTTTCTGTCTTTACCGGGAGGTGGTGATGTCACTGTGACGGACCCGTTCGATTGTCAATATCATACCAGTTGCTGCGTACGATAATGTAATTCCCAGGCCTTAGAATGGGATAAATAGCTAGATACGGCCATAAGCACTCCCCTGGAATGTCACCTACTATACTCTGTAGCACCCATCTCAAATTGCAGAGAACGGGATATCATTCAATAAGCATAGATCATCAGATCGTGAGAAAACATATCTAGTGACTCTCCACCTCAACAGGCGCAGACAGATCAGGCGTCCATCCACTGGGCCTCTCACTCCCACGAACGAGAATCCCATACGCCGCCCTCTCCACCTTCTCAACACTAGCCTGCATAACCTCCAGCTTCTTCGCCAGATCGCGGAGCATGTTATGGCGACGGGGTACACTGAGCGATTCAAAGCGTGCACGCATAGCCCGTAGATCAATGACGATGTCACCCTGTGACGGTGAGAGTGTGGGCGCCTTGGATTCTGTCACAGTTTCGCCCGTCTTGGTTGCGGCTGTGTTGCCGGAGCTTAGTGATAGAACGGCGAAGCGCATCATCTCGCCTGTTAGATCGAATAGGCCCAATAGGTAGTCTTCTTCTGTGACGAGGATTTGGGCTGGGACGCGGGTGGCGACTTCGGCGTGTGAGATCAGTGTCTGTGTGCGGAGGTAGTGGTCGAAGGAGACGGCTTCGATGAATTCTTGGATGCCTGGGCTGAGTTGGCGTTGGTAGCGCCAGCTGTTTATTCCCAGTTGTTCTGGGACGACGGCTTCGAAAAGGGCGTGGATTTGGTCGAAGCGGACTTGGTTCTCTTGGGCGATTTTGGGTGGGAGGGGTTGGTTGGTTGCGCGGACACGTTGGAGGGCGAAAATGCTGGGTTCTGTTAGTTGTGTTGGAGATAATTGAGAAAGAGACGTACATCTTCTTGCTCAGCGCGGTGATGTCGCGACTTTTCTTGATGATTCGTTCGCGGCGGTCATGGTGCTCATCCAGCTCGTCGCGGAAGTTCTCAAAGACGGACAGGACTGTAGGTCCCTCTGTGTCGGTCATATTTGTGTCTTTAGGATGCAGCTCGAGTGGCTGACCTTCCCAGTCGCGTTTGGTGCCCATTTAGCAAAAAGTTGGGAGGTTGCTGAGTTGAGCTCCACGATAAGAGATAGAGATATCTCCGCAGATCCCACTTGCTTCGTCACTTCACTCCACGCTAGACTTGATATTTGACATGTACTGAGATCATTTAATTTGGCTTGAATTCGGATAACTAAGCTACTGACATGTCAATGCTATATTCCAACTAAGCTTGCCGCTCATGCCACAACCTCACAAGATTCCTGCCCCAAATACCGATACCTAAGAGGGCTTTTCCCAAGACCTGTCACCTTGACAGTCTGCTCATCACCAGGGACAATGTCAATGGCGTTATCCTCAAGAAGAACACCCTCCTGCTCCTCAAAGACAAGACATTTAACTGGCTTGCGGGCATTGATAACCAAGACTGTCTCACCAGCTACTCCCACCTGTCTCTGAATCTCCAGCTGTCGTCCAGTCAAATTGAGATATTTGAATGGCTGTGGCCAGTCGACATCCCGTGCCACGATCTGGTTATTCACCCACAACCGTGCTGCGAGGACGTGTGGCTCTGGCTCGGCGATGTGGTCGATGACACCGTCGGTGATGATATCCGTTGTTCCATTGGCCGTGATGGTGATATTCTCGTGTACAATCGGTGCTCGGATATCACGGCCTGTGTTGACAGATAGGAAGCGCAACTCAATGCTGCCATGGACGGTCTCGGGTTTATTGCTGGCAATCCAGAGCTCGTATTTGCTCGTCTTGGGTGGTTGGGCGTGTGCGACGCTCCAGTCGTGGTGTTCTCGGCGGACTCCAACGGCGATTGGGTTCAAAACTCGCTTGACGGCGTAGTAGGCTGGTTTCGGTTTGAGAAAGTAGTCCACGATCGCCCAGGAGATGGTTGGCCAGCAGTCATTTAGTTGCCAGAGGAGAGCACCACCGCAGTGGCGCTCGTCGCCCCATTGTCGGCGCCAACCTCGGTAGCCGAACATCATTGTCTCAGCTTGCACGACTTGCGTGAGGTAGATGTAGGTCTGCATATGTTAGCATGAAACTAGCCGAGGTTGTGAATAGATCATACCTCGAGGTCTGTGGCGGTTCGCAGATTTTCTACGAGGTACGTCGCCAGTCTTCGTTCATGGCCATCAGCCTTATTATGGAAATCGATCACATGAGATTGAGGGAATTTGTCCTCCTCTTTCTCGACAAAATAGTCGATTGTGGAGACATGAGGGAATGCCTCCATGCCAAACTCGCTGTTAAATCGACCGCCGAGTGTATCGAATATCTGATATTTCTCTTGCGTGCCGTGCCACACTATTTCTGTCGTTAGCATATACTTTGTATTTTGCTCTGACATACTGACCATTCCACTGATGCATATCCCCAACTGTTTTGTCCGACGATATCTTACCATCTCCCCATGGACTGCCAGGATGGTAGAATGTGCTGGGTGAGTGTTCAGCCACCACTTCTGGGAGAAGCTTTTCATAAATGTATCGTGCCGGGAAATCGGTCTTCAACCAGCTCTGGGGGTCCTTGTCCTCGTAGTTGTAAGTTAAGCCCTCTGACTCTTGGACCTGATAGTCCTCATTGTTACCAGCGTAGAGCACAATAGATGGATGATGGCGCATGCGCTTCACGTTGTAAATTGTCTCCTGACGGACTGATTCGAGCAACTCGGGCCATGTTGGATAATTGCCGCAGCCAAACATGAAGTCCTGCCAGACCAACACGCCTAGCTCGTCGCACGCTTCGTAGAAGGCGTCGTCTTCATAAATGCCGCCACCCCAGACCCTATCATCATTAGTTCAATCCACATGAACGTTGAAGCAAGGAGTCATACCGAATCATCACTTGTCTGCCAGCCACCATGAGCTCAATCCATTTGCGGTATCGCTCAGGACTGACGGCTGGCAAAAGACTGTCGGCCGGAATCCAGCACGAACCACCACAGAAGATATCCATTCCATTGATGCGGAAGAAAAAAGACTTTCCATGCTTGTCAGGTTGTTGAACAACCTCAGCAGTTCGTATACCAAACTTCTTGGATGACGAGTCGACCTCTTCACCGTTGCGAAGTAGCACCACCGATACATCGTACAGAGTCTGTTCGCCATACCCATGTGGCCACCACAAAGCAGGCTGATTGACTCGGAAATTGACTTGGGCTGTATTCCTAGACACGGGTATGTTCTGGCTTGCGATTTCTTTCCCGTGAAGCCCCAGTTTAAACTGGGCTGTATACTCCTCGTCCACGATGCTTTCCACTTCAACAACGGCAGTCACCTCGGCTGTTTGGTGACCCGCTGCCAGCTGGACCTGAGGCCACAGACTAGCAACACGGGCCTCGTATATCTCGAAGCGGACAGCGCGCCAAATGCCCGCGGTCATTAGCACTGGACCCCAATCCCAGCCCCAGTGGTACTGGGCTTTCCGCACTGCCATGCGTGCTGGATCTCCATTGAAACCGACCCATCTGTGCTTTGTATCTCGGGCCCGCAGCTCGCGGGCTTTGAGAAGGGCGCAGTCGAACTCGATTTCGAGGGTGTGCTCGCCTTCTGCTTCCAATGCTTTGGTCACATCTACCCGGTGGCCTAGGAACATGTTGTCGCTTTCGAGAATGGACTTTCCGTCTAGCTTGACCTTAGCAAATGTGTCTAGTCCGTCGAATACTAGCACAATTGCGGAACCTGCCGGGGCAGCTGGCTTCGAGAACACATTGCGATAGACCCATGACTTCTCGTTGACCCAGCGAGCATCCAATTCCTTGAATCCAATGTAGGGATCATCAAGCCTATTATAAATCACAATGGTCAGTACCAGATTATGGGTGCTATCTATAGAGAGAGCTTACTTTTTGTTAGCAATCAGGTCCTGCTGCACCACGGATGGAATGGCAGGTACAGGCAGCCATTCATCAGCATCTCGGTCCCTGAAGGACCAGCCAGTAGACAGATTTACAAAATTAGCCATGGTTGACACGAAGAGAATAGCTTTCCCCAGATTGACACTTTTATACTTGGTTGATGGCCTGAGGTTCCCCACGCGCCTTCCTCTTTGGACAAGGACCCTCCGTGCCAAACGTGGACTAGTGGTACCTATCATATACAAATTCATTGCAAATACACATCACATACCACTGTGTAATTCTCAACTGCCAGCTTCTCAGTTCATGCACCTCATCATCCGGGACTGATCTGCTCTAACCTCCTTTGTTAACGGCAATTTCCCCGTCAAGCTTCTAATGCCGTGCATTATTTCTATCCTTACCCTTTCCCAAGAACTAATGTACTCCGCTTCTCCGATTTAGGCGCCCATATGGCACTCTTCCACATCTATGCACACGCCCTCTTTCGGCCATTCGCATAGCCTCTCATGCCACGCTTATTGATTAACCGGAACATTACATGCATGACTTGTAACCGAGCCAATGATCGACTTCAACGGGCACCCTTCATCTGGGAGGCTTGGCACTTGGTCGAATGCTCAAACAATGAGCAAGTATTGACTCAGTTGTGTTGGAGTCTATGGTATAACATATCGACTCCCCTCCCACAGTCTTTCACTTTTCAGTTACAAAGAAACATTGTCTTCCATGCCGACAATCATTGGCGGAAATGAATGATTCTCACCGGAGTCCCATCTCGGGCCCTTGACCAAAACGAGACATGGCGCCCGCGAAACGTCTCGGCAGTGAATCCCCTCTCGCAGAACCAGGTACGGCCCTCCTGATCCAGTGTCAGGCTCGAGCCCCTTCATACTCGAAATTCCCTCACAGCATCAAGGGAACCGCCGAGCTAGAGCCCAACATGTGCCTAGTCCAGGAGGAAATGATTGGATTATGGGGGCGGAAATCCGGTCCAAAGGAACTTTGAAGTTGGGCATAATTCGCAGTCAGAATCCTGCATCGGTATCCTTTTCGGCCTTTGCAGTTCCCCAGATGACGGTTTCCCCAGACGATCGTCTGTCTGCAGGGTTCGGTTCTACCAAAGGACTCTTTACAGTCTGGGGAAATGGCCCCTCTCTAAACCCCACTGCATCATGGAGGTGGCGTGTGAAGACCATGCAGAAGCGAAATTACCCAGCGTCACTCTGCACCCCTGGTCATGCGCGTGGCACTCCGGTAGAATGATGCAGCTTCGGGAGTCGCGACCCATGTCTATCCAATCCTGGTTTTATATGCCGGGAATTATTTTGCTGACGCGGACTCCCATTTCAAGGCCATTGAAAATGGAAGAAGTTGTAGAGAGGACATTAGAATATATCAAGGAGGGAGATCGTATAACTATACAACCAATCAGTGCCAACCGGGTGAACCGGACAGACAAGTTGCATCCCCAGACAAGAAAATGCGGGGAGATTAAGCGGATCAGCCTATATTTCGTCTATTTCCTTTCGGTTCTAGTGGCTTTTTTGCATTTTCCTCTTTAATCTTTTGATCCCTTCATTTATGTACCTCAACACCCTTCTATCATACGATCTTTCCATCTCCACCCCCTATGTCGCCCACACAGTGACCCGTGTGGTCAGATAGCTAAACCTCTGATTCTGTAATCTTTTGTTGTCTGTCAAAATGTTCCATACATTTGAGGGTTTCGAGAACCCAACAACAGCAACGCCTGCCCGCAACCGGGCTACAAGTGAACGGCGTGAGTCCATCAGTCGCCGTGTGACAACGCTACGTGCTTGCACATCCTGTCGCCATCGCAAGATCAAATGCGATGGCGAGAAGCCCTGTGAGGCATGTCGATGGTACAAGAAGTCTGATCAATGTCACTATTCAGATCCGCGGCCTTCGCGGAGGTGAGTCACCTATCTTGTCTACTATGCCTGCCAATGTACTAAATACAATCTCATAGACATGTGGAAAAACTATCTACAACTCTGGAGGAATACAGAAGTATCCTCGAGAAGCTGTTCCCCAACTTCTCTCCAGATTCCCTGGTTAATTTGTCCCGGGAGAAACTTCTTGAGCTTACGACTGTCGCGGGGCCCCCAGTCCAGGGACACTCTCATCATGCCGAATCACCCGCTACTTCGGCTTCAATAGAGGCCCATGTTTCGCCCTTGTCAAACGACGATGACAATCTCGAGTCGCTGCAAAGTATGCCCGAGGAGCTGCCAGATAGCCGCAATGCCAGCTCCACAGATCTAGTCGAAGGCGTCTCAGACGACGTTAACGCGCTGTCTCTTTCAACCAGACAGCCTTCATCCTACCTGGGCGTTTCATCTATCCAAGCCGCTATCAAAGTCATTGTCTGGCTAGACCCAGGCTGTGCGTCATACTTTTCTCGAACACCTGCGAACGAACAGCACGAAGCGACTGGATGGCCACATCATACTCCTATTACACCTCCTCAACCCACGATTCCGCCATCAGAAATGCAAATGCTGGACGCTTATTTCCTTTATTTCCAAGCCTTTGCTCCTATGATCGACGAGAGATCTTTCCGTGAGGCTTACTGTGCTGGCCGGCGGAGAGATGATCACTGGCTTGCCCTATTGAACATTGTTCTTGCTCTGGGTAGCATCGCCGCTACGGGCCCTGATGACCTGACGCACCAAACATACTTCTTGCGATGCAAGAACCACCTGAGTATCAGCTCCTTGGGAAGCTCTCACATTGAAACTATCCAGGCGCTCGGTCTCATCGGAGGCTGGTACTGCCATTATATCAGTCAACCAAACCTGGCATACTCCCTCATGGGGGCTTCACTGCGCATGGCAGCTGCCTTGGGCTTGCACAAAGAGTTTGCAGAGACTCGTCAAATTCCAAGCCCAGCCAAAATCGCTTCAATGGATTTGAAGCGCCGCGTCTGGTGGTCTCTCTTCTGCATGGATACATGGGCTTGCATGACACTGGGCCGGCCTAGTATGGGTCGATACGGTTCAACCATCACTGTCAAACCTCCCCACTGCCGAGACAAGGTAATATACTTCCCTTCACAAGGGTGTACTATGCTAACCACATGAATAGGAAAGCGTCCTCGGTATTCTACCCCTCGTCGAAAACATCCGATTCGCTAAGATCGCAACCCAAGTTCAAGAATCCCTGGCCGCTGCACCACTAGTCAAACACCAAGAAATGGCTCACGCGGACGCCCAACTTCTTGATTGGTGGGATAACCTCCCCGCCATCCTCAAAGATCACGAGCCATGTTCCGAATCCATCAACACTGTTCGCACTGTCATGCGGTGGCGGTACTATAATCAGCGCATACTACTCTACCGACCAACACTGTTCAGCTATGCTATGCGGCGCGTGCCATATATTGCCCTGCGGCTGGAGGAGCGCACAGCCATCGAGAAATGTCGCGAGGTGGCGCAGCAATCTATTCAGAATATCGCAGCCACCGCTCAGCTGAACCAGCTTTGTGGTTGGAATGCTGTCTGGTGGACTTTCCAGGCTTCCATGGTTCCGCTGGTCGGGCTGTTCCTTAATGACCCTACTGTCGATGACCCGCGTGCTTCTGTTGAGTCCTGCCAGGCGCAGGTTGAGACTGCTATGATGACTCTTGCTCGCATGCAGTCATTTGGACATACGGCGAAGAGGTCGCTGGACGCCATCTCACGAATATACGAAGCGAGTAAGCGTGGACAGGACCTCCCTGATCCAAACACTTCTGCTGGTATTCTCAGTGGCTCTTTTCCTGCTGGTCGGGATATGTCGGCTATGTTCTCGCCATCTGAGCCTGCTCGTACTACTATGCCCATGACTGACAGCGGTTTCCTCGACCCGCTCAGTACCCCCTTTGAAAACGACTCCGGGGGTCAGTATCTATGGGAGTATTTGAGCTGGAGTGACAATAATCTGTGGCCAGGGATTGCCGCGGACATCGATGGGCGCAATGATGCCATGTTGCTGACGCCCGAACATGAAAAAGGACCAAAGTACGGAGAACAGCCGTATTTCGATCCCATGTCTGATCCTGGGTATCTTGTAAATCAGGGCCTTTACTACTGAGAACTTCCACTTTAGTTTTGGTTTACTCTATTTGCATGTTAGAACAAGGCGCATTGGAAATGAAGGGTTCTATGTAATTATTCAACACTTACAGTATGCAGTCAGCTTACCGTCTTTGCATTAGTTCTATTCATATCGAGAAATACTCCGATATCCCTGACCATGACTGCGACTTGCATAATCAACTGACATATATCTTACAGCCTAATTTGTCTGGCACACTTAGCCCAAGGATTTTCATCACGAAACCGGTTCTTCAGAGATGCGGGGGTTGCAGTCGAAATCGATCATTTATACATGTATCAAAGGTGATCGACACAGACAAGGGGTCCTACCACTTGTCCATTATTGTATTGGATGCTTGAGCGTTGATCTATTCTCCACAGCCAACTTCATGGCCAGTGAATAGCCATTAAAATACTCACACTTATAAAATAAGCCCTGATAGTCCTACGAGAAAATAATCTCCCCAAAATTCATAATATCATAAAAACCAATCATTGGCCAAGCTATAAAGGTATCATCAAGAGAACTCCAAACAAAATAATCTCATAAAGAAGCATAATATCTCGCCAACGAATCTATCATCGCGTCTCGCTTATCATCATCCTCATCCTCAAAGACCTTCTGAACATGCTTATTCTGTTTCAGACTTGCAATCCGGTTAACAGCGTTACCGTTGCCAACCGGCCCGTTCAGTGCGCGCCTCCGAATATTGTCGGTGATGCCTGAAAGCGCACCGGTCAGGTTCAGATTGTCGTTGGAGCCTAGGTAGGCCAGTGTGTTTCTGAGGACGTCGGCGATTCCCACGTTTGCTACTAGGGGTAGCTGGCTGAGGACGTTGGTGTAGTATGGAATTAGTGTGCCGTTTGAAACGATGGTCCGCGTCATTGCTGTTAGGGCTAGGTTCCCGTTCTTGAGTGACGAGCTTTGGGAACTGATCACTTCTGTTAGGTTTGATATTACTGTTTTGAGGTCGAGGACGCCTTTGAGTGGGAATGTGTTGTTTCCGGGTCGGAGGGTCACATTGTCGACAGTTGCATTGCCGATGATGAGGTCTGTATCTCCACTTTTGAGGTCGAGTGTGATGGTGCCGACTTCGAAGGAGAGGGCGGTTGGATTTGGGAGAGTCAGATTGGCGATCAGATTGGTTCCGTCGTCTTGTGCTGGTAGGATGAGTGTACTATCCGCAATAGATAATCCGTCAAATTTGTTTAAAGCTATTGAAACTTATTAGCCTAATAATGAGCAAAAGCAGACACTGAAAGACTCACATGGTATAACTACTTCTTTGTCCATAGTAATGTGATTTTTCAAGACCCCCAAATATCCATATGTGACACCATAAAGTGACAAGGTTGTCTCCTTTTTGAAGACAGTGTCGTGAACAAAGGCCTGCCAGGTAGTCGAGTTAAGGATTGGCGTATGTTGTTTGTTGACTCCCAAAGTATAGTTCCCTTTGATCGTTTGACCAGGGATATCAATTGCTCCCCAAGCGTTTTCGTGGCCGTATTTACGAACAAATGTGTAGAATTTGACGGGCTCTATGCGAACACCAAGTGCAATTTTCAAATCCACTTTTGCTGCTAGAGTCATCTGTACCGTGTCTGGTGTTGGTTGCATCACCTCTGCATTGACCACTACCAGGTTGGATTTGTTGACAACAAGTTGGGCGATGGCTGGGATAGCAACTAGGAAGCTTCATTGTTTTGTTAGCCTGAATCTAAGGACGAGAAAAACGGGCATCACATACAAAACAGGCAAGAAAATAGCTAAAAAGATGACATTGCCGATAAAGTAGCAAAGCCAGAACCGTCTGCAATGTCGACGGAACTTGTCCTTCCTGGTAGCTGACCTCGTGGACGACTCAATCTGTTCGAGCTTTGCAAGGTCATCGGGTCCTGGGTAAAGGAGGCCCCGATTGCCTCCAATGATATACTTGTCCTCCTCTTTTGCCATGACGAAGGTCCACGTGAATTGGCCAGAGGGATGTGAAGAAAGCTCTCTATATAAACAAACGCTAGCTCTATACAGATATCATATGTCTATGAAAATTACCGAGGACCGGGAGACTATTAGGTTTATAACTTGGTGGGCACTCTCTTGCTTTCTGCGGGGGATCACCCGTCACGGTCCAGGTATATTACATACTTGGTGAGTATCTCAGGGTTACCCTACCTTTGTCTGTAAGATATGTATTCTCCTTGGAACTAGGCGAACTAGGCCAGTTTTCATTAGATCAATGGCTAGTCCATGTTGCTTTTGCAACAAAAACAAGACTTATCACCTGCTGGAAGACCTACCAGATCCAGAGATTCCAATCTGACGGCCAAATTTCAAAAGGGGCAGTCTATCTTACGCGAGAGGTCTGATGCAGGCCCCAGTTGTGTACGGTCTTGGCTAGGGTGTGTGCTCACATCTACATTAGCGCCTGCACAGGTTGTTAAGTCGAGGTCTCGTTCTTCTAGATCGCCTCGGTGCCTCGGAGGTACTTATCAGCTTACAAGGTGTAAGTAATATACCTCCCAAATTTGGTCTCGAACGAGATGATAAACAGTGAAATGTCGAGATATATTCCATAGAGTCTATTCATTCCTCTTGTTTGGTAGTTCCTCAGAGGGTAGGCACATATCCGTATATCCCAGACTACAGATTCAACAATATAGCAAGACCTCAACGGCTGACAGGGCCGGGATGTAAACATAACCCGAGGACATTCGGACGGTCTACCTTTCACATGAACTCCTCGGTCTATCGAGATATGAAGCAAATGAGATAAAGCCCCAGATTGCGTCTCAGGAACTCCAAGTGCAAGCGACCCCTCAATGGCGTATTACCTGCAGCGGTTCCAAAAGACAAGAATCTGACTGGCTCGCTTGGAGAACCTGCAAGTAGCCACCATCTCTGTGTGGCTGATTGAGAGCCCTGACATCACATCGTGCAGTTAGATGTACGGAGTATATTGCAGACGTTAAGTTGATCCAATCCCCGCAGTTCCAAGAATGGGGCGCTTCCCCCGCATTTATACAAACTTTGACGATCAGTGGAGGTTGGACTTGATTGGTGTGCATTCCGGTTGATGCGCAAGCTGTTTCTCTTAGCAATAAGTCTTACTGTCTTGCAGATTGAGCATCTGAGTCCGAAGAGCCTCGCTGGTGGTTCCTGATACCACAGCGGTGGGAGTAGGAAGTATGAGAGATATTACATCGATGCTACGCTCCACAAAACCCTGATCAATAGTGTACTCGCGCTGTATGATTCATGCTTCGTGCTTCATGCTTCACCGTGTATATAATGAGGTATACTAAGAGAGCCTCGAGATCTGGTAAGTTAGAACCCCTATTTGTTTCTCATTTGCTTATATTTTGATTCCCTTGTGAACCAGCCAATAAGCAAGAAAAAATGACATCAATAATTGTCTGATTATCTGTAACTGATAGTCACACACAGAAGCAGCCCAAGCGAGAAAATGAGCAGAAGTGACGCTATACCTCTAGGAAATCCGGGGTCAACCATGCACGGACCACCCTGACTCAGCTCGTCGCGGAAAATAGCTTCTTCGATTCCACGTAAACAACATGCGCTGAACGAATTGGCATTGAGTGACATTGAATTCATTCATCAAGTACTGTCACCACAGATATCATACAGGAGGAAACGCGGGTGGCTGCCCAGCTCGTCAATCCAGCCACGATATCTGCTAAGGGGGTCAAAAGCCACCTAATGATGCGCGCTACCCGCACCAACCAGTCTAGCGATTCTTAATATCTTGAAATTCAACTCTTAAAAGCAAGGAAAGAGAGAGAGAATGTCTCTATTCAGCTCGCCAACGCGGGTCTTCCTCGCCGCCACGGCTCTCCGCCTCATCCTTCTTGTCTACGGTGGTTGGCAGGACGCCCATTCCGCCGTGAAGTACACCGACATCGATTACATGGTTTTCACTGATGCTGCGCGCTATGTTTCAAAGGGCCAGTCGCCTTATGCTCGTGACACGTATCGCTATACGCCGCTCTTGGCGTGGATGCTTGTTCCTACGGCTTGGGAGGGTCCTGCGCCTTGGTCCGCGTTGACTTTTGCCTTTGGTAAGGCGCTTTTTGCTTTGTCGGATGTCCTGGCTGGGTGGCTGGTTGTCCAGTTGCTTGTTCGCTGCTTCCGCTTCCCTGTTGAGAGGGCGCTGCGTTATGTTGCTGCTGTTTGGTTGTGGAATCCTATGGTTGCCAATATCAGTACACGTGGTAGCTCTGAGGGGTTGCTTGGTGTGCTTGTTGCTGCGTTGCTTTGGGCGACATTGACGAGGAAGCCCGTTGTAGCCGGTCTGATCTTAGGCCTTGCTGTTCATTTCAAGATTTATCCTTTCATCTATGGTGTTTCCATTTTGTGGTGGTGGGATGCTGAGCGCGACGGGGCTCAGTCTGCCGGGTCAGGTCTCGTAGCGCGGGTTATTGGTTTCATCACGCCGTCTCGTGTGAAGTTCACGCTTGCGGCACTGATGAGCTTTGTGGCCTTGAACTTGGTCATGTATCTTCAGTATGGCACGCCATTTCTGCAACATACTTTCTTCCACCATCTGACTCGCATCGACCACCGCCACAACTTCTCTCCCTATAGCACCTTGCTATACCTGTCTGCAGCGGGTGGAGCGGAGACTCACTTTGAGGCCTTGGCATTCCTGCCACAGTTGGTCCTTGTGGTCATTGCCCTGCCGCTTGTCTTGGCAAAGAAGAGCTTGACCACTGCGATGCTTGCGCAGACATTCACTTTTGTTACTTTCAACAAAGTGTGTACTAGCCAAGTAAGTTACGTCCCAAAGGTGATTCGAATGGTTGCTGACTTGTCTAGTATTTCCTTTGGTACCTCATTCTGCTACCATTCTACCTCCCTTCTTCCTCGCTTATCCGCAGGCCAACCCTGGGTATCTCGGCTGCTCTTCTCTGGGTCATCGGGCAGGTAGGTTATCACTTATTCTCGCCGCTATGATTACCTTCTAACGTGACATATAGGCTCTCTGGCTATCGCAAGGGTACAACCTTGAATTCCTAGGTCTCCCCTCATTCGTGCCTGGACTGTTCCTCGCGGGGCTGTTCTTCTTTGCCGTGAATGTCTGGATCTTGGGTATCATCGTCCGAGACGGAGGAGAGGGTGCAGGTGAGATTGAGAGTGAAAAGGAAGACCGCAAACTACGTTGATAGCGAGACCGCTATTTACCACATGTATTATAAGATTAGACAAAGTGCAATTGAACTCAGTACATTATTTAGTCCTTGCGAGCCCAGATCACATGGAATATGTGTGACCACCCAGACCCATAACAGCCCGGATTCCATGGTGACTGCTTGGAGCGACGTATCGTATTTTGTCACCGTAACCTGATCGCATCAAACTGTCACATGCTCCCACAATCAATCTGATCAGATAAGATCGATCTCATTCGGACAAACTCGAATCACAGGGTCGCGAGACCCGAAAACGTGCAGCACCGCGCTTCCGGAGGGAATCCCTAATCGCACAAAAGAAAGAACCGCAACCAGATAGGTATTTTTTAGCATGTTAAGTGACAACAGAGATAAACACATGATTCAAGAAATGAAAAACAAGGAAGATGGGGTATTTGGCTAAATGTCAGGACGCAATATTAAAACCATTCAGAACGCTGCAAATCGATTAGAGAAATCCCGGGCTTAGAACTTGTTCACGTCGGCAATTATTTTGTACATGGCTGCATTGATGCTTTGCGGTCGAGTTCGAGGGTAGATGGCTCCGACAATATGGTTGTTTTTTCCATATTGAGGGTAGATGCCGTCTGCGAGTTCGACGTAGTGCGCATCGGGGCGGCTGACCTGGAGAGCGTTTAGGATGTCATGGCTCCATAGACCGGTGCATTTATTGTTGGAGAGTTGGAAGTAGGGGTTGAGTAGGGGACAGGTCGAGTCCAGGTCGATGTAGCGGATCCGAATATAGTCGAGATGCGGCATGCCGGCTAGACCCTCGACTGCTCCGATGATAATTGATTCGAAAATGTTGATGAAATTCATGTTGTTGATCCCGGACAATTCTTGGCTTGGGGGCATTACGACATCGTTCTTGTTGGCTGGCTCATCACGACAACATGACTTGACTACAATGTCTAGGGACTTCAGACGGGGAGTCGACGTCATCTTCTCCAATTCGGTTTTCATGGCATCGAAGAGGCACACGCAGATTCTCCCTGTGAATGAAAGAGACTCTAGGTGCGGAGCCGACTGGCCAAGTAACGTGCAGATTGGCGGAAGCACGGTTCGAGGAGTGAGGAACGAGGTCTGCGTAGCGTCTTTGTTGTTGTAGAAACCCTCCAAGGTCAGATTGAGATGTCGAATTGTAGCTGGAGGACGAATCAAGATGTGCATCATGGTGAGGTAGGCATTTGGCTGGGGTTGGGCGTAAGAACAATGCCATTCCCGCAACGCCGGAAGCGCCCGTGAAATGTGATGCCAGTCTTCGAAATCGCGCATCAGGTTCCAGGCGCCGCGCATAACGAGAGTTTCGATGTTGCTGAGCACGGGAAGACGCCGGAAGCTGAAAAATGAAGTCGACCGGCCGGGAAGGCCTCTGAAATGCTGGACCATGGGCGGGTTTTTACAGTGGCCTCCCTCGAGCGTAAGGACGCGGGCAGCGGTGAAGAATCTCTGGGCAAGCTCAAAGATTTCTTCCAGGGTAGCAGTCCGCGAAGCGATGTGATAGTGGATTTCGTTTGTGCTTTGAGTATCAGGCTGAGTCCACCAGTCCATCATCCCCTGTACGAGGGGATCCCCCCATGGGGCAGGCTCGACAGTAGGACGAGTAACAAGGGGACGATGGACTCGGTCACCCCAGACTGGAATCCAAACCTCAATATGACGGACGTGGAGGATGAGGTGTGGACTCGTCATGAACCATCGTGCGCATTCGGCCAAGCCATCCTGGGTTCCTTTGACCTTAACTAAAGTAGAATTCAGTCAGTACAATGCCAGGCCCTGCTCGGTCGTCACATACTGTGTCTGTAAATGCGGCTCTGGACGAGTGGAGTCCACACCCGGCAGATCAAGGCGAGATTTGAGAGGGCCTTGCGCCGCGGATGACGAAAAGCCTTGCTCCAGTTCTGCGCGGAAGACTTGGTATTTGCGGAAGCAGCCGCTCTCTCACCGAAGATGTGATCCAGAATATTCTCATGAATTTCGATAGGCAGATTCGCGAACTGGGTCTCTTCTCTGCCGAGTCCGGGCGAAGTGGGGACCGGTGCGGGGACACAAGTATCAATCTCAACGACAGGAAGTGAGTGACTGTCTCGAAATGGGATCTCTGCGCTTGTGCTGCGGGCCGTCTTGCTTGGAAGGGGTAACTGTGCTGGAGCTCTGGCAAGCGAATTGACCGACACCGGCCGGGGCGGGGCGGAGATCATGGCGACAAAGAGATATCTGGGGAGTTTCTCGGTGGGGGCGCGGTTCAAGTTGGGATCCGTGAGTCGTATTCTTTTTCAGTAGATGAAGTTCTAGCCAAATCTTCTCACATCAGCAAACAAACAGGTCATGTCGGACAACGCATATACCCACTGATTGCGGTGGTATGATGGCAGCTGAAGCTGAAATCGGAACCGTACAGCACCGAGTGATGTCTCAAGAGAACAAACGGACCCCAGACACACAGACACGGGGAGTTGATAAATGATGAGGGGTGACGATCAGGCGGTTGGGCGCTAAATGAGGCGCGTCGGGACAAGAGGACAAGAGGGGGAGGAGGGAGATAAAGCCGAAACGGAAAAAAACAAAGAGATAAAGAAAGGCGAGGAGAAGTCGAAGAAAAAGAGAAAAAGAGAGAAATAAAGAAGGATGGAAAAGAGGAGGAGGAGGGGGTCGAGACCGATGTTGACTATTTATACTTGCACTCTACATGAATCAACTGAAACTTGAAGATTATATCAAACCCCAACTGCATGGATGTCTTGTCGTTGGAAATTATACTACTGTCAGTTATTTGAAATACACGTGGTTTAGTAGCTTAGTAGATTCACTAGTAGAATACTATGTCGAATAGATCTACACGGCATATACAACCTTGGAAGTGCAGGAAAATAGAGGGTATCTATGCAGAACAGAATACGCTACAAATGCAAAATAAATCCTATCGCTTGCGCCTGAACCGGAATCGAAGCCCATCATCACTGTCCGAGTCATCCGCACGAGCTCTCTTTCGCCGAGGGGTTGGATCTGGGGTGGCTCCAGGCGATGCGCGTGCAGGGGCCAATAGCTCGGACGGTGGAGCCTCACGCGGACTCTCGCCAGACCGATCTGGCTCGGTTCGGTGCTCAGGGGAATTGCGGCTCCAGTAGTGATCGCCGATCCCAAAGTCTTTGCGCGTCACTTCCTCAAGGGGAACGATGACCGTCTGCACAGTACGACTACGGGGTTCGCCCTTTCGGCGGAATTTCTTGAAATTCTTGCGTCCGTTCCATCGCGCTTCCCAGCGGTCAGTCGTCTCTTCCACTCGTGTGGGTGGTGTTCGGACAGGAATTTCCATTTCTTCGATAATGGCGAGGTTCTTCAACTGATCGACGTCCACGTCGCCCATCTCGGCTGGGCGTGAGTCCTCTGTGGCCTTGCGCTGTTCCTCCTCTTCTGCGAGGTGCTTCCGGGCAGCTTCTAATAGATCGAGCTTGGGACGCTTCCGTTTGGGGGCTTCCGTTTCGACGGCTATTTGATCTTCTGTCCGATTGTGGGTCATCTCCGCACGACGACGCTTCATTGCACGGGCCCCAGGGAGAAGATCGGAGACCGAGTCTTCTTCAGCTTCTTCTTTCACCGTGTCCAGGAGCTGAGTTTGGTGCTCCGGTTCTTGAGTGTCCACATCCATGACTTGAGTGCCGACGTTGTCATCTTCCTCCACAGGTGCATACTTTGGAATGGACTCCATGTCAAATCCATCATCAAATGTCTTCATTTTGCTGACATAGGGGCGTACGCGGGGAGTTCTACCCCGAGATCTTGATGGTTGAGTAGGCTGGCTGGGCTCAGGCCCAGGTGGTGAGACCGATGAATTATTGGCCACCTCTTGCTCACTCGGCAGGCCAGCCTCTTGGGCAGTAGGTGCAGAAACCTGGCTGGACGCTTCTGTAGGCAAGGAACGGCAGAGGGGGGAGGCATCGTTACTGAGGATAGCATCGAGGAACTCTCGTTGCTCGATAACACGTTGATCTGTCATCAAAGCCACCTCGTTTCCAATTTCAATCGACCAGGACTCATGCTCGCCTGGTGATCGGAATCGAACGAGAACGACACCACCGGAGCTTCGACGCTCGCTACCCACGCCATTTCCCCGTGCTGACTTTTCCATAAATCGCACAATCTCTGCTGCCGTTGTCACTCCATTTTCTACTTCGTAGAGGAGAGCTTTGCCTTGCGCATTGTTTATTGGCGCCTGGAGATTGTCAAACTGCGATCGATCACCAAAAACGAATGTGTAGCCCTCGAAGACATTGAGACGTGCGGGATTCGGAGCGAAAGCGGTAGCAGGTCGGTTGACAGGCTCTTTGCCGGCGGGTGGCAGGTGCTCGGTTGGATCTGGCCACGATGATTCGAAATCGATTTCGAGAGGACAGAGAGACTCTAGGTTTTCGAGATCGCTGGGGGTAGCGGCGTAGACGACAGCATCGATGTATGAATCATTAACAATGTACTTTCCATTCACAAGAGCTTGTAGACCCTTGGCAGTGTTCCGTTTACTCTGTACCACATGAGTTGTGTGGCCGACGAGGTAATCGATGACGGTCTTGATATCGAGGTCTTCTAAGCGTGAACGAACATGGATCAGAGGATCACTCGCTCGCATCTCTCTGGAGGAGAACGAGAAACTGAATACCACTGGCTCCCATTTGATTCTACAGAATCTTGTCAGCCATCATCGTACGCTTCAGTCAGACGTACATACCGAAGCGTGTGCTGGTACTTGGCCAGTTGGATGATGTGCTCATCGGCCTTTTCCAGTTTGCATTCGCCTTCGATCCTCTTATTATCGACAATCGTTCCCTTCTTGGACTGCAGGTCGGTTATGGTGATATCTGATCGTGCACGTGGTGACATCTACCTCCCGTCAGCAACAGAATCCAGAGTATCGAGTGGTAATCGTACTCCATCCTTCGGCTTGACGGCAGCAATCTCGATGGTCATATGCTTGCGAGATATGGAGTTGTGATTGACGGCATGGCGGACTATCAAGAGTCAGTGTCTGATCTTCGATCACATTGATGTCGGCCATACCTCCGTCTCGTTGGAATCGACCGAATAAATACTTCTTTCCGGGGCGCAGCCATACGCGCTTCCCTGGACATTATCAGCAACTGCACAGTCAACAGATCACCAAACTCACCTTCCAGAAAGTCACCGCTCGAATCAAGAATCCACATGTTGAGCCCGCATGTCGCATGTCGGGAAATGGAGGAGCTCAGGCGGCGCACGTGAAATTGAAACGCGTGGGCACGTGACTTGGCGTTTCCATCCTGCGCCTCGTCACTGTCAAGCCAGTGAATACATGTACTTCAGCCATGGACTGCTCGGGCGAAAAGCCTGCCAGTGAGCCTGAGTCGGAGGATTATGGCACTCTGAAATATCAACTGCTTGGCCCGTCTCTAACGAAAGCGGGTCAGGACTCGGTCGATCAGCAAAAGGTACGCTGCTTACTGGATCTAAGTCTATTGACTGACCACTGAACTCGATCCCAGGTGTCGGAAATTATCTACAATGCTTCCAAGGGCTCTAAATTCTTCAATCACGAACAAGACCGTGATCGAAATCTCACGCTTAAGATTGAGCGAATTCTGAAAGAAAAGGCACGGTTAGAACGGCTAGACCTGAGCCATGAGTTACGACGCGCAGATGAATACCTGGCCGAGTTGGAGTTGAGTCGCGATCTCTCTCAACATATCATTCATGTCGACTGTGACGCGTTTTTCGCCGCCGTTGAAGAGCTTGACCGACCGGAGTTGAAGACGGTACCTATGGCAGTTGGCAAGGGCGTTCTGACGACTTGCAACTACTTAGCAAGAAAGTTTGGTGTCCGCAGTGGCATGGCTTCATTTGTTGCGAAGAAATTGTGTCCACAGCTTGTTCTCTTGCCTCAAAACTATGAGAAATACACCGCAAAAGCCAAGGAAATCCGCGCTATCTTGGCCGAGTACGATCCTCTTTTTGAAAGTGCAAGTATCGACGAAGCCTATTTGAATATCACTGCATTCTGTGATGAAAATCAGCTGGAGCCAGAAGAAGCTGTCCGGAGGATGCGTGCACAGATCCTGGAGACCACCAAGGTGTCTGTTTCCGCTGGAATCGCTGCCAATGCAAAAATCGCAAAGGTTTCTTCAAATATTAACAAACCGAATGGTCAATTCCAGGTTCCGAACGAGCGTCAAGCAATTATGGAATTCATGCGGAGTCTCCCAGTACGCAAAGTCAATGGTGTTGGCCGAGTATTCGAGCGAGAGTTGGAATCCATCGGCGTCAAGACGTGTGGAGATATCTACCCACACCGTGCTTTGTTGACCAAGCTATTTGGAGAAAAGGCTTTCCAATTTTTGGCACAATGCTACCTCGGCCTCGGGCGCACCAAGATTGAGCCGGTGGAGACCCATGAACGCAAAAGCGTCAGCACAGAGACTACGTTCCACGAAATTGGAGACAAAGAGGAACTTCGAGCAAAACTCTGGTGGGCTGCGCAGGAGCTTGAAAAGGACCTCACGCGGACTCAATTCAAAGGCCGCACGCTCGCCCTGAAAGTGAAACTCCATACTTTCGAAGTGATAACCCGCCAGACAGCGCCATCTCGTCCGGTGTGTATCGCAAAAGACCTGTATACATTTGCTCTACCCATGTTAGCGAAGCTTGAAAGAGACATTCCGGGAATGAAGCTCCGGCTTCTTGGCTTGCGCTGCTCAAACCTGGTCAGCACCCAGAAAGTAGGAATCAATTTCTTCGGCGTGGTTACGCAGCCCAAACCCACTGCAGAGCCCACCTCCGCAACTACACCCACAGAAAAGGCAGATCACGAGATTGATGCCGAAGAGGCCTTTGAATCAGCCGCTCGCCAGGAGATCCAAGATGAAATGAATGACTTGGAGACCCTTAGTCAAGAGACCCCATCTGTTTCTGTCGCCCGTGAGTCAGAGGAATCTGCGGTCCCAGAGCAATCTACGTCCGAAACAGTTGAGCCATCTCCAATGTGGGACTGTCCAATCTGTGCCCGACCCCAGATTGCTGATGATCGCACCTTCAACGAGCATATGGATTTCTGTCTCTCAAGACAGACAATACGTGAAGTGGTGCAGGACACTACAGAAGAAACAACACACTCGATACCCCCAGGTAGTCGGAAAAGGAAGACACCGCAGCCTAGTCCCCCTGAGACAGACCCAAAGCAGAAGCGACTTTTCTTCCAGTGAGCCGTTGCGATCTTAACTTGTACAATAAAATTCTTGGATTGAATATCCTTCACTTCACAATGGCCCTGACGTTTGCTAGTGTCAGTCTAACAACTTAGTGCCCCCTTAGCAGTGATTTTCATCAATAACAGACTCACCGTGTTTCCAGTCTCCACTTGACAGGCACTAGAGTCGGAATAGAGACACAAACGGGTTGCCCAAGTGCGAGGAACACGACGAATACATCTAGCAATCCATAACAATAATAGCACCCTTTATAGCAAGGCATATAGAATCGTGATATCACAAACCACTTCAATAGTCGGAAGTAAGGAATTCCACGTTGCGGTGAAGCGCCACCCTAAACCCAATCGGGCGGGAATGTTTTCGTGACTTGATTCTCTCTCTTGACTTCTCCCATCAGGCCACCTGAATATCTGAAGATCTCAATATCCTGGTGCTTGATTGTTGAATGTGGCACCATGCTGATGCTCTGTGGCTCGCAATGCCATAACAGACCCAGCACTCCCCGCAACTATGACCTTCGATAAACAAAACAATGGCAATCTCGCCAAACCGTTCACGCCCACCCTCAGCGCTGCTTTTCACCGGAATAAAACGCCTTTGACACCGAAGCTTGCAAGTCCAAGTCCGGGGCCTGGATTCCCTGCAGGTCGCCGCCTCGCTCAACCCGATCACCCCTATTCCACCCCCTCCAAAGACTCCCCCGCGGTCCACCCGACCTTCCTGAGTGCCAATGTTACTCCACGATCAGGTGCCCGAACCACTCGTCGAGATGGTACCAACGCTTCCCCAACAAATACACCTTCTGCTTCTTCTCCGCATACACCTTACTCCCAATCAACAATCGGCTATGGCCGCCGAACTGATCGCAGCCCGGCTCGCGGGGTCAAACCGGCGCAATCAAGGAGCTTGAGGGCTCCAACGCTGTCGGCGGAAAACCAGCCTATCTCACGTCCGAATTCCTTCTCCGACATGGCATCGGGGTCGCCCTTGTTCTTTCATGCGTCGGACGCTCGTTCATCACATCCCTCCGAGGTGGAAGGCCCTGCAACAAGACCTCAGGGGAAAGCGTCCCCGGCTTCAACCTTTGTTTACGCGAATGGAGATCAAGAACGCCAGTCACTGGGAGACCAGTCGAGTACCACATCGTCTGTTGTAAAACGCCGATCTGGAGGTTACTCGCGGCCCTTGCCCACCGCGAAACAAGCAGCTTCCCCTTCACCACGCCTCAGTTCACCTAAGCTCTCAGATGCCACCTCCTCGCCACCAGATGCTACGAAATCCTCATACCCTCCAAACGCCGATCAAGGTCTTGGGATAGTCCACCGTTTCAGCTCCCCGTCAAGTACAATCAGCGATAGACCACCAATCGGAGGACACACCAAATCATCTAGTGTCGACTCGAGCCACCAAGCTCTTCCACCCGACAGTTTACGATCAAGTCCAGTTATTGTTTCTGGTAACTATTTTAGCGAGGGGTCGGCACCCGTGATGTCAGAACAGATCCCGACTCTTCGCCCTCGAATCTTCAGCAATGGCTCCTCCATGAACGGGTCCACCATTTCGAACGAAACATATCCCCAAGCACCTCTAAGTCCTGGAAAATCAGAGGGCCCCAGTGAGGCCGCCCTGAATGCGCGCACCGAGCGCAAGATCATGGACTTGGAGATCAGCAACTCTTCATTACTTGCCATTAACCGCACCCTCGAGCGAGAAATGCGCAAACAAAATGCTGAGCTCCGCCGATTCCGACGACTGAGTCGCTCAGGCCGCATTTCAATGGCTCCATCAAATCGTTCATTCTCAGGAGCAGCTCTTTCAACAACGAGTGAAATGGACGAAGATGCCAGCGAACTTTCGATGCGATCACAGGATGATATGTCGGATATTAGTGACGAAGATTCTCTTGCAGATGATGGTGTTGCGAGTCCGGGCTCGTTGGCCGAGCATGATGCTAAGCACCGTGCCCAAGACGAGAAACGATTCATGCTTGACCTTGCACGACACCAAGAACTATTAGCGGACAGTCAGAAGATGAATCAAAGTCTGAAGCGCTGCCTGGGATGGACAGAAGAGTTGATCAAGGAAGGCCAAAGGGCCCTTGAGTATAATGTCCATGTCCAAGACGTCGAACTCGGTGGCCGAGTCCTCGCACCTGAAGAATTGGGTGAGGTTGGCGAGAGTCGTCGTGGCCTGCTAAGTCCTTCCACTGAATATGACGGTGTATTTTCGCCTGTTGAATCCCCGTCTATTGGTTTCTCTGATGAGCCGTCTATTGCACCATCTATTGATTCACCTGTTCCACCATCTGCTCCTGAATTGACGACATGACATTTTTGTTTTGCTTTCATCTCCTGGCGGGATGATCCGCTCTTTTATTGCTTGTTCATACCCATTGCACAATACCCCTTTTGATGCCTTTTCATCTTGAATTCGTCCTTTCATTTCTTCATCTGATACAGGCTCTTCTCATTCCTTTGACCCTTGCACCTTGTACAATGAGACTTTCGGCTTGGTTTCTTCATTTATTTCACCAAATGGTCAATGTTAGATATACCCGACCATGTCACCCGTCTTGAACGGTTGTTGCTGGCTACTTTGATAGATACCCGATGTGCAATTATTGTCTGCGCGTATTTATATTCTGCGATTGCGATCTCTTACTATGTACGACTGATATGTTGAAGTTAAACAACACGAGAACTAATTGACCTGAATGCTTGATACTGATACTTGATACTCTACCGGAATGTGCTAAATAAAGCCTTGTCCTCCTGGTCAAGTTACATTATGGAAACGGGCATTGCCCCATCCGCTCCTGACGCAGAGTCTCTTGAATAGCCTCTAGCTCCTTTCTTCCCTTTCCCTCAAAGTACTTCGGGCCCAGGTCAAGAGTATAATAACCCTGCGGATAATACTTGTCACCATCATCACCAGGCAAGGGCTGCCCAAGAGCCCACTTGAACCATGCCACGGGTCCCCAGCGATTCCAGATCGTAGGTTGTACATAGAACGGGGCGCCTTCATATATCAGTACCCAGTTTCGGCCGTGTTTATTGGGCTTCTCAGCGAATACGTCCAACCGCATGCAATTTGGGCGTGGGAGAGCCAGATATCGCAGGCATAGTTGACGTAGCCTGAATATCGACGCGAAAGTGAGATTAAAGAAGGCTGGAGGTGGTTTCATCCTAGATAATAGTTATCAGGTCATGTTTTTCCATATAATAACCCTGCAAAAGCATACATCATTGCGTTTCGCAAGCGTTCGTCCATGAGGAATGAGACGAAATACTCGCCGAGCGGCTTCATGAATCCAGGTAGGTTGTATACCAACACATCGATTGTCTTATCTGCAATCTCCTTATTGCGTGGGTGAGGGTTCATATGCCGAGCCTCATATTGCTGGCTCCAAGCACCTATCTCCTCCAGCCAATGGATTCCATCCTGAAAGCCACTCTTACCTGAGGGGAGGGCATCATAGCTGATACCCAGTGCATCGCCGAGACTCTTCCAATATGTACCGATGGCACAACGTTCCATCTCTGTCATCTCGCGCCACTCATATAGACTCACGAATCGGATTGGTTCGATGGCGAAGAGGCTCAGCGTGTAGAGCATGTCTGCTTCGAGAATCTTTCCGCTGGCTCGGTATCCCTTGTGTAGGAACTTTGTTCGGGCTATTGCTGTTTGTGCTCGTTCTGAGCTTGGGTTAAAGGCCATGAACTCGCCGATTAATGTTCCTGTGTCGGCATATCTTTTGAAGGAAGTGGCAGAGTCGGAGAATTGGGAAGTTTTCAGAAGAAGGGTGGAGATGGTTTGTATTCCATATGTCTGTCCACGTTAGCTATACTATAATGCCGTATGCTATCGTCATAACTTACACGGAAGAGTGCGAATTGGAGTGACTTGAGAATGATGAAGGGAAACTCGGTCTGCATGATGGTCTTTTGGATAGCCCAAGCATCTTGGTCGGTCATTTGGCCCATTGATTCCCTTGTCGAATAGTAACTGTATTTTCGGTGTAGAGTGCGTCGCCGTTGGAATCGGAGGGAAGATGCTAGCACTAGATATGCAACTACTCCTAGTAAGACATATAGTATCTGCTCCGACGGCGAGGATTGCAATACAGCACCGAGCAAAGGTGCACCTCCAAGTGTTCGGAGCATAGAGGGCGATGCCATATCTTCAAGACTCTGATGGAGCAAGCATAAAATATGTGATACTGCAGTGAAAGTAGTATTTATTTGAATTGATTTTGGGACCTATGGCTTGACTATTTTATATGTTCCACGCTCACACTTTCCCAATCGATTCTACTACTAGCGGTGCAGCATATCCGTGGCAATGAAAATAGCCAAAGAGAACAAGCTCATGTAGTGGCTCATCTAAAAGAACGAGCGGACCGAGGAACAACTGCTGTCCCGCGCGGGGAAGTCCCAGAGCCTTACTGCACAATATGGTATCATGACAGGCGAATGCCACGACTAGGTGTGCTGTATAGGGCAGTCCTGGCACAGGGACGAATGAATGCAAACCCGAACGGAATGACAAGACATATAGCCGAGGTTTTCAATCAAATCCGAATCATTCGATCCGTCGAAACTGTTGTTCTGGGACTGTGAAAGTAAAATCGACCAACCAGATATCGAGATACGAAGCATAATGGCAGCATAAGGATTCACATACTCGGTATATCGGCCGGAAGTGGACGAACCGGTGTCATACGACCTTATTCAAATAACAGCAGCATAACATCATCGAAATAGAGTGTCGGACCACAGAGATGCCGGGGATCATCACTAATGTAGGGGCGTTGGTGGATGAGGGGGATCAGCATCACATGAAACCAAGACAAGCCTCATCTTTCTACAGATGTTCGACTATACAATGATAATTGAATAGGCATTGAATAATTCATTCTGACTGGAATGCATTGCATAAATCACACCAAACAGTATCGTGAACTTTGAGCTGTATCAAGCATGCGCTCACAAACTAGGCATTCTGCGCCTTAATATAAGGAATCCCAGTGAGCCTGAAAGCCCTTTCACACAAAACTGGGTCTACTAGTGGCTTCAAGCGATTATGAGGATCCTCCTCCCCATCCCGCTGGGCGACATTGGACCCAGTATGTTTCGCATTCGGCCAGTGCGTCGTACCAACACGACGTTCAAAGGCGTCTTTCTTGCGCAGCAGGTCCTCCTGGGTCGCATCTGCAACAGGCATAAAGCAAGTATAGATGGCAAAACGTGGCTGGTCGTTCTTCGGACTCAGGTTGTAGTGAGGCGTGCGTGAGTCCCAGAGAAGAAGATCACCGGGTTCAGCGCTGAGCTTTTCCCACTTGCAGCCGTGGTCATCCAGCCATTTCATGCCGCGCTCGGTGAAGCCATACCATTCTGGAGTCCAGGCAGGGATTCTTTCTTCGTCGGCCATCTCTTTGTGGAATTGTTCGGAAAGAAGGTGGCCGCCACGGCACACAATCAGTCCACCGTCTTCTGGGCCATTGGGGAGCAGGTTGACCAGTCCTTGCATGCAGCGGAAGCCATGCTTTTCAGGGTCCTGATCCTGGTGTGGCCATGGCTTGTTGGGAGCAATGTCGGTGCGACTGACATGACATTAGAATACTGAGGGCTCTAACATGAAAGATATATGAGAATGTTCACATACTTGGGGAATTGGAAGTTGACGGCATCGAAAGACACAATAAGATCCTCATCGTCATAGATCTTCTCGAAGGCACTGACAACTCCCGGCTCACTTCGAACGCCCCAGACAAAGTTCTCATGAGGGAGTGCGTAGTTTAGACACATGCCCTTCTCATTGATCAAGGGAAGCTTGTCTTTGTGCACAGTAGCCAAATCATTTCGGTCAAATCCCAATTCACTATGTATCTCTGGTCAGTTTCTCCTAGGAAGAGCATTGTTCAAGTTTAACTTACAAGCCCTCTAGCCAGGAGTACATCTCATCAGCATACTTCATAGCCTTTTCTTTGGGAATAGCGCCTTTGACGATAGCGAACCCATCTCTGGTCAGATCGTCTCGGAAATCACCAAAGGGCCTATCAGTTCCATCAACGCGCATGCGACCAAAGCCATGCAAGTTTGGATTGACCTGAACGGTCTCAACAGCGGTTGTTGTAGTAGACATGTTGAGGAGACACAAAAGTGAGCCGTAAAACTTCAGCGTACCAGCTCCTTAAATGGTTAACAGCTGTCAAGAAATACCAGTGTTATCATGACTGCCCACATAAAATATTCAGCAAATCATCAAGTGAGGTTTGATTATTTCGACTGGCCCTCGGCTTCTCAACTATGCGTTGCCGCAGTGTTCGGAAAGTGGAGGTGGGGGAACGGGGGACGCGGAGAAATGGGGGAAGTCAACCTTGGACTTTCTTGGTGAAATTGTAGATAATTAGAGTAAGAAACTTGGAATTTCTACTGTAAACATTTGAATCATGGCGCCGTTTCGCATCGTCATCGTGGGTGGTGGCATCGCAGGCTTCACGGCTGCCATTGCCCTCCGTGGAGCCAACAGACATATCACAATCCTCGAACAATCGAGCTTGAACAAGGAAATTGGTGCTTTGATTTCTTTGCAGCCGAATGCTTCCAGGATTATGGAGTCCAAGTGGAATCTGGGCCAGGAACTCCTGGAGGCGCGGCAAATGGTGGATGAAGGATTCCGGATATACAACACAGAAGGAAACCTGGTCAACACTATACCTTTGCTGACAAAGGAAAAGTATGGCGCGGAGCGTCTCTTGTTTCATCGGAGAGATCTCCATGAGACACTGAAAAGTGCAGCTGTCTCACCCATGCGGGCAGGGGATCCAGCCATTGTGCGAGTCACGTCGAGGGTTGTTGACTGTGATGTACTGAAAGGAACAGTCACTCTGGACGGCGGTGAGATAGTCGAAGGAGACGTTATTATTGGTGCAGATGGAATGTAAGGTGTGAGTTCATTTGAACACAAGTACTAATTGCTAACATAAAGGTTGCTTAGCCATAGCGTTCTTCGAAAACATGTACTCGAGGAAGCACCTAGTCCTATGCCGACCGGCCATTCTGGTGAGACTGACTAGAACAATATATTGTGATTGGTTTAGCTAATCGTTAATAGCGTATCGCCTTATGGTTCGTTCCATAGCTCATCATATGAACAGCCTAGCTGATGTCTCCAGATGCCAACAGAAATCCTTGAAAAGGAAGAACCTGAATTTTGTGCTAAGATCAACCCCCGAGAGCCTTTCACGTCGATGATCGTCGCTCACGACTGTCGTCTCATCATGGGCCCCGGAAGACAAGGCGAGGTTTATGGGATTGTCGCTTTAGTGCCGGATGGTATGCACAAATCCATCTTTTCATGGTACTGCTAACAATGAACATAGACCAAATGAACGAGAATCCTCATGCAAAACAGTCTTGGGTTGCAGAGGGAGACTTGGAAAAGATGATGCAGACTTTTGCCGACTTTCCGTCCTGGGTTAAAAACATCTTCAAGTATGATTCCAAGGCCATGCGCATCTTTCTTAGAAGTCTGCTTACCATTCTAAAAGACACTCGGCCGATCTGGGCCTTTGGCAACTACGGGATCTTGTAGGCACTCCTATCAAATTTGTCTTATGTATCTCACAAGTACAGGATCCTTTGAAAACGTGGCACCGTGGCCGTGTAATCATCATTGGAGACGCCGCACATGCCATGCTACCAACGCAAGGTCAAGGAGCCAGTCAAGCAATCGAGGACTCTGAAGCTCTTGGAGCATTCTTTGATGAGATCATTGAACCACCATCCCCTGAAGTCCTTACAAAAGCACTTGAGGTACGAAATTCAATAGAATGACTGGAACGCAAACAAGCAAAGAACAATTGGCTAAACAAATGCAGGATATCTTTCAGGCACGCTACAAACGTGCAAGTCTGATCCAGGCATATAGTCGGCAAGCAGCCAAGCCAGCAACAGCTCAGGGAAATAAAGTAGTTACAATGTATGTATGAGCAAGACCCTTGACGGAAAAGAGACTAACTCTTTAGGAAACCGGACGAATTCATGGACTTCAACTGCAGATATGACGGGGCCAAAGAATGGCAACAGCTTAGAGAATAGTAAGAATATGATATTTTTTGAGTGAATTGTTCAGAGGCTTTTAAATGTGTGGACCTCTCACTCATATAGAGGTGTGAATGAAGTAAGAAAAGAGCAACGAAGTGAGCGAAAATAACTAGTAAACCTGTATTCCCCCTTTGAGGACTGTAGGGACTGTCCAAATGCCGAGAGACAACCGTCTACACATTCCTGGCCTAAAAAAGCCAACATTTCCCCGCAAATGTGGAGTAAAGTCTGCAGTAAGTCGTGTATAGCTTTGACCCTATTGGATGTTGAATGGGCCAAGGTGGCCCGCAAAAGAACCGCGTCCCGATCGCCCATATAAACGGCCCTCAACTTCCTCAATCCTCTCAATATGCCTCATGTCCGACGTTCAAACTCCGCGACGCTCCTCACGGAGTAAGAATGGCACCCATCACTGCCCACACTGCGGCAAAGGGTATGAACGACCAGATCATTTGGCGCGTCATTTAGATTCTCGTAAGTGTCTCTATTACCTCGGGAGATATCTGGCTGACGAAACTTTGAGATCGCAACGAAAGAACCTATCAATGTCGGATTTGCCAGCGCGGATTTAATCGCCGGTGAGCGTGGGATGTTCCAGAGACTAGTTGGCTGAGCTCATGAAGTCAGAGATGTCCTTCAGCGACACCAAGCAGTTCACGAAAAAGATGCGAACGAGGGCAAGAAAACACCTCGCCGCGCGCGAGAGCGAGCAATTGAGGCTTGCGACGCTTGCGCGACCGCTAAATTGAGTTGCGACAACGAAAGACCGTGTCAAGTAAGGGCTTTTAGACCTCGACTAGGCCGCTTGTTAATTGTTTCAGAGATGCCAATCAAAGCAGATTGAATGCGTTGCAAAGCGCCCTCGACTCAGCAATCAGGATCATGCTTCACTTCCTCAATTCTCCCCGATGACTACAACGCCAGATTCGAATCTCTCAGATTTGAGTGTACCCCCTGCAACGGAGTACTCAGGCAGCCATGAAATTTACGACTCCAATTTCGCGCAAGAGCTTACCCTAGACCCATTTCTTCCGGATACTGTGCCGGTATATCCTAACCTGAACAATTTCCCAGCCTTTTTCGAGCAGGTTATGCTACCAAATGTTGAAATGGAAATCCCACAAGAAACACAGCAACCTCGTGGCGTGTTCGACTTCATGCTGGATACCGATTTCATTTTCCCTGAAAACGATCTTTTTGATACAAATTTCATGCCTGACCTTGATCGAATACTGGATACTGGACCCTCCATTTGCGGATCTGAAGATCTACAGAATCCTCAACTTGGTGATCATGAGTCGGCGAGCAGGCGAGCAGCTGCCTTCCGAAAGTCTTTCTGGTATGTGAAAGTTTTGCGGATTATATTAATAAATTTGTTCGGTTCTAAGTTTTGTAGGCTTTGGGTGCCAGAAAAGAACCAACATGCGTTCAGCGAGGAGAGAAGAATTCCTCTGCGAGATGGCGACACTATCTCACCGAAGCATCGAAACCGACTCGAGGCTTTGCAAATACCAGGAAACTATCCATGCACTCACGAGATGATATCTTCAAATTGGTCGTTCAAACAGCCGGTTCTCGACTTTCAGTTTCCTCTTTTCCCTCTGCTGAATACCTGGATACGCTGATCAAAGTCGGCATTGGAAAGCGAACAGAGACTGATGCATGGATTCATCCATATACGTTTTACGATCAGAAGTTGAGACCTGAATTGTTGACTGGCTTGGTCGCAGCAGGATGTGTGTGCTGTGGATTGGCGTCTATCAACAAAACTGGGATCGTTCTACAGGAAATCACCAGAGTATCCCTGGCTCAACTTGTATGGCTTTCACTTCCAAAATAGTCGACTCTTGGCTAAGCGTTTGTTTATTCCATTAGGTCGAGGATGATAACAGTGTTTTGCGCGATCTGCAGTGGCTACAAGCATCGATGCTGTGGTTAGATATCGGCATCTTCTGTGGCTATAGACGAAAGATGCAAATAGCCGAAAGCTATCTACAACCATTGTGTACTGTATGGACACTAAAGAACAAACTTCATGGGTTGGGTTGACCTTTACAGGCTTTCCGACGTGCTGCAGCATTTGACAGATCTACATACTCGGTCATAACACCTTATTTGGCTGGCGAGGATGAGCAGTCTTTGAATAATGTCTGGCATGAGTGGGTAAGACAAGAATCACTTAAGCGGTACGTATCAACCTCCAACTAGTCAGATATTGAGGCTAACAGAACTAGTTTGGCTTATCATCTATTTGGCCACGATATAGAGGTTGCCATGGCTATGAACCGCCCGGCTCTTACTTCATATACGGAGTTAACATTACCCTTCCCTGCTGCAAGAGATCTCTGGCTCGCACCCACAGCTGCTGCATGGAGAGATCTTTGGAATACAAAGTACCGTGTTGTAGAGGTGTCGGACTTCAGTCTCCGAGACTTATTATCTGATCCGTCATTAATGACACATATCCCGATTGAGATGGACTTTGATATTGCAAGAACTGCATTGTTGCAGGGGATGGCCAGCCAGGTGTGGGAAACTCGCCAACAGCTGATTTTATCCCAGGGAACACAGTCTAGCACCCGTGCTATGGCTCGACTGTGGCTACAAAGCAGACAAGATGATCTGTAGGTTTACCATGTCCTCCGTGACTTTGATGCTGACCGTTCAAGGTATACCACCTTGAAGTCCATATCTGAGAATCCACCGACGCCTCCACCTGTGACAACATTGCTCAACGAGTTTGTAATGATGTACCTCCACATTGATATTGATGCCATCCAACGATTTGTTGGTAAGCTCGGGGACCTGGATGCTCGCCGAGCATACCCTGGTCTTCGAGACTGGAGCCACACAAAAGAAGCACGGACGAGCATCTGGCATGCTGGTCAGGCTTTGCATGCTGCACGAGCTGTTAAGGCCTATCAGCTACGTGGATTCGATGCTATGGCCATTTACCACGCTGCATTGGTTTTGTGGGTATACGGGCTTCTCCAGTGCGGAGAGTTAAAACAGCTTGAAGCCAAGACACCCATGAGCGAAACAGACTTACCACCATGTGTGTCACTTGATGGGCCAGAAGACAAGGTGACCAAAGCGTTCTTGGGTCATGGAATTGGTCGCCCAGGACTGACAATGGCCCGAGGTGGTCCCGATGGGGATACTCCAATGTTCTGTGAACTAAGCAAGCCACGCTCAGTCATGGCTATTGCCCGGCAGGTCTTTGAAGGGAATTGTCCTTGTCCTTTTCCAGAAGACCGTCTGCCACCAATGATCCAAAACCTGTGTGAGCTGATTGAGGATTTGGGGAATCTTCCATAATTCACAAGAGATAATCATGTACAATTTACCAGCCGACTAAACGATTCAATTAATTCCATCAACTATAAATCCCCGTATAAATTCCACTCCCCCATTTGCCGAACTTATCCCTCGAGCCAATGAGCGAAGCCCTAAAGCCGTCGGATTGTGGGGGAAATCCCCCCTCGGCAATTGTGGGAAGTTGCGATTGACCAGCTCTAGGGTTGCTTGACATTCTCTAAAAGCCACTCAAACTATGCCCATTGAACTGTGGGGGGGACTGTGCTAATGAAAAAGGGAGACTTATCTCTCGCTTCTGAATTTCCACTTCCCCTAAGAGTGCCAATACAGACATACTACATAATCGACATGGCTTCTGTTGAACAAAAGCCCAAAATTGAATTCCTCGAAGATGTTGAGGTTAAAGAGACCAGGACGGGTGAGGTACTGGTTGATGAAAGGGGGAAGTCCAGCGATTGCCTGTGCCCAGTAGCGATCCCAACGATCCGCTGAACTACACCAAGTGGGAGAAGTTAGGTGTCATTTTCAGTTGCTGCTGGTTCTGTAAGTCCCTCCTTGTTTCCCCATGTGGATACTGCTCACACAATTCAGCGATCATGTCCTTGTCGGTAGTTGGAGGATTGGGCGCCATACTCGGCGTCTTCTTCGAGCTCTATATCCCTCAAGGTCACAGCTCGACGCAAATTGTCTGGCTGGCGACATTCCCGTCGTTGTTTGTTGGTATCGGTGAGTAGTCTAGTCATGTGTTGCAAGTCGTGTTACTTAATTTTGATTGACTGGTAGGAAATTATCTGATCCTTCCGTTGGGTCTGGTATACGGTCGTCGACCAGCGACGATCGTCTCGATTGTTGTGCTTCTGGGGTCGACGATCGGTTGCGCTCTATCACAGACATTTGAGCAGCATCTGGGTCTTCGCATCCTTCAAGGACTCGCCACGGGTGCCACGGAATCGGTTAGTTGTCCTCTCAATTTCCGACATTCCGAAGGAGAAGCTAATTGCAATGTTTCCACAGCTGCTCCCTCTCATGCTATCTGAGATCACTTTTGTGCATCAGCGTGGGACCGTGTTTGGTGTATATTGGGCAACGCAGAATGTAGTGACAAGCTGCTTGAACCTGGCCAGTTCGTATGAGGCCGCTGCTCTGGGATGGCGCTGGTTCTATTGGGTCTATGTCATTGCTGTCGGAGTGGGACTTGTTATTGTTGCATTGAGTTGCTTCGAGACAAGATACCAGCGACGTGCACAAATGATAAATGGCCAACTGGTCATCACTGATGGGTTTGGAGTCACTCAAGTGCTTACCGGGGCTCAAGCCCAGGCCTATCTGCAAATGCAAGAGGCAGAAGATGACTCGATCATCCCGGATGCAGCGCGCCCAAAGAAAACATATGTGCAGATGCTTAGCCCGGTTGGGCCTCCCACCAAGAACCCCGTTCGAACTGTGCTGATGGCTTGGTTCCATATGTTCGAGGCTTTCTCTTCCCCGGGCATTCTATATGCCACTCTTCTATCTTCAGTAGTGCTGGGATCTTCTATCGGCATCTCGCTGACGTATGACGCTGTGCTTCAAAGCTATGGTTGGCCAGCCAAGAGTGTTGGTCTGATCAACCTGGGTGGTGTATTCGGTGGCTTCGGGGGTATGTTATATGCTGGAGTTTTTGGTGACTGGTTTATTCTCCGGATGGCCAAGCGCTCTGGTGGTGTTCATATCCCAGAACATCGGTTGATTCTGCTGATATTCCCTGGTATTCTTGCCGTTGTATCATTACTCCTCTACGGTTTCACTGCCGACAACAATGCCACTTGGGGAGGGCCATACATGGGATGGACGCTTTTCCAGGTGGCCTTTGTCTCCGTTTTGATTTTGTCAACTTCATTCGCAGCGGAGGCCTGGGAGAAGAACCCCGGACCTGCATTGGTGGCTGTCGTTGGGACCAAAAACATCATCGCGTTTGGTGTCAGTTATGGTCTGACTCCCATGGTAGCCAAGTATAGCTATCCTACTGCGATGGGTATTTTGGCTGCAGTGACCGGGGCTATATTCCTACTTGGAATCCCTGTTTATTTCTTCAATCCAGCTGTGAGTTTACGCCGTGATCTTGATTTGACGCCAGATTATTGACCTGTGAACAGTGGCGCCGTTATAAGAACCGTCAGGAGTCGAAGTAGTCAGCTTGTGCTTGGGTAGGTGTTATTATAATTATGACGGGTACCATAGTATCCACTGGAATTCTCTAGCTGGAGCTATTGTATCAACTAAATGCATCGTGCACTGTGATCCCAGTCTAAATACCACAGCCTGTTGCGCTTAATACTTGTTATAGAGATAATTGAAGTACACATGTGTAGATATGTGCGATTATTAAAGAAAATAATCATCTGTTCACATCACTCAGTATGAATACAGTCAGGCCAGACGCACATAGCCAAAAACCCAACTCTGGCTCAAGGCTTTCGTGGCTGTCCATTGCCAACCTGGCTGGTAATATTATAATCACCAAAGCAGGCCTCCTGGTACATAGCCTCCTTGTTCAGGTCAGGAATGGAACTGAGGAACTTTTCGACAGGGCAGAAACCATTCACTGAACCATCGCAGGCAGTGAGGCCATCCACAGGTACCGGTGCGTTGTTCAGCACAAAACGGATATAATCGGTAGTATTAGACTCAGACGATAGATCCGGATTCTTATACTTCTGCGGTTGGAGATTCTTAAACGAGATATCTTTTGGGCAGGTCCAGACCTCGGAAAACAGGCGGGCACCGAAGGGAGTCAATTGATTCATGTTGAAATTGCGACGTGGGGCGTGCGAGACTGATGTAGGCATTCCATGAGGACTGTACTTGAAGTAATCCAGACCCAGAGCTGTCAGTACAGAGACAATGATATCGTCATGAGACATATCCATATACATCGGCTGATTGAGCGGGAAGGTCTTGGTGTTGTCATCGTAGGTGTAATTGATGCTGCTGTCGCTGCTCATGATTAGCTTTGACTGCAGTCGTGCAGCTAGCTCCTGAACATAGCCAATCCCCTGGGCGCGACCACTAGGGGAGCCAAAACCATAGTTGCCATAGAACTGGAGGTCGGCAAAGTATTCAAAGTCGCGCCATTCCTGCTCGGTAAAGATCGCACAGAAGGAAGATTGGCCCAAAGTCGCATACTCGTACGGGCACATGTTAAACATGGCAACGATGTCAATAGTATCGAGCCTTAGATCTTCCGGCAAGTACGCAGCGAAGCGCTTACGGGCGTCCTTAACGAGAGTCGGGGCAAAAGCTTCGGCAGCATTGTCACCCGGCTCTGTGCCTTTGGGGCAGGAATCGGTCGCCGATAGGGTGTTGTTGAAATCATCAACCTCGGGGATGATGACCAAGTTGTACTCGGAATACGAGCTATTGGCTCCGGTATTGCCAAAGAAACCGCTTAGCCACCAGCGAGCACTCTCTAAGATCCGGGGGTAGGATGTCGTCCGGAAAGTAGGCTTCGGTCGTGATGTGCCATTGGAATACACATTCAGCGATGCATTCCAAGAAGCATCACCACGGTCTGCACGGTAAAGCAACCGGCCGTACTGGCTCCAGAATAGTGCGCCGGAAGTGGCTTCAGTGGCGGCGCCGGTGGGAAGAAGTGTATTCAAGCCAAGCATATACTCCCAATCATTCAAAAAGGCAAGAGGACCGGTGCCAATCTTCTTGGATGGGTGCCTCTTTGTATAGTTGGCAAGTTTCTGAGCAAATGTTTCCATTCCCCCGCCATCCAGCGGCCATTGTGTTGGATACCGCTGCGCATGGCGGTGGAGCACATGCACCTGTGAAAGTTCACATTCTGAAGGGAAGTCCTTAGAGACACTAAAGTCTAAGGCGTCGGCGTAGGGGCTGAGATTGGCCCAACTGGCTTTCATGTCAAACCCCGAAGGATACGACAAGCCGGTAGGACCAGCAGCGGCCGAGCTAGAGGAAGCCATTGCGGCACTCCCGCTCGCCAGGGCCAAGAGGGCGATCACAGAATGTACAGACGCCATGTTCAGAGCGTGAAAAGCCATAGAGCGACTGACTGAATCGAAGCGCCATTTGAAAGACGGCGGTGTTATATAAGAGCTGCAACTGAGGGGAAAAGATCGGCTGGCTCCATTCCTAGTATAGGGGCCCGGAGGCTACAGTACAGTCCTTCTCCACATGCGTGACGCAGAGGATCATGATCTTGGCCAACTAGAGTAACCTGTCGCGAGATCCTCCTTTGAAGGTGGAGAAATGCTTGGTTGCGACGCACAAACGTTATAGTCCGGAGGCTCCCTTTCTCCGTAGACCGACGGTTTCCTGCCAAGACAGTTGGAGACGACAACAACTCCATTTCGGGAATGGACAGGCTGCGTTTCTTATCAAGGTAAGATCTGTGTCGATCGTTGTTATTTGAAAGAGGAAAGTGACGTGTCGATCTCAACAACGCAAGACCAAGCTATACGAGAAGCCCCGAGAATGCCCTCGTATATACCTTGGGGAAATGGGAACTGCTTCGAAGGAGAAGTGAGGAGTCCTGCAATGCAAGACGCTCGTGACACCGACTTCGACTCATCACATTGGAGCTCCTGCAGGTGGCGTCAACGCACCGCTGGCAGGATCCCTTGCTGCACCGATGAAGAGCTTCAGCTGCACACCGATACGCCCCGGCCCGAAACACTTACTCGCTTACCTTGTATCGATTTGGGCCAGGGTGCACGCCAGGGCAATGTGGCGGTTCGTATCCGACACGAGTGGATGGATCCTTAACGTTGTGTGGCGCCAAGCGCCAGCCCAACGGAGTCGTGATAGCTAAATAAGGCTGGGCGTCAGTTAACTCTCCTCGATTACGAGCGCGATCTATCTTGAGCCGCACGTGGATGACATCTTAAAGCGCAAGGGACTCCCCCTTGAGGTCGCTGAGATTTCTCTCACTGTTTTGATTCTTTTGCGCTTCAAAGTCGGGTATATCGACTGCATAATGCTAGCGCTCAATATCGTCTTATACGCCCTCTTGGGCACCTCTTTGGCCTTTGCCATCGTGGAGCTGGGCCTGTCCGCTTTCTTAACTTCCGCATATTCCGGGACCCGCGAGGTCGCGACCTGGAGCGCCTACTCGGGCTATTCCTACAGAACAGTGAATGTAAAGGCCCCTGCCATTCTCGCATTCCTGGTATTCAGTGCCTGTTGGACGATCCTAGTGACGGCCGCGGCTTTGGTGCTGCCATGGCACTTCGCGAAGAAAGGCTTTGTTACTGCAAAGCTGAATACCATACTCGCTTCGTGTTTTGTGGGTGTTTACTTTGTCACCATGGTTTTTTGGCTGGCTTGCTTCGCCGATCTCGCCTCTCTCCTTGGTGGCGGAACCAGCGACTCACCTTACTTCAATGCTATTCTCGCATTTGGTGTGCTTCTTTGGTATGTTCTCTAACTGTTGTTGCCTACTTCAATACCCGACTAATGAATCACTCCACATATAGGTTGCTCTTCGTTGCCCTGGTGGTGTTCACAGTTCTTGCGATGTGCGGTGTGATGGCTTCTGACTGGGCTGGCTACCAGTCTTTGAGAAAGGACAAGGGTGTTGAGGGGGCCCAAACGAGTGGGCATGCTCATGATGTGCCGATGAGTACGACCCCTGTGGTTCCGGAAATGTCAGCTCGGGATGCTGAGATTCTACATAACCAGCCGAGCAGCCAATCGCATAGTATCTCCTCGCCGTCGGCCGTTCATAGCGCCGAGCTCAACGGCGATAGCGAACACGATAACAACACAGGTCGGACGGCGCAGATCAGTCCTGTTTGATTGATCCCGACGGCACTGGTCCTCTCGTATGTTATACGCTCAAGGAGTAGTAATGGTTTTGACGATGGAAAATGGTAATATTCATTTCTGATATCACTTATAGTACTAATATGTTATTGATATTTATTTCTGTTGCTATGAACCTAAGCATGCATACCCGCTGATTGTCTCCCGATCTCCAATTTCCTACTGGTTGATCAGGTACAGTCAACTCTCGCTTATACCACGGTGGGATATTGCACATTCTTGATAATAACACATCCCTTGCTTGGATGGCCCCTTCATTCCAGTTTTTTCCATATAAATTGACAGAATATAACACATTTTGTTTTACCACACTTTCTTCCTCTCAAATCTGCTTAGTCAGCGCAATCAACCAATCAGAATGCCTCAATCTACAAGCTCTCCTACCCTCCCGACCCCACCCAAGCGCGTCAGAATGGGACCAAAGCGTACCAAATTGGGTATATCAGACGCGCAGAAACAGGCACTACGGGCATTTTGGTCTAATACTAGCCCAAAGCCCACGCAGACTGCATGTGCTAAGTGGTTTGAGGACCAATTCAAACAAGTGATTGACCGGTCAACCATATCAAGGATCCTTTCATCCAAATACAATTATCTTGATACGGGCCCTGCAGGGGCAAACAAACGATCTTCATCCTCTCGTTGGCCATTATTGGACCAAAAGCTATATGACTGGGCAGATAACCATATTGGCAATGGAATACCAATAAATGGCCCTTTGATCCAAACTAAAGCAGCTGAGCTTTGGAGACAAATACCGGAATACAAAGATCGGACCAAACCTCAATTCTCTGAGGGTTGGTTAACTCGCTTCAAACAACGCCACTCTCTTCAATATCATACTTTCCACGGAGAAGCTGCCTCAGTCCCATCCTCGGTACATGATCAGATCAAAAGCACCAAATCGATTTGCAATCAATTCAAACCGTCCGAAATCTACAATATGGATGAAACTGGCCTATTTTGGCGACGTATGCCAAATGGTGGTCTTTCAAAGGGAAAAATTGCTGGCAAAAAGCTTGATAAAACACGAATCACTATTGTTGTTGCATCAAATGCGGATGGTTCCGATCGAGTCCCTTTATGGTTGATTGGCACAGCAAAAACCCCTCGCGCACTCCGGGGGTTAATTTCCGAGCTCTGGGATGTGTTTGGCGTCACAACAAGGCAGCATGGATGCGTCATGACATTATGGAGGACTGGTTGCGATCTTTCTATGGGCGTATTCCCTTAGATAAGAAAGCTTTGCTCCTTTTAGACAATGCTTCACCACATGTTATTGGACTCCAGCGAGCGCCACCACCACCCCGGATTACGGTTGTTTTTTTGCCAGCAAACGCAACTTCAATTTATCAACCCTTGGACCAAGGTATTATCCAAAACTTGAAGCACCATTATCGGAAGAAATGGATGCGCTATATGATTGCTTTTCTTGATCGTGGGATAGACCCAAAACAAAGAATGAGCATTTATTATACTGTTACCTGGGTAACGCAAGTTTGGAGAACAAGTGTATCAGACCAAACGATTATCAATTGCTTTAAACAAAGTACTTTGATTAGTCCAAAGTCTATACCTATACCTGAGTCCGCGCCCGAGTCCGCACCTGAGTCTGCACTATTTTCCGAGCCCGGATTGAGTGATGAGATTGAAAGTCTATATAATCAAGCAATTGATAAGCTTGGTGATAAAGATATTGTGCCATTTGACGAGTTTTTGAACCCTTCGGACGAAGACATGTTAGAAGATGGGACTGAAGGGCGAGATGAGACCAATGAGCAAGATATATATATTGCCCCAACAACCTCAGAAATTCAGGATATTGACATTGATGGGCCCCCACCTGAGCTTCTGTCTAATTCTGCTATATTGGACAGCCTCCAGGATATCCTACTATGGGTTTGTAGCAAAGAAAAGGGTACCTCGGACCATATTAGACAAATTGAGAGCTTAATCAGCGACTTTGGCAGGATTCAGATTGATGAGAAACGTCAGGTGACTTTGGATCAGATGATGGGATGGAAGACTAAATAGGTATTAGGGCTTAGAGTTAGCTTGTCAAATATTATGTCATCCTCTCACCAAAACACAACTCAATTATACCACGTAATTTGGCTTGGATAGTATGCTGTGGTATAAGCGAGAGTTGACTGTATATGTATATATACGTAGACTATATCCCCACGAGCCAGGCTATGCGAACATCTAGATATTGTAGCTGTCTACTTATCTCACCCTGACTTCACTTCCTATGGCAATTATACGACCCCTTTTACTATTCCTAATTAAACTTTCATTTCCTTTTTCGAAGTCGGCTTGTTGACTCATTCATTTGCTCTCTACCATCTACAAACTCACTTCAATTATTTCTTCCCATGACACTTTGATCAAGTCTTCGTTCAACCGTTTGATATCTACCTCAAATTGCCAACCCTAACTCCTTCATCTCTACCCCCTACTTCACCCCCAAAACCCCACAATTGGTCCTATCATCTCGAGATACACGTCCCTTCACTCCAAGCAGCAATACAACGTGCAGCGGCCTGTCGGGGAAATAAGTACACCTACACAACGGCTTTGCTTTTTACTGGGAATCAGATAATACAGGCAATTCTAGGGATACGCCTTGCTTTCGAGCGCGCTGACTGATTGCATGGGAATTCCGCCTGTCCTCTTCGAGCCGACTGCCAATGACTCACATCCAGAATGGACGCTGGAGGATACTATCTAAACTTTACGTCAGAAGTACCATTGCGACACTGAGCCTACACTCTTCTTCTTTGCATACATTAGAGAGAGCGGGGAAGTCGCTGTGGCCGTCTGACTCTCTGCTAAACCCATGATTTCGCTGATTAGGATAGAGTTCGGGGAATTTATTCACGGAAGATCCAGCGTCTGCGAACATGGAAAGTCTTGTGCTGCTTGATTGACGCTCTGGCGATGGAACCCGCTTTGAAGCGTCGCGTACCATGCAGGTACTCGCTGCGTGTGATTCGAACGATACCAGACCTCGCAATGATACTTCATTCGTCCAGAGATTTTGTCATGTCTTACGCACTGAAAGCCAAGAAGCCGTTGCCGGTTTCTGTCGACGTCATCTGCAATTAACTAATTACAAAGAAGCCAGCGCAAGCGCCGGTTGTTAAATTTATCTCTTGTGGAGGAGTAAGGCCAAGTTTTTTGATCTTCAAAGAATGCCCATTCTGCACTTCTTCATTCTCATTGCCCTCCGACCTTTCGGCGAAAGAACCACAGATGGTCGTCACTCTCAAAATTGCGGGCTGAGTTGAGCAAGCAACGGACGACGTCGACGCTATGATTGAGGGTCTGCTAAAAGTCTTCAAAATGAAGAGGTTCAACTCATATAAGTACGAGGAATCGACGATGGTCTTTGTCCGAATGTCCTGGTGAGTCTGGGCACGGTTTCAGAGCGTAATGATTCTTGGGTTCCTTGTCAGACTTATTGGACCTTCCTTGGTTCGTCAAAATCAAGAGTCTGGGCTACAATTTATTGGATCAGATCAAAACACAATGAGGGACGGAGAGTTTGCCAAAAAAAAAAAAAAAAAAAAAAAAGCAAAAAAAGGATGGGGCTTGTTGGATAAAATATATGGCTGATGAAAGTCGAAAGACTCATGGCTGGGTAGCCCATCGATATATGCATGGGACTAAGTACCTATGATAGTCCATCACTAATGGATCGTTATTTACACTAACATAGAAGTATGTCATGCCGACGTGTTTTTCTGTGATTATAAAGCAGCGTCTATGTCCGAGTAATGGTCATCATGTCCCTGTCCTGCTGAGATGAAGGGGAATGGAAGGTATATAGGCCAATCTATCGCTTGAACAAACTATGCGCCTCGTAAGGCGACCTCCGGTCGCTGTAAACAAGGAAAAGACTAGTCCCAAGGAAAAAAGTGAAATGAAAAACAAACATGTATGTCCAGGATATAAAAACCGGCTGCAAAGCAATACCAGGCACGCAATGAGACTACAAAGAAACAGAGACTGAAGGTGCAATTAGGCGGTAGCCTCCTCCATGGTCTCGTGTCCCTCCTCGTGGCCGTGCTTAGACTTCTTCTTTTTCTCATTCTTGCCCTTCTTGCTCATGGCCTCGGCCATCAGTTCTTCAAAGGCCATATAATCGCCCTCCTCCTCGGGATCGCGTGCGGCCTATAAAGGTTGTTAGCATGGTGCATTCTGAACAAAATAGATATAAGCATACCTTGGCATATATGTTTCCGGCAATCACCAGCGCATGCGCACGCTCAACGCACTTCTCCAGTCGAGTTCGCTTGGTGTCCAGAATTTGGTCACAAACATCACGCAAGACACTCTGGATCTCAAACTTGCTGCCACGCCAAGCAGCCGCAAGAATCTTGCCAGTAACCTTCTTCTCGTACTCGGCCTTCTTCTCATCGGTCCAGTCTTCACCGCCTCGTTCTTCCATCTTGGCCATCTCTTCCATGGTCATCTTCGCATCAATGGCCGTGGAAATAGTAGTCCAAGTCTCTTTGGCAAGAGTGCCCTTGTCTTTCAGCCGAGAGAAGAAACCAGAAATACCAAGGAATTTCTGTGACTTGAGGAAGGAAGTACCCTTCTGAACGTATGTCTGACCAACGGCGTGGAGGATCTCCAGACCGAATGATTCCATCTTCAGGTTCTCGACTTCTAGGCGGATCTTCTCTTCAAAGGCATGAGATACATCCTTACCCTTGTCCGTCTCGGTCCACACGCTCAGTCGGTCAATGAGCTTGTTGGCCAGAGTGTTGACACGCTCCTCACGAGCCTTTTTCCGCTCTTCCTCGAAAGCGGTCAGACGCTCCTGCTGCTCCCGGGACAGGCCCTTCTTCTTTTCCTTCTTGCGCAGCTCTTTCTCCTCTTGGGACAGACCAGCTGCCTCCATGCGCGCCTCTTCCTCGGACTTCTCCATCAGTGCCTGCTGGCCGAAGTTCCGTCGTGGGGTGCTGGTGCCAGAGCTCTGCTCGGAAGTTCGTTTCTCGGCGGGACCAGCGGATGCAGCTGCAGCTCCAGTTGCGGAAGTGTGGGTTTCGGAAGCCATAGCTGGATCGCCACCTGCAGCCTTCAGCTCCTCGTCGTGGATGTGCAGCTTCTCCTCCGCCGATTGGGCCAATTCTTCCTCCTCCATCTCCTGCATGGTGATGTCCATGGTTGCAGTTAGGTCCTTCATGAGAGAGATCTCGCCGATAAGATCAACGAAAGCCTCACCACCAAAGATCATGCTGAAGAACTCAGATGGATCCTCTGTACAAAGGAGGTCAGAAACGTCGGCGCGGGTACCAGTATTATCCATAGGGTAGACCAACCGAAACCACCACCAGGTACAGACTCTTCCTTGCCGAACTTGTCATATCGCTTTCGTAGATCTTCGTTGCTCAGAACTTGGTAGGCTTCGCCAATCTAAAGTATGAATGTGTTAGTTTCGTTGTTATCCATCTCTGTAGATTCGTAGTCATACGGCCTGGAAGCGTTCGTGTGCGGTTTCATCGTTAGGGTTCTTGTCTGCAATGAACGGTCAGAGACGTCACGACAGTCGAGACCAAAAGAGACCCTACCAGGGTGAGTGACGATGGCTAGCTTGCGGTAGGCCTTCTTGATTTCGAGTTCGGTGGCCGTGGGCGGCACGCCGAGGGCATCGTAGTAGCTCGTATCCGCGACCATCTCTGCGAGCTCAAAGTAGAGGAAAGTTAAGTGAAGCAAGTGTTTAGGCGGTGATATTTTTCGCTGATATCATGTGGGGGTTGTATGCATGGTTTGTCCCGGGTCACGTGGCAGCGAACTCTGCATTTAATTTCGCGGCTTCTCCCCTTTTCCCTTTTCTTCTTCCCCAATCCTCGTTTACTTTTTTCCTAATTTTCCCTGTTTTTCTTTTACTTCTTTAATATTGGGCCCTGCCTTTCATTCCCTGTAAGAGCCCCTTGGACGTCTGCACGTCCCTCTCCCCAACATGGGTCTCCTCGGCAATGCTGTCTACTACACTTTTCACCCCCTCCAATTGAGGTCTATCCTCCAATGGTATGTTCTTGATCTCATCCAGTCTTTCTCAAGCCAAGCTAATTAGCCACGTCACAGGAAAGTCTGGCACAACCCGCCCCACGAGCGTAATGAAAAGAACGAGACGGAAAACCAAAAGCTTTGCTTTAAGTTCCTGGATAAGACGAGTCGCAGCTTCAGTGCCGTGATTAAAGAGTTACATCCTGAGCTGTTGCTTCCTATCTGCATTTTCTACTTGGTTCTCCGTGGGCTGGATACCATCGAGGATGACACCTCTATTGACTTGAAGACAAAGGAGCCTCTCCTGCGGGACTTCAAGAATATCCTAACACAAGACGGCTGGAACTTCACCGGCAACCGTCCTGAGGAGAAAGATCGCGAACTGCTGGTTCAGTTCGCCTGCGTCGTTACTGAGTTCAAAAATATGAAGCCTGAATATCAGGCCATCATCAAGGACATCACTGACAAGATGGGCAACGGCATGGCCGACTACTGCGTGAAAGCAGAGAAGGACGATGCCAGTGTCAAGACCATTGAGGAGTACGACCTGTACTGCCACTATGTCGCCGGTCTGGTCGGCGAGGGTCTTACCCGTCTATTTGTCGAAGCCCAGTTCGGTAACCCTGCTCTATTGAAGCGTCCCAGGTTGCACAAGTCGATGGGACTCTTCCTGCAGAAGACCAACATCATCCGTGATATCCGCGAGGACTTTGACGATGATCGACGCTTCTGGCCCAAGGAAATCTGGTCCAAGCACGTCGACAACTTCGAGGATCTCTTCAAGCCTGAAAACTTGGATGCCGCTCTCAACTGTGGCTCCGAGATGGTCCTGAACGCTCTGGAGCATGGCGAAGAGTGTCTGTTTTACCTCGCTGGCTTGCGTGAGCAGAGTGTTTTCAACTTCTGTGCAATTCCGCAAGCCATGGCTATTGCCACCCTTGAGTTGTGTTTCCGCAACCCTGATATCTTCAAGCGGAACATCAAGATCACCAAGGGCGACGCCTGTGACTTGATGCACCAGTCAACCCAGAACCTGCAGGTCCTGTGTGACACATTCCGCAGACTCACCCGCGCTATTCACAAGAAGAACACCCCCAAGGACCCCAACTTTCTTAAGATCAGCATCACCTGCGGCAAGATCGAGAAGTTCATTGAGACTATCTTCCCTTCGCAGTCTGCCGAGGCCGCTCAGCGGAAGGTCACTGGCGAGCTCACTGCCGCCGAGGCCAAAAAGAAGGCAGAGGATGCCGAGAACAAGCAGGACATTTACTTCATGATGGCTCTGATGGGTACCATCGTTGCTATCGTCGCTGGTCTCATGATCTTCACAGCGTGGATGATGGGTGCTCGGTTCGATCTTGCCTTCCAGGAACTCCTTAATGGCAACTTCCGTCCACCGCCCAAGCAGCTCGAACACCCCGAGCTTTGATTCAAATTCTCATACCCACGGCGTTACGACCCTTTACTTTTTAATATTCGATTCCCCATCCCGGCGGCACCTTGTTTTACTATTTTCGACCGCGACCGGTGCCGCGACGTGTCTTGATAATAACATACTTTTTTCTTCTTTTTCTCTGTGCATTCTAACGTTTCCCTCGACGCAGCTTTCCAGCACGGATGTCAAATTGCGATCCGGCCCTTCCATGGCCGAGGTTGTGCCGAAGAAGTGCTTATATTGAAAGGAGTTTTCTCCCTTTAGCCAGTGAGTACTAGATTTTTGTCCAACGGTTCGTCCGAGGTGGCAAACATCCATTGAAGATCTGGAACATTCCTGTATGCGTAGACTTTACGTCCATAGTTTAATGATATTATCACGTTTACTTCCACATTTTGATCCATCTAAATCCACACTCGAACTCAGTATACAGTATATATTCACCAGCTTGAAATCAGGATCCCTGGCCAGTCTCTGTAAACGGTTGGAAGAATTGCTGACAGAGGCACCAGCACTCCCGTCGAATCAGAAATCTCTTTTTTCTCATCACCCCGGATTCCCTGTACTTTTCCACTCCCACTGACATTTCGTTACTTTTAGTCGGCAATGATTGCAAGTCCAACTGCCGGATGCATTGTCGGATTCCTGTGAGCCCACGATTCATTTTGCGGCCATCTTTTGTCCCCCAGATCAGACACTTTTTCTGCCCGCGACGCTTTTCAGACACAATGGTTTCCAAGAACATGCCTTCCGCATCGGACTCCAGCGAGCCTCTGCCGGCCCTGTCCCCTACCGATTTCCGAACTTATAACCGAATGTCAGAGCAAATGGAAGCATTTGTAAGCTTATCAATCCCAATATACACATCCAGAGCCAAGATTACTAACTCCCACCCAGCATAGCCATTTCCGTTTAACATGGAACCAACTCTGGGAGGCTTGTAACAGTACTGGAAAGCGACCTGGTGGTCTGTCGGCTCGTCAAATGATCATGATGGGGCTGCAGTTCTGCTCGCAGTTGGATTTCCACCACTCTATTGAAGAACAACATATTTTTCCCGTGCTGGCAAAGAAGATGCCCGAATTCCGGAAAGAGCTTGAACTGTTAAGCCAGCACAGGCAGATTCATGCTGGTCTTGAGAAGCTTGAGAAGTACCTTGGAGATTGTCGCTCTGGCGAGGAAGACATGCGCCGTGAAGAGGTGAAACGTTTGATGGAAGGATTTGGAGAGGTCCTGTGGACGCATCTGGATCAGGAGGTGCAGACTCTACGTGCAGAGAATATGCGCAAATTCTGGTCGCTTGAGGAGATGCGTCGCCTGCCTATGTGACGTTAGACGTGTTTAATGACTGCCCTTGATGATGCGTTTAATTTTCTTCGTCACACCTATGTGCACCTTGCAGCATTGTGCTTTCGCATATTTTGTTAATGTCATGCTGAATAAGTTACTTCCATTCTCACCTATTTCTTGATCATGTTCCTCGTGGAAAAGGGTCTTATTTGACCTCCTTTATGTGCCGACATGTGGCCTGACCATCCTTCGTTGACCCCATGCCATGCGACAAGGATGAGACAAACCACTCACAAACCAGTTGATAAGACTAAGATCTGCATATCCTTTTGTCGATCACGATCACCAGATGCAAGATTGGCTTTCAACGTCCAACAATCTATTCCGATCTGCACGAAAGGACTATGCAGTTCAACTCAGGCAGTCAATGCCTTGAGACAGTGAGCCAACGCCCAAAGAACTCTGCTAACAGAGAGTTCTGTTCGCGGAAGTTGATTTTAGAAACAAGCCAACCACAGCAGAGTGTGACGGCCGAGGAATGCGAACCTGTTGCCATCCCTTGGCTGGTATGTGGACTAACTTTTTTCGACACGGTGACGTCGTGAGATGCACGCTTCCACGAGTCTCTTGCAAGAGAGATCTGCTGTCCACGTCGAGTGACCATGGAATGTCCTATTCGCATTTTCTTGCGTTTCGGAGTCACAATATTCGTGCCCGGGGCGTCAACGCATGCAATTTTGTTGTTCGCCCACCTGAAGTTGACCTTTTATGGTCTGCAGCTATGCAAGGAACATTCTGAACCACATGAAACACTGGGCTTATACACAATGTTCATTGTCCAACTCAAAAGACAATGGGTACTACTTGAATTTAGGCGCATCTCGTGGCATTCAGACATCGGGATCTGACATCGCCGATCTTGGACCGATCCGTCGCGGCTGTCAGATGCTACTGTCCCCAGGAATGTTACTAGCAGACACGCAAGCTCCTAGCGACTCAGTTGACTGCCGTTTGATGTTCTCATGACGATAACGTGATGCTCGACGCGCGGAAAAGGAGGAAGATCAACGCAGGAACACCTGCAGGAACACCAATAAGCATGCTGCTTCTTACTGTGCCACCCAATACCCGAAGAAACATGCTTTTTGTCTCTCTCCATCTCTCCACTCTGTGGGTCCAAGACGATGTCTCAGCCGGTGCCTAGGTCATCGGGGCCACTACTACACCACGAGCCCTATTTCCCCATGCGGGGAGAGTGATGATGTGCCGCATGCAATCCATCTGAACAATAAGATATAAGTACTATTGTGGCCATGTACCCCGCCAGGTATCTCACGTTGCAATCCTGTGCCTTATCGTTGTATACCCGCTGGCTCAATCCTAATCCACGCCTACCACCGCCATCATGAAGTTCACCACCACGATCCTGACCACCGCTGTCCTGGCAGGCACATCTCTTGCAGCCCCCCGAAGTGGCCTGGCTGAGCGCCTGCGGGCCCGTGGCGTCCTTTCACACCAGTCGAACCCATCCGAGAGGAATGGCGTTCTGCTCAAGGAGGGATCCGATGGAGCCAATGTTGAGTACAGCAAGAACTGGGCCGGTGTTGTGCGCGAGAAGCCTCCTGCCAGCGCTACCTACACTGCGGTGTCAGCTACCTTCACTGTCCCCGAGCCAACAGCCACCGATGACTCTGGTGATATGCAGGCTGTGTCTGCCTGGGTTGGTATCGACGGGGATACCTACACTCAGGCAATTCTGCAGACCGGTGTCGATGCCTACATTCAGAATGGTGAGAAGACCTACGATGCCTGGTATGAGTGGTACCCCCAGAACGCCGAAAACTTCGACCTCGACTTGACAGCTGGCGATGTGATTGTCGCCAAAGTTGAATCGTCTTCATCCAGCAAGGGTGTTGCCATTCTTGAGAATAAGTCCACTGGTCAAAGCGTGACAAAGTCTCTGAATGCGCCCTCCACCTCTGCCACTCTCGGTGGCCAGAATGCCGAATGGATCGTTGAGGACTTCAACTCTGGTAGCACCATGGTTCCCCTCGCCGATTTTGGCAAGGTAGACTTCACTGGTGCCCAGGCCAAGGCTGCTGGTGCCGACTACGGTGTCAACGATGCTGCTATTCTGGATATCCAGCAGAATGGCGATGTTAAGGCTCATGTCAAGATCCTTAGTGATACTGAATTCACTGTTGTCTACCAGTGATTCGAAGAGTATATAGCCGATATATGTTGATACTTGGCGATCGTGGCCTGGCGTTTTTCTTAACTGGGGCGGTTCTATTTGATTTTGTACCTTAAAGGAGTTGGCGGACTGTGCCACAAACAAATTCGGGGGGTATAATATTGTATGTAATATCAGAGTACTGGAAATTCACCTCATATTGATCACAACTGAATCAAAGCATGCTTGAACACATTACCTGGATCGTAATGTTGCTTGATGTGCCTTAACGTCTCGTACTTACTCCCATATATTGCCTTCATATCAACCTTCTTTGGTTCAGTGAGTGGAAGATAAGTTAAGGGCACAATGTTACATGGATCTGTCCTCACCATTTCATCATAGAACTTATGTGCCCATTCAAGTGTTTCCTCCAGCATGTGTGCATGGACAACTGTAGGCAAGATTCCAATAACAAAGTGTGGGCGACGAGCGTCCCAGACATTCTCTATTATAGGCTGTGGGGTGCAAGCACGCAACTCATATATTGCAAACATAGCAGACAGGTCGCTAGGCTTCAACGGCGCAAATTTGGTGACGACATCGATAATCTCAGCTGTCAGCTAACATAGGCTGACAGTGAGATACGAGCCGTGTACATGTGCACGACAAATACGCTAGGGATTTAGTTGAACGCAACCATATCGGTTGTCGCAACGGTGCCCACGGTTATATCTGACCAGGAGCTGGCTTTGGACGGCCATGTATTTCCGGAATTGATGTCTGTAGACGCCCAGACAAAGAGGACAGAGAACATTTTGCCTGCCGGGGTATTTCTGATGCATTGAAAAAGGCTGAGGCTCGATGGAAGCCCTTCTTTATGTGTACGACACGCATCATTGTATCGTTTGATAGTCGTTGATGTATCACTAGATTCATATGTGATGACACCTGCCAGTACCTGGTGGACCATTGGCGCAAAACCCACCGCACAAGAGGATCTAATCTGTACCTGACACGAGGGATACACCTTTATTGTGAGCTCAACAATGATGCCCAAACACCCTCTCTTGCCGCGAAATTGCCGTCAACATACCTTCATCTGCATCACGGATAACGGCCTGTGAGTCGATCAACCGTGTCTGCAGGATCTGATCTACTCCAAATCCATATTGAGCGCTGAACAGGCCGTATCCACCATGGGTTGCTCAGCCCACAAATTCAACCCCCGGGATGACAGGGTGAGGCACGACCATGCCATGTTTGTTCAAGTCTTTGAATATTTCCATGACTAGCGCACTCTACCACCAAGTCGTGCGGTGTCAGTTTCAGGACTCACATGAACGTAGGCGATCTCGCGCGGATCTATGTTAATCGCATCATGGATCTGCGACCAACCAAACATGTTATGGCCACCAACATGAATTGAGAAGGGGAGGTCATTCGCTTTCAGAATAGTAACCAAAGCGGCGACATCGTCGGCCGAGCGACGACGTACAATCATCGCCGGGACTTTGGCGTTATCGAGCACATATCTTTCATAAAGTGTCATAGTCAGGCGAAGAAGGAGTGGCATAATGAATGTGTGGGTACTGCACTGGGAAGTTTGTGAGCTCGTCCATGATTTCCAGAATGTATGACTTGTCATGGAGCAGACCAGGGTCATATAACGAATGAAAAGCAAATTGATCGCTCCTCGGCTGAGGAATGTTGGGTGTGGATAAGGTATTCATCGACTGGATATCTCACAAGACACAATAAGAGTTAATTAGGGGGCTGTTGACTTGGCAAGACTAGAGCCAATAGTTCTGGTGCAGTGGGGGAATATTAGCAACCTGCATAAGAGCGAGCATCAAAAAGGAGAGCGCAGATCCCCTTCTGCTTACTATGGCTGCAATAAATGACTGGCGCATCTCGCAAACATCACGATCCTTCCGACTCGGAGACATTATAGACCTCTATTGATAAGCAAGTCGGCTTGGCGGAAGAGTTATAAATACCTAGGGTTCTATAAGTTCCAACATGAGCTATCGGAAGCTCAGCACGATTTGCGATATGAACAGAATCCTCATTATTGGCGCTGGCGAGTTGGGAACTCAGGTGCTTCGGTCTTTGATTCAACATCCGCTTGGCCAGAATGCCACCGTGTCTGTCTTATTACGATCCGGAACTATCGATTCAACCGATCCACTTAAGCAGAGAGATGTCCAATCGTTGCGAGAAATGGGGGTAAATTTGGTTCCCGGAGACATCGTGCATGACCAAGAATCAGCTCTCATCTCAATCTTCGCCGGATATGACACCATTATCGGCTGCACAGGCTTCGTTTCTGGGAAAGGCACCCAAGTGAAGGTGACCTTTGCTGTTCTTGCAGCGAAGAGTGCCCGATATATTCCCTGGCAGTTTGGGGTCGACTATGATATTATCGGGCGCGGTTCGGCCCAAGACCTCTTTGATGAACAACTGGACGTTCGGGACATTCTCCGCTCCCAGGAGACGACCAGATGGGCCATAATCTCGACTGGAATGTTCACGAGCTTTTTGTTCGCGCCATCTTTCGGGGTGGTGGATATCGACAATGCCACTGTCTGTGCCTTGGGAAGCTGGGAGAATCGAGTCACCATCACCACGCCCGAGGACATCGGGAAGTTCACCGCTGAAATTGTGCTTGGAAAAGACTCCGATACTCTCATTTCTAACCAAGTCATTCTTGTTGGTGGCGACACGATCACCTATGGGGAGTTAGCACAGTTGGTGGAAAGACTGGCACAAAAGCCGTTCCAGAAAAGGGTTCTTATGGTAACAGCTGCCCAAGCTGCCCTTGGTCAGGATCCAAACAATGGAATATTGAAATACCAACTTGTTTTTGGTCAAGGACGTGGTGTCGCATGGGATTTGGGAGAGACATGGAATTTCAAGCAGAACATCACCGCACAAACAGCGGAGGAATGGGCCAAAGAGAATCTTGTGTAGTGTAATTGTACACCATTGGATCACATCTGAACGCGATTCAAATGAACGCAATATTATTTAATATCTTAACAGCCTGAGTGGAATATCAATTGGCCACACTTCGGGGAAAGAAAAGTTCGCCGATCTCGTTATCGGGGAACTTTCATGTTTCCTCACGACTTTCACCTCCTTCTTCACTTCAGCTCCCACCATGAAAATACAAATAACTCCAGCGAAGTTCCCCGAAGACGCGGAAGCCATTCTCGTTTTGTTTTCCGGGTACGCCGCCTCACTCAAAATCGACCTGAGCTTCCAGTCATTCCAAGAGGAGCTGGATTCACTCCCGGGAAAATATGCTTCGTCCCAGGGAGGCGCGCTGTTGATCGCACGAGATCAGGCTCAATTAGGTCGCAATGGTGATTCATCGGCTGATTCCTCTGCCCCGCGATACCCTGCCCTCGGATGTGTCGCACTGCGGCGTAGTCCCGATGGCTGGTGTGAAATGAAGCGTCTCTATGTCCTCGAGGAAGCACGAGGAGAACGTTTGGGTGAAAAGCTTGTAGAGGCCATCCTTGCACAAGCTAGGGCTCTTGGTTATCGTGGTATCCGACTGGACACTCTGCCCGAGATGACTGCGGCACAGCGACTATATCGAAAATATGGATTTGTGGACATCGAACCATACTACGAAACTCCAATTGAAAGGACTGTGTTCATGGGTTGTGAATTTTGCGATCATGAAGTTCAATGACCGTGGAGATGAACTTGACGTCTGACATTTCATAAAAAGACTACATGTATATAGGAACGGTTGATCAGATGTAAGTCAGATTTGATATAGAGTTCCATCGTTTTGGGCCTTAGGCCTTAATGCGTATCTTTCACCAAGAAGACCGATGTAATTGAGTCTGAGACAGAAGATGGTGTGGATGCACTGCGGAGCACAGGGTATCAATTCCGGTGATTCCACTGGCATTCCTCGGCGGAAATCGAAATCCATGCCATGCCATACATGGGCTGAAGACAGGTAGATCTTGTCAAAAATAAGTCAACTACGGAGTTTCATCTGATTTGAACTCCCTGTTATTATATGTTCGCCTCACTTTTCTCGGAGATACCGCTCGGAGATGACCAATTCGGAAAGGTACCCGACAGACACAATACTATAAATCTATCAAAGAGTTTTGTCGCTTTGATTGATACTTGCAGTCCATAAACCTTTGAGTCATGACCGTGACAGACAAGCCTCTCGATGTCCTCATTGTCGGAGCTGGGATCGCCGGCCTCTCCGCAGCTATTGCTCTTGGCAAACAAGGTCACCGCGTCGTGGTAAGATCCCAAAACTCAGCGAACTCTTGTCATGCTGACCGCCACCTCAGATTCTGGAAAAGTCGGCATTTTTGAGAGAAGCCGGTGCTGCGATCCATTTGCCACCAAATTGCACGGCACTACTCCGCTGGATGGGCATCGATCCTCTCGATTTCGGAGGTACCTTGATACATGAAGTCTGTCATCGCAGTCAACGAATCCTTCATGACGCTGATTGCTTGGTCTATTAGATTCACCGATACGGATATGAGGGAGACTTGAAGTTTAAGAAAGAATTCGATGATGTACGCCATCTCTGGCAAGCAGTGAGTGCATTAGAGATATTCCATGATTATTCTCCATGCCTAACTTGCATTTAGGAGTTCTACCTCGTGCATCGGGTTGACCTACATAATCATCTCAAAAAGCGCGCTCTCGAGACCGCAACACTCCATACTCAATGCAAGATCATCAACGTAGAGCTTGATGGAGCGTATCCATCGGTGACCCTCGAAGATGGTCGTATTTTCAAGGCCGACCTGCTTCTCGGTGCTGATGGAATTCATGTATGCGTTTCATCTGTTCATAACACTCGCGATTATGTACTGACCCTTCCCAAGTCCCAGCTTCGCCAGAGTATCGCTCCCGGTTCTCCATCTCCGTACGCTGTTGGAAAGTCATGCTTTCGCTGGCTTCTTCCAACTGAGGAATTGAGACAGTACGAAAACACATTCGACTTCGTTAAAGATCCAGGAGTGTTTATTGAATGGTCATCCGACGACCGACGTCTTGTGGCCTATCCTTGCTCTGACAATAAGGTGTTCAATCTATGTGCTTTTATGCCCTCGAAAGAAACCAAAACAGACACTCATAGGGGCGGTAAGCTTCGGTTCATACTCCTAGCTGATGGTTCGCTCACAAATTCAAACAGGATGTCAAGCCACTGGAGACAAGGCGACCATTGCCAACGCCTTTTCGATGTTCTCCCCGGGTGTAAGAAGACTAATTGAAAGCGCAGAGGATGATCTTAAGGTGTGGGATTTGTATGACATGAAGTCGCTACCAACCTGGACCAAAGGTCATGCCGCTCTTCTGGGAGATGCAGCACATCCATTCCAACCATGTAAGTGATGGCATGAGTTACGCTCTTGCGACTTACTGATCACTCAATACTTTGCTAGATATGGGCCAAGGAGCAGCCATGGCGATCGAAGATGCTGTTTGCATTGCGACCTTGCTTCCACAGAAAACTGCGCCTGAGACCATTCGATCGCGTCTTGAAATGTATGAGATATCTCGTCGAGCTCGTGTCGAGTTCGTTCTTCATTACACTCGATTGAACGGGCGGGATGAAAACGACACATCTAGTGCCAGGATGACGAGTAAGTTCCTCGTGTTCCTGATGATTCAACCTGAAGCTGACAATGGTAGCCGAGGAAATGGTGAAGGTCATGGGGGTCTGTTTCTCACACAATGTCATTGACCACTCCACACAGCTGCTGGAGGGTCAATAGACTAAGGACCTAAGTAAAAGGATTGGATCGTGAAGTGATGTACATCCGGCGATCTTCCAATGAAATGAAGACTTCTGTTTTGACATGTAAATATCACGCACATTTGCATTTTTGATTTCACCGCTGCTTTTCCGAACTTATCATGTCGCCAGCTCACGAGTGGGAAAGTTCTTAGAGCACAGATCGCGAGCTGATTCTAACTATGCGGAATAGCCATTGACCCATCCGGGCTTGAACCAATACGACAAGGCAATAAAAGCGCCCCGTTCAATGCGCCATAATGCAATGTAACATCAAAGGATCCTCAAGACAGCTTGCCAAATTGAGCGGTTCGGTCAATTACCGCGAGGCATTTACCACAATTCGGCTAGTCTCAGCGGAAGATCGCGGGAGTGCTGACTTCTGACTCGCGTTTTGTGTGCGTCTCTGCTGGCGATGCTCCACTACACTCCTGTCTGCTGCTGCTGCATTCGTTACCGAAAACGTGGGCAAGAGGGGTGTGTAACGCTGAACTGGCATGTTATTTGCGTACGTGAGATTGCGAGAGAAAGGAAAAGTAGGAAGACAAACTGGGGTTATGGTGTTTCTAGGTCAGTAAAAGTGGTGAAAAATTAGACACGTGAGACAGCGCATTTCAGGTGAAAGGGCGCCATATACCCTAAGCCAAATTCCCGCCGTATTTTCTACGCAAGCCACTGCAAACCTCGGGGACGAACCGAAGATGCCTTGGAATGCGCAGTTTCTTTCACGATCCCAGAACCCCCACTGGTGTCATATCATCGGGTCTTTGTGGACGACTCGATTTGGCGTCGAGAAATATGATTCGCCCCAATAGACCGCTGATCATTTTCAGTTGTGATACATCGTGTCAAACTGCATCTCTGGAGCTTGAGAACAGAATATTTCTAGATTTGATGTGCATTCGGCCTTGTGTGCCCGTCTCTAGAAATTCTCGAAGTGAATCAGATGTTACCGGTCACTGCACTCGTGCCTTGGGTATGTGGGATTGCCGCTACCACGATGTTCCACGTTTAACGCCTATCAGCTTCTTCCCAATAATCAGCGGGAACAAGGTATATATCTTCTGATTCTGTGTTCTTTGGGGTCCCAGCTCTAGTAAATCGCCACTAAGCAGATAGACTGAACGTGTTGCATCATGTATACCGCCTCTGTCTGGGAGAAGACCTTTGCAAGACGCAACTGAAGCACCCACAGCATGTACTTGTATAGGTACCGGGACATGAGCATGGTCAATTGAAGGTGAGATATGTTCTGAATCAGCGGTGATGTTAAGATTCGGTAACTAGTTAACTTAACTAACTATTTAACTATCGAAGGTGCCTTGAAGCTCAGGTGTCACTGCCTCAGGCGGAAATCCGCGCTCGGACCAATGTCGCGTTCCCCGGAATATTCCCCTTTGCTCTTGTTTGCTTCCTCTGAAGTCATGTAGAAAATGGCCTCTGGGTATCTACAGCCCGATTATCCATCAGACTCATTTCGCATCAGGCGGAAGCCGGTGTCGAACCCGAACTTACGAGCTACGTATGCCGATCAGCGGGAGGCAGCTGCAAGCTCCCCATCGCTCGTGCTCCCATCACAGCCCCCATCTTACAGCGATCTCTATGGACCAGCCCCAATTTCCAGGTCCCCAAGTCCTGGGCCAATCCCGAGGCCTCGCACAGCAGGTCCAACGGCATCGCCAGCCCCTCCACCGCCGACACCTGTCCAAAAGGCATATGGTGAAGCTCGACATTTCCTCGGTGGCCTCATCAATCACCCAACAGAATCAAATAAACACGTGACCATCTTGCGACACTCTCATGGGTTAGTATTTTACCGTGGGAATACGACATCTGTTACGATATCAATATTCTCTGATGCCCCCTTGCCACTTGACCGTACCCTCTGGCTACAGAGTAAAGGGTGGTCGGGCAAGACTGGCATGCGAGCCAAATCCTTACTTCGTCTACGAGATGACTGGGTTGATGTCACTCCGGGAATGCCATTACGAGCGGACCAGGTGAATCCGGATGATGAGCGCGCCTGGCAGCGCGACATCAAGAAGTTCAAAAAGAAGGCACCATCTCGGCCGCGTGATACACATCATCTACGCGAAACCGCGGTTGTTCGCATTCCTGCTGAAGGAGGAGATGGGTATTTCCAGCTTGTACTCTGTCAGGGGCCGAAGAAGAAAGTGCTCGGCAACAGTCCCGTGTTCCGAGTGCTCTCTACATCCACCAGCCCCAGCTCCATTCGAGGTGCAAGTTTGAGTACACTGCCCCTTGAGGTTGGAGCACTGGTACTTAGCCTATATGCTCAAACTGCTGCCCGAACTGTTGCGTCTCCGGCCGCAGTTGCCATTCAAGCCAAGGTGCAGGCCACGGTCGATCCGTTTCGTCCCTCCTGGGTGACCAAAGCTGCAGCCCAAAAGATTTATACAAAAAGTGGTGCCCAGGACCGTGTGGGTGGTATTGTGAATGGCTCTAATGGCCCTATTGGACGATCTCAGACAAGCCTTGTGGCACCGCAAGTCATTGAGAACAATCCTTTTTGTATCGAAGCCGGCCCCCAGCCGCCATTCCCGATGATATTCAAATCTCGCTGTCAGCCTGGTCAGATTTCGTCTCTCGACCCCGGTGAGTTACCGAAATTGGCATTGACCAAAATGCCCGACTGGGTTGTGGAACAGCTACGGGGCTACTTCTTCGGTTGGGCTCGATTTGAGGCTTCATCTAAGGAACCAGCAGGTCCATGGTGTCCTGCTATCCTCTCCGTCCGGGCATTGGATCCTCTGCAGGCTGCCCGGGTAAATCTAGCCCAGATTGCGAAACGTGTAGTCGCATTGCGCCTTCTTGAAGAGGTTCCTCTCCAGTCCGCCAAAGTCGAGGTTCGCGTGATGGGATACCTGCGCGCTGAGATCCCTCCACCTACGGGGAGCACCAGTCAACAGCTTGCAGAAGCGCAAGCGGCAGCGGCAGAGGCGGCCGTGCTCGCTGATGTATATGATGCGTCTGTTGTGCAGGATACTTTGTGCCACCCTGCATGGGCATCAGAAAAGCCAGATGTGCACGGTTTTCAACGTCAAAACGCTGGTTGGGTTGATCGAACCCTGGAGGCTTACGGCAATATACAAACTCGGGGACAGAAACTCGTGGAACAGGTGCCATTGCATCGACTCGGCGTACGTTCCGCCGTTGATGTGATCAGGGAAAGCCAAGTGGCCGTGAATGGGTTCTTTATCGTTCGGTAAACACCCTTGTCAAAACTTATATACGCCTAGGGAGCACATAGTGGTGTTTAATTTGTACAATAGTGTCAATATATTATAATTATTCCATGGTCACATTCCAAGTATACATGAATCATTATTAACAGGATTGGACGAAAGCCACAACCAAAGATATTGAAAACACATAACCGTCATTATATTGAAATCAAGCAAGATCATGGTCCGACTGGCGGATCAGAAGCAGCCAAATTGCACTGACGGAACAAGCGAACCTCATCTGGTTTGAACGCACCGACTACCGAGTGTAGCACTCCACGGTTGTTGAACAACACCAAATCGTTGTCCACCCAGTCATGTGGATACACGTATTGTGGGCTGATCGCTGGTCGCTGCAGTTTGTAGACAATGTCGCGCACGCGAGCCAAATCGTCAATCACAGTACCATCAGCGCAGTGAATTCGCCGCACGGCAGATGGGTGAATCTGTAAGGCCAGCTTGCCCGTCACAGGATTCTTCCATGTCATGGGGAATATCATGATCTTGCTAGGGTCGATTGGCGGAAGGTCTGATTCTGGGAGCTCGAGGCCTTCCGAGTGCATGCCTAGTCCAGTGGAGCGAGACCGCGCTGGGCTCATCCAGATATAACTGTTGCGAGTTAGATTATTTGACTGACCACGGTTGGAAAGGTTAGGGACTCACGGGTGAGGAGCATATTCCATCTTGCTCGTTTTGACAAACTCCTTGTCCTCGGGCGAGAGAAGTTCAAACATGCGTTCACCACTCACGAACGCCGTTGTACCCAGGGGAACATCCATTGTTTCTCCTGTCCCATCATCATACAAGAGTGTCTGACGGCGACCTTTAGGTACATTTACGGCCATGAGTGTCGTCACCTGGGGTGGGTATAGGTCATAAAGTGCAGCATCGATGTGCCAGCGATAGAACCGAGTGAAATCATAATCTTGATCATCAGGGACGTGGTCTTTGTGGAATGTGCGGTGGTGAGGGTGACGTAATGTGACATCTTTCAGCCCTTCATATGATGGAACAAAACCATTTCCAATGACCTGGACCTGAGGCTGATGGGGAATGGTCTTGAGATCGGGATGAAGAATGCTTCGCTTTGCGTCGATGGTCTTGCCATGTCCGTAATTGTCGGAGGCAGGATCGAAGCGCTTGGTGAGCTCATATTGAGCTTTGGGGGATAGTCCTTTTTGATTTTTGAATACGACCACATGGTAGCGGTAAAGAGCGTCACGAATAGTCGCAAATTGCTCGTCTGTGAAATGTTATTTAGTCAAAGCTCCTGAACGATAAAGTAGAGTCCCTACCGTTCAAGGTTTCCAAGTTAGCACCCTCGATCTCAGCGCCAAAATCAATATCCGAGCCTGGCGGAGGCTGGATCGGGCGGACGGTAAGTGGTGGCACGGCCATTTCGGTCAAAAGTGTTCGGGATGTCGGAATCAAGTGCGCACGGTAGGGTTTTAAGGTTCGACAATGAGTATAGGTCGGGCCGGGTTGAGGCGGTTGACGGCGTACACCGAGCGAACACAGAACTATTAAAGGAATCCAGCTGTCGCCACTTGCTCCATCTTGGTGGTTTTGATAAGATCGACTCCACATTGCAGAGGAAGAACGCAGTCTGATTGGAAAATATGGAAAGCTTCATTTCGATAAGGCGGGCGAGTTGAGTGAACACACCCGCATTCAATTTCTACCCGTTCTTTGCTGTTAATGGAAGTGACTAATAGTAAACACTGATCTCCTCGCTTTACATGTGATATATTTACCAAATCTTCCACCAAGGTCCGCGTGGCTGCGCGGGTAGCTCAGCCGCAAGAATCTCGTCTAAGCCAGTATGCATATCGACCTCTTCAGGGCGCCAAGCCCATGGGTCACTCCAGTAGAGAGCCCGGTGTCCGAAATAGAGAATAACAAATGCCGGAATACCGATGTACGCGGTGAAAAAGCTGCTGACCGACCACTCAGATGGAAAGAACACTGTGAAGCCATTGATGAGCAACATGAGTATAGAACCTGCCAGGCCGAAATAGGCGCCATAGGGCTGTAGCCGCGATTTGTATGGTTGCTCGATCCCCTGCGCTTCCACGGCTTTGCGGAACCGGAAAAACACGACGCAGCAGCAAATCCAGGAGATAAAGCCGGAGGTATTGGTAAAGTTCACGAACCAGTTGAAGACAATTGAGCTGGAGTTGCCGACAGCAAGGTAGGCCAATGCCGAGAAGCACGCCGACACTCCGACAGCATAGTATGGAACTCCCCATCGGTTGCACGATTTGAAAATACTTGGTGCATTCCCAGACATGGCCAAGGAATAGAGCGATCGCGATGACATGTATAAGAAGGAATTACCGGCGGACCAGGCAGATGTCAATACAGCGGCATTCACGATATGGTCCAAAACAGGGATCCCGGCATTCTTGATCCCAATCACAAAAGGCGAAGAGCTCACCGTGCCGTCGCCCTTGGTCAGGCGTGAGGCATCGGATGGGCAAATTACGCCAATTGCCAGCACACCGAAGATATAGAAGAAAATCAAACGGTAGATATAGCGCCGGGCTGCTCGGGGCACATTACGTCGAGGGCTCTCCATCTCACCACCACTGATTACAATCAGCTCGGGGGCGAAGATAAACGCAATGGCGCTCGAGACAGTACACTTCAACAATGCCACGAATCGGCCGGTATGTCCCGTGACGAGGTACTCATTGAACGGGCGAGGGTCCTTCCAGTAATGAAATCCCAATCGCTGACGATTTGGCCCGCCGCCCCAGAAGAGAATGAAAGAAACCATCAAAAGACCAATCAAGGTGATGATTTTGACGCCCGCGAACCAGAACTCGGACTCGCCGTATACTCGCACGGGCATGAAGTTCAGGGCAATGATGACTATCATCATGACGGTGATCCATACCGCGATGTTGACCGAACCACTCTGATCCCAGTATCCAATAACCAATCCAGCTGCCGTGATCTCGTAGGGCACCAGGATACCGAGAGAGTACCAGTATAGGTATCCCATGGCGAATCCCATGCTCCGTGACACATATCGGAATCCGTGGTAACTCATTGTGCCACCGTGGACTGGCAGGTAGGCACCAACCTCGGCAATAGCAGTGACAAGGCCATAAACCATGGCCGAGATGAAGAGGTAGCCAAGAAGAAGCGACGCGGGGCCTCCAGTGGCCAGTCCCTGGCCGGAGCCGACAAAGAGACCTGAGTTGCGTTAACTCACTGATGTTGAATGACATTTATTTGTAATAACTTCAACTTACCAGTCCCAATCGTGCCTCCAAGTGCCATCAACTGGACATGGCGGTTCTTCAGTCCACGTTTGGTGGTTGTATAACGCTCATCGAGAAGATCCGCTTCGACAAGCGTTCGAACTGCTTTGCCTTTTTCGCTCATGGAATGATGAGTATCTCCATGAGAGACATAAGGTGCAGCATCGATGGCTGCCATTTTGACTAGTCGTCGGGGGAGGGGTTTAGAGAAGATTTGGAGGATGAGGGAAATTTGGGTAGCTTTAAATGTTCCCTACATCCCGACGGTTGCATCTCGAACGCATACCCTGAAAAGCCACACGGGACAAAATCGCCTCGTTTCTGATCCATGACTGGTCCGGGGAAGGGTCAGCTAACCGGCGTGACAGCCAAGCCCCGCTAAATGCGCAATTCCGGGGTGAGCCTCGTGGCGGTAGATAAGGTAGATTTTCTTACTTTGCAACTTCGATTGTATTAGCCTCCACAGCCTAGACTTGGGATCAATATTCTGACATGGCTTCTTTTGTCGAAAGTGAGTCTCCTAGCGGCCAGCGAAACCCCAAGCCCACCACTTGGTAATGCCCAAAATGCTTCAGTAGATCTTGGCTTTGGGCTATCAGAGATCGTTTAGAGGAAAGGAATGTGATCTGAATAGTGTTCGTCCTATGTCTTCATGATAACTGCCAGCCACACCGGCCTCACGACCGGTTGACCGGAATGGTATCTCAAGTCAACATAACCGACGTACTAAAGTCAACATATTAAAGCACATAGAAAGCACCACGACACCGGTCCGGCAACCGGTCCGGGGCGTATTATTGCTCGGCAAACTCTCTGGGCTCGTCTTCAATCAACTCACAGGACGTGGCTTTTTATCGGCAGGAGCGCAGGGTCACGAAGCGAGGCACAAAACAGGGTGTAGATAGTTGGAGCCAGTCCTAATTCGGTATAGACCTTTATGCCAGCCAATCAGAGATGCTACGCTATTCCTAGGAAGGGCTAGTTTACGGGACTGGTCCTAAACAGGCAATGCTTGCTATCATCCATGAAAGGGAACTAACCTTAAACAAGCTTAGATTGGAAGGCACATGTCAAGTGGACTATGAAATACGAGGTACATAAATGGAAGCAGTTTTCTGTATACAGAACCTTGCTCAACGGCGCATTAACCAGTAGCCTCCATAAACGAGCCGAACGTTCACCTAATATATATATTGCACTGATTCACTTTAGAAGATTGACAGGATTTTTTCGGTTCACGATAATTACGCGAGTCGCTGGTAGTTACCTGGAACAACGGGAATCAGATTTAGCCAATCCATAGAACATGACACTCACTGGCTATTCTAGCTTTATTATATGGCAAAAGCTATACGCAAATCTTGTTCAAGAGAAGGAATGCATAAAGATTTGAGCGAGGATGTAACAAGTACCCTATCCCGGGACCTTGTGGTAGCTTCACAGGTGTTATTCGGCACCATGACTATTGAGAGAGTTTCTCGCCACTTGATATATACCCCCATAGTTGAAGTCACGGCAACACATCAATCACCCACCATTTCTCGTATAACCCATGTACTTGGCCTTTTCAAGATGCATTCGAGATCGTGTACGGCCCCAAACATCTCATGCCATATACACGACAGCCACTTCAGAGTTGATAGCAGATTTGCTGAAATCCTTAGAGGTGTTCGGGGTTCGTGCTCTCAATTTGACCATGCTGAACAAGTCTTCTGGGTAGCCTGGCCTATGTGAGAGCCTCAGCTATTTTCAAGCAGCCAGGAAAGTCCAGGTTAAGTTGCTTTAATCCAACATCGCACAGATGGTAATGTGTTACACATCACTTTGTGTTTCCCGTTGGACGTGAACTACTGAGTTTGTTCTTCCCAAAGTAACACAGCATGAATTACACCAGAGGGCAGTGGTCTCCCGCCTAGAAATGCAGACTGCTCAGGTATATATCAAGCCCTACCTGACCATGAATCTGCACCCTTTTCCACCTGTCGTATGACCCATAAATTCATATCTCCACATTCCCCGCATGCGGACCGAAAGGGTTCGGGAATCGGATGATGCCCGACGTGGAGACTCGCTGATGTGCCCGAAACTCGAGACGAGGACAGTCTCAACAGGTATATCTTTGACGTCTACTCTCCATTCTAAAAATGCCAAAAAATACCAAAAGGGATCCTATATCTTCCCCAGATAGCTTGATTTACTCCAACGCTATGCAAGCCCTCGTCTACACTGGACCCGGGACCGTGGAGGTCTTGGACCGCCCAAAGCCGACCGTGCAGGTACCCACAGATGCCGTAGTTCGTCTATTGCACGCTTCTATCTGCGGAACAGATCTCCATATCCTCAAAGGCGACGTACCGAGCATCAAACCGGGGCGGGTGCTAGGACACGAGGGCGTTGGTGTGGTCGAGTCCCTTGGGTCTGCCGTGCACACTTTACAACTTGGCCAGCGTGTTCTAATCTCTTGTATGACATCGTGTGGGGCCTGTCGATTCTGCCAGCGAGGCCTGGCAGCTCATTGTATAACGGGCGGGTGGACGCTGGGGAACAAGATCGATGGCACTCAGGCTGAATACGTTCGTGTTCCCCACGCCATCCTCTCGCTGCACCCGCTTCCTGATTCCATTGACGCACGCGCTGCGGTCGCAGTATCCGATGCGTTCCCTACGGGCCTTGAATGTGGCGTCTTGAGCGCGGGAGTTCAGTTGGGAGGGTCAGTGGCGATTGTGGGCGCGGGCCCGGTCGGCATGGCGACACTTCTCACGGCCCGCTTATATACGCCCTCGTTGATAGTGATGGTGGACCTAGACGAGGGACGACTGGCGACAGCGCATAGCCTCGGAGCACATGCCACAGTGGTCTCGAGCCCCGACGCCGAGCAAAAACTCATGGACCTCACGGGCGGTCAGGGATTCGACTCGGTCATCGAGGCAGTGGGCATCCCTGCGACCTTTGAATTGTGCCAGAAGATAGTCGCTGTGGGTGGGCGAATCGCAAATGTAGGTGTGCACGGTACCAAGGTCGATCTACACCTAGAAAGACTGTGGGAGCGTAACATCAGTAAGTCGAAGAGAAGAGAAGGGGAAGTGGCAAGATCCGACTAACACCTCAGGCATTCATATGTCTCTCGTCAATGCGACAACAACATCCCGCCTCCTGCGACTCGTGGAATCGAACAAGTTGGACATTAGTTCCTTGGTGACCCATCGTATGTATGAGAGAGGCTGAGACATTCTCATCTAATCGTTCCAGATTTCCCTTTCACCGAGGCCCCCAAGGCATACGAAACATTCCAGGCTGCCTCTCAGCACCAGGCGCTCAAAGTTGCCATAGATTTTATCTAAACATTCTCCAGATAACGAAGGGGAATGTGATTGTATTCGCTTTGAGCACCCCTTTTGACCCCCCTTAATTGAGCTTATCTACGGGATGGCCGCACGGCACACGGCTGAGATGTGGTACCGACTTGCGGGTTAAATTTGCAGATTTGGGGCTGTTGATCCTCATAGGTCTTTGATTGGCTGCATGGTGAGCATTTGGCGTCTTTCTAATCTTACGCGGTTAGAAAAGTGCGCCTCTGATATCACCTTTCCTCCAGTAGCGCTTTCACAGTATCATGGGATGATAGCGATGTAGATAGATGTAGATAGATGTAGATATAGTCATTATCAGTTGTTTCAGAAGGGAAACCGCTACCTAGTTTAGTATAGGTACATGTAAAGAGATCCTTGGCTCAAATCAGTTTTATCTCAGTGTTTTCTTGAACAAATCTGCAAGTAATGTGATTGGTCCATAGTATCTCCGTAACGGACTCTAGTTAGAACCTTCAACGATATCGCTCTGAGTGGCTGCAACCTAGTTCAGTGGCTCTAAACGCCTCATCTGAATGGCTGAAAGTAGAAAAGTGTCCACTCTATGTGGCTCTATATGCTGGTCATCCCCGTATTACTCCACTTCCTTCTTTTTTTTCTTCTTTTTTTCTTTTTTTTGGGGTGTATCTTGCCTACTCTTTTTATCTCTCCCATCTTCCCATTTATTCAAAGTTCCCTCTCTGGCATGAACATCAATCACTAAGTCCTTTTTCTTTTCAATATGGGTCTCGTTGAACGTCGCCCGTCCGGGGAGCAGGGTGTGGACACTACCAATGCCGATCGGACCTTGGAAGACATGGGTTACAAGCCTGAGTTGGCGCGCAATCGCTCCATCTGGCAAGTGACCTTTATGTGCTTCATTCTCTCTTCGGTTCCTTACGGTTTGTCCACTACTTTCTACTACCCTCTTGCTGCAGGTGGTCCCGCCAATGTGATCTGGGGTTGGGTAATCATCTCGTTTCTGATCCTCTGCGTGGCTATCTCGCTGGCTGAGATCACTTCGGTGTACCCCACTGCCGGTGGTGTTTACTACCAGACCTTTGTCTTGTCACCACTCTGGTGTCGTCGTGTCGCCTCCTGGATCTGTGGTTGGTCATATGTGGCAGGCAACATCACGATTACCCTTGCTGTGAATTTCGGAACCGCCTTGCTCTTCGTGGCCTGCTTGAATGTCTTTGAAAAGTCACCCGGAGTTGGTATCACCGATGACTTCCAGACTTACCAAACCTTCCTCATTTTCTTGGCCATCACCCTATTGACTCACGCCATCTCTGCATTTGGCAACAAATGGCTGCCGTGGTTGGAGGTATGTTCGGCACGTGCCATATTACCCCATGGGGCGTAGGACTGATATGTTCTATCTAGACATTTGCCATCTTCTGGACGTTAGCTGGTCTGGTTGCGATCGTTGTCTGCCTCCTGGCCATTGCTAAGCAAGGTCGTCACTCCGGTGCCTGGGTGTTTGGTCACTTTGAGACTCAGGCCGGGTGGCCCGCTGGATGGTCCTTTTTTATCGGTCTCCTGCAGGCAGCTTACGCCACCTCTGCAACAGGCATGATCATCTCGTGAGTTCCTTGTTGGACTGAAACACCGCAAAAGCCGTGCTGACAATATCTAGTCTATGCGAGGAAGTGCGTGAACCCGCTATCATGGTCCCCAAGGCCATGGTCGGAACCATCGTCATCAACTTTGTTGCCGGACTTCTCTTCTTGGTCCCCGTGTGCTTTGTGCTCCCTGATCTGACTTATTTGATTAACCTCGCCTCCGGTCAACCTACCCCGGCGATCTTCAAGGCCGCCATTGGAAACTCAGCGGGCGCCTTCTGTTTGCTTATTCCTCTATTAGTTCTGGGAATTATCTGCGGCGTGGGTTGTGTTACTGCCACTTCCCGCTGCACTTGGGCCTTTGCCCGTGACGGTGGAATCCCCGGTTCTGGCTGGTGGAGCACAGTCAACCCGAAGCTAAACATTCCTTTCAATGCCTTGGTGTTAGGCATGGTGGTGGAAATCTTGCTTGGAGTGATTTACTTCGGCTCTACCGCTGCATATAATGCCTTCTCCGGTGTCGGTGTCATTTTCTTGACCACTAGCTATGCTTGCCCGATTGCCGTCTCACTGATTTTCCGCCGCCGCGAAGATATCAAGAAAGGGAGCTTCAACTTTGGAGTTGTGGGCCTCGTTTCTAACGTACTTGCCCTTGGTGAGTAGGAACTTGTCTCTGATTTCCCAAGAAACTTCTGCTAATTGTTCTGTAGCCTGGAGTATTCTTGCTATCCCTCTTTTCTGCATGCCGACTTTTATGGTGGTGACCAAGGAGAGCATGAACTACGCCTCGGTGGTCTTTGTTGGCTTTGTTGCAATCGCTGCTGTCTGGTATGGAGTCTGGGGTTACCATAACTACCGGGGTCCGCCAACCGACGCGGTGGTGCCTGATGGAGCCTCATCGCGACCTACCTCGCCTCCAACTTATGCCGAGGTTCCTGAAAAGGTCCGGGATACTTGAATAGGTTTAGTGGCCGTGGTCGTGGGCTTTAGCAGTGAAAGCTGTGTCTGTCCTTGGCTCGCCTGAGAGGCCTTTAGCACCTTCGATAGGAGCCACTTGTATGTACATCAATAGGTATAGATACCCCTCGCCGTTCGAAATTACTATGTAGCTTAGTAAAAGACTGGCTACATAAGAGTAAATTGCCCATCTGATGATTGGCGGAGTTTACGAAGTAAGATAAAACAACAAACGGCGAGAGAACTAATGAGACCTAATACAGCGTGTTATCTAAGGAACTCACAGGACTTTTCAATGAACCTACTTCCGCATCGAATATATATTCTTTGTTTCTGAATCATGGCATGAACTGACTTCGAGTACGGAATGTCTTATCGTCATTCACCTCTAAGAAGTAATGGCTGCCACATGGTCGGTCACCAGACAAGTAAAGTCAGAGGTTCCATAATAGAACGTGTTTCCGTCATTTGGCGATTGTCCGTAACTGAGGGTGTCTCCATACTGCCAATATAGATCAGCCGCGACACCAGTGGCCGACAGCGCCGTCGCTTGCCATGGTGCCTCAATTGTACAGTGGTCGGATGTGACACCGTACTCCTCAAAGAGACATGGCTTGCCAGCAGCTGCGCAGGCGGCTCCGTGGGAGGTGATCCACCCGTTGCCCCAGTCGTTGGAAGTGCCCCCTGGATAAATTAGCAATGGTTAAAACTTAGGAGAAGATATGCGTACAGCTCGAAGGATAGAGATGGAATGTGGCGAAGTCAATGGTGTCAATGTCCAGGTTCATGGTGAAGTTCAACCCCTCGCCATAAGAGTAAGGGTAGCTGCCATCGGAGCCAGCGTCTAGTCCAAAGCCCTCTTGAAAATTCGATGTTAGTCAATCGATAGGCGTGAAAGACTATCTGCGCTCACTCACCATCACCAATAGCTACCATGTGCTTCGAATCCAGAGACTTGATGTAAGCACTGGTAGACACAATCCAGTCGTAAAGGACCGAAGGATTGCAACCGTTGCAACGTGGCTCGTTGGCTAGTTCCCAAGCAAACACGGCAGGCGAATCAATGTAGCGCGATACGACTGCCTTAATGTAGGCGCGATAGGCTGTCTGAGCTGCAGTGTTCGTGTACCAGCTGGTCTGGCTTCCGCCAAATGCTGTAACATACGCCGCCATTCCACCATAGTCAGACCAGTTGTTGACGAAGTTGATGATAAGCTTAATGTTGCGTTTCTCTGCAGATGCAACCACGTAGTCCAAGCGCTGGAGGCCGTCCGCGCCGGTATTGATGGTAGCCGTTCCACCGGAGAGTAGCTGGTAGTAGACAGTCCCGGATGATGGTACGGTGTTAACATCGTTGAATCCCCAGACTCGGAGGATGCGAAGCCCAGATTCGTTCATGTGATCTAACACAGTATCGACATCGTCATTATTTGTAAGAAACCCAATCCAGTACGAGTTGGAGCCTGCAAAGTAGCTCGTCTTGCCGTCAATCTCAAATTTGAGCCCATTCGTGGTAGGGAAACCAGTCCCTCCAGTGCTAGAAGTCGTGGTTGAAGTGGTCTTGGTAGTTGTTGAACTAGCCTTGGTTGTACTTGTCGACGTGGTAGAAGCCTTTGTGGTAAGCGTGGTGGTGGTTCCACCACTTGATGCTGCAAGAGTTAAGGGGATGGACATCATTTGAATCTGCTAGCAGCACTTACATGCTAAGCATTGGCTATACCAGTCGTTCTGATATTGACAAACCCAACCCGCCGTACATACTGTCGTTCCAGAGTAACCGCTTCCACCGCATTGTCCGTAAGGTGCGACTTGAGCAGAGACCAGACCGGCCAAGGATAGAACTGCTACTACTTTCATGGTGACTGAACTTTCCAATTGCCTGTAAAAGGAATGCCGCGCAAAGTTGAAAATATATATTTGCACCAGGTGAGGGGATGACAACGGGAGATTATCCCGCCCTCAATTAGGACATTAGTTTATCACACACGGCGTGGACATCATCTCCACGAGCCCTCCGTGTTGTTTGTGGAAAGGCAGAAATACCCTCGCCGTGACGAATCTAAGGATTGGCATTAATGACAGGCCTAATTTTCCCAACACAATCCCTGCTTGTATTATGCGGGGTACCTGAACAAATAAAAAGCACAAATCAAATGCCATTGCGGGGTTTCACGCAGAAATGGAACGCGGAGGCTTGCTAGCTACCTGAGCACGCTTGCCTCGACTTGTCAAGGCGTTTCAGCCGCCGCACCTAGAAAATGAGGCCGCATTGGCAAAAAATGATCATACGGAAGAACGGATAGTTGAACCGATTGCCAGACGTTCGCAGGCCGAAGGATAATGTGTTTTTTTAATAAACCGAGAGTGGTTAAAGTAATAACGCTGTCTGCCTGTAAAGCGTTGATCGGACCGGAGTGATCGATATTGGTTTCGGGAGCTAGTTTGTGTTTACAACCCAAGATTTAATATGTATATGTCCATATTGCTACCAAAGGGAATTGTCCACAACGTTGGGAGGGACTTATAAATGATAAGTGGTGGTTAAAGCCACTTATTGCAGCAGTCAGCTTTGCTCAATCAATATGATCACCGCGGCGGTGGGTAGAATCTCGCCGACTCACAAGTCAATCGACTGAGCCAAACGTGGTCAGCCTGACAGGAGGCACACATAGCTCAATAAAGCGACACCGATCTAGATTGACCGTTTTCATAGGATCCGCCTGTTCCTTTGACTGGCTCCGTCAATGAGCACAACGGGTTCTCGAACCGAGATCCTTTCCGACTTGGTACGGGGAATGAAGGATGGATCGGCGCAGTGTTGGCGGAGTAGAGCTATTCCGAGATTGAGGGAAGATGCGGATATTGTGACGTTACGGAGTCCTCTGCGTAAGTTTAATAATATTGAGTGCTGTCTGATTGCCAGATTCATTACCAAGGACAATGACGGACGACTCGACAATCCCCCATGTAAAGCAGGAGGAAAGGGGCTAAGGAGGAAATGAGGGTTTTCGCCTGATGTGCCAATTACCTAACGTATACTTGCCCCTGAAGCCCCTGGAGCCCCTGGGGAAAATATCCACGGAAATCGGGCATGCATGCGTATAATTGAGAATCATTGATTCTAGAAAACCTAAAGAACCCAGTAATGCCAGAATTGTCTAGCAAAATCGAAGGGTGAAAACTCTTCAATGACGTAGGGCGGGTGTGGCGCCCCAGATACCGCCACTGACGCTCTCGGCATGCAGTGTGCACTATACCGACTGGGCGGGATTATATCGGGGATGCTGTGACACGCCCGATACAATATACCTCAGCGGGTCATAGTGCAGTAATGTCATCGTTCTTCCAATACGGTCCATCCAAAAGAATCTGAAGTTGAGAGGGTTTCACCCCGGAACTTCCAGACTCCGCATTTTCCCCTCAGAGCAAATCTCCTTCCTTGTCTGGAGATGCGCGGCCCCCCGGGGGAGGCATTCACCGGGACACTGAAGAGGAATGAGCTGCTTTGCAGTCCGGAGACTCCTCTGGGGTCGGAACGCCCGGCTTTTCGCTGACACATGGCCCACCTCGTTCTCCAGACTCCAGAAAGACTTATCCGGAGTATCAAGGCACTCCCACAACCCAGTATCAACACATAAATGGCAAGTTGATACCCTAGACCAAATCTCGGCTCCGAGATTTCTGATCCCGAAGTTTAGACCGAATATCAAACCTTCGGCATGGTCTTGGCTGGCGATGATATGCCGAGTCGGGGAAATTCGCCACTCGCTTGGAGCCCGACCCTGGCCTCTCCGGACAATCGGCTATCCGCTTGAATGACGAACCAGAGCCGATGACCACATGGGACTGGCTGTGTATGGCTTCTCCCCTCTTTCTGTGGAGTTCATCGGGCCGTGCGAGTCGGCTTCGGCCGGCATGTTGCCTGCCTACCATGCTCATTTGTACATTTGGCCATGGGCATCGTCATCTCGTGCAAGTAGCCTATCCACACTTCTCTCCCCACTTGGTGGAATTGAGCCGTTTTATTGCTTTCCTGTTGATTACAAAAGGGGCCTTGTCCCCCATGTTCCCCCGGGGCTTTCTGTTGTTCCCCATGGGCCTGTCCCCCGAAATCTTACTCCTCTCTTTTTGTCATATTGCTGCCGAACCTGGTCTCTAATTCCATATACAATCCAACTTGAGGCCTCTTCAGTCAGATAACTTTTACCTATACACCATGGGTGTCGAATCCTCTACCCACCATGGGGAGTCCATCACCCAGGCTCAACAGCCAACCCTCGATACCTCCTCCCACAATAGCCCCATTCAAAAACCCATGCGCCCCGTGGGCGTCGATACCCCGATCCCTCGGATCACCATGCGTTCCTTGGTGATGGCCCTTTTCGTCTCGATGGGTGGTCTCCTGTTTGGATATGACACTGGTCAGATCTCCGGCTTCCAGGAAATGAGCAACTACCTGGAGCGGTACGGTCAGCTTGGCGCCGACGGCTCATACTCTTTCAGCGCTACGCGGTCTGGTTTGATCGTCGGTCTGCTCTCTATTGGTACTATGATCGGTGCCCTAGTCGGTGCTCCCGTTGCTGATAAGCTCGGCCGCAAGTGGTCTATCACCTTTTGGTGTATGGTTCTCAACATTGGATTGATTGTTCAAATCGCCTCTCCGGATGGCCACTGGTACCAAATGGTCGTCGGCCGTTGGGTCACTGGTCTTGGCGTCGGAGGCTGCTCCCTTCTCGTGCCTATGTACCAGGGTGAAAGTGCTCCCCGTCATATCCGTGGTGCTATGATCAGTTGCTACCAACTGTTTGTTACCCTTGGAATCTTCCTGGCCTATTGCATCAACTTGGGTACCCACACAATGGACGGCACTGGTCAGTGGCGCATCACCCTCGGTCTCACCTTCCTCTTCGCGTTGGTCCTTGGCGGTGGTATGGTCTTCTTCCCCGAAAGTCCTCGCTACGAGTTCCGTCACGGAAAGGTGGAAAGCGCCCAGCGTACCCTAGCAAAGCTCTATGGTATTCCAGAGAATCACGTCCGGATCATGGAAGAAATGGACGAGATTCGCGAACAGTTTGAAGCCGAGTCTGATGACCAGAAATGGCATGAGTTCATCACTGCTCCCCGCATGTTCTATCGTATTGCTCTTGGCATGGTCCTTCAATCGCTGCAGCAGCTCAGTGGTGCTAACTATTTCTTCTACTATGTAAGTCGCATCTCAGCCCCCTACCGTCTACTATCCACTGAAGGAAACAAAATACTAATGGCTCTTTTCTCGAATAGGGTACAACTATTTTCGAAGGCGCTGGCATCTCAGACAGCTTCATTACTCAGGTCATCCTTGGTGCTGTGAACTTTGGAACTACATTTGGTGGTTTGTATGTCGTTGAAAACTTTGGCCGACGCAAGTCTCTTATTTTTGGAGCCGGCTGGATGTTTGTCATGTTCATGATCTTCGCATCAATTGGTCATTTCGTGCTGGACGTGGAAACCCCTACCAACACTCCTAATGCTGGCAAGGGAATGATTGTGGTCGCATGTCTGTTTATCGCAGCATATGCCATGACCTGGGGCCCTATGGTCTGGGCTATTGTGGCTGAGCTATTCCCATCCAAGTACCGTGCCAAGGGTATGGCTCTCGCCACTGCAACCAACTGGCTGTGGAACTTCCTGATCAGTTTCTTCACCACCTTTATCACAAAAGACATCGACTTTGCGTACGGCTATGTCTTTGCTGGTTGTCTCTTCTTCGCCACTCTGATCGTTTATTTCTTTGTGATTGAAGGAAAGGGTCGCACACTGGAGGAACTTGATTGGATGTATGTCAACAAGGTTGTCCCCTGGAAGAGCAGCAGCTATGAGATTCCTCAGCGCCAGGAGTGGGCCGCCGACGAGAGCCCTTATGGGCGTAAGGAGGAGCAGATGTACCACGCAGAGAACGCCTGAGTGCATGAGTACACGAGCCTATGATCTTTTTTCTTTCCCATCATTCGCAATCGGGGTTATTCTGGGTTTGCATGTCACGATATCAGCTTGGGCCTGGCGTACTGAGTGGATTTGTGCGGACTTTTTTTTCTTTATACATTTAAGGGTGATTACATACATCTTGCATTTATAGAACTTAGACAATATCTAGTTGCATATGAGCACCATTTTAAAAACCTGTTTTCCGCCAAAAGCCATGCCAAAACGTACAATTGTAGGCAGGACTTCCTATCCTTAGTAGCGGCGGATCAGTTAACAGTTTCTTGTTTTTACCAGAGGGCAAGAAACAACGCAAGGTTTCCTAGGTAGAACGCCACTACCTCAAGAATCTTATGCAGGGTTCAACACACCTTTTTACCCCTTTTTTATTCCACCGTTATTTCCATTTTCCAAGAATCCCGTAGACGTTGGGTTAGGAGCAGTATGGTCGATTGCAGCAACGTTATCCTAGTAAAGTGTAGTCCTTCTACATTCTAGTATCATCTGTGGAACTCTCCGTGGCTTGTCAAAGCAAGACACTGAAAAGCGTGAAACGGAGCTTTGCTCCTCATAAATGGAGATGCCGATCCTAAAGAATGGAGAGCGTATACTTCCTCCCTAAGTGAACCTTCGTTGGGTCCAAAACCAACGGAGCAGGGATTATATGCCAGAGCCTAGACCTTTATCCAGGGTGCGGACAATCAATCCTTTCGGCATGATAAAAGTGGTCACAGCGAATACACTGTTTCCGAAGTAAATCCTGCAGTCATACGACGATTGATAATCCAGAAGACCAAAATCTGCAAACCAACCAATACCAGCCCTGATGTGACCAGGGAAATCATTATTAACAAGCCTCTGGGGTAACTTTTGGATGAACACCATGAATGTCAGTTGACAGAAAAGATAAAAAATTCACATTTCCCAGCAGATACGTACAATATCGGTGATTCATCATCCCGGAAAATCTGGGTCCCTGCCATAAGACCGGCAGTAGCTGACATTACAACTGTGTTAAATTAGTTGAGCGAAGTTCGTACAATACAATAGATATCGGGTAATCATACACATTCTAGATATTCAAAGCATGAGTGAGTTAGTGTATTTTGTATAGCGATTGAGGCGCCCTTAGGTAGGAAAGGCATACTTACGCAACACTGATGCTTCTCTCTTGAGGGCGTCGGCAGTTTATTTGAATCCAAGCATTGTGGATTGGATGATAGCCAACTGCCAATCCATTGACCATTGTCCATAAACCAAATCTGGCCCATTTTCCGACACGATACTCCATCGTTCTCAAGACGATCAGTCCGATCAGGTATACGGAGATCGCAATCATAACAGTTAAGCCCCGTTTCTTCGTTTTGTCACTCAACCATGCAAAAAACAAGATGACAGGGAGAGTGGAAAAACCCCCAATTGCAGCCAATGAATTTGCTTGGATTCGAGTGAAGCCCAGTTCCATAATAATACTGGGAGTGTAGGTTGTAAGTGGACTCCACGTAGAGAAGACACAAGCGGTGGCAATAAAATGTGGCCACTTTTCAATGGTAGTCACAGTATCCCATACTAATCTCAATGGTATCTCGGCTTTATCAGAATGAACCAACTGATCCTTTTCTGGACAGTCGTCCGTTGTCCTCGGGCCAACTGCTAGGCAAGACGAGGCCGGGGAAATGGTTTTACATTCAGGAAGGAAAAGGCAAAGAACCATTGAGACGAAAATCGAAAAAAGTCCTTCTACTGCGTGTATCTTAGCACTCCTGTTGCTTTAGACTATATTCTTGATCTTACCGAGGAAAATCCATTGCCAGCCGGAGAGATTGGCCTTTCCATCCAGTTTCAACAAACCCGCTCCAATTAAAGGAGAGATAGCTGTTCCTCCAAACATGCCGAAGAAAAAAATAGCGATTCTCTTTGTAAACTCGGGGGCTGCATACCAGGTAGATAGAGTATACATTGCACCGGGGATATAACCGGCTTCGGCAAGTCCAAGGACGGCTCTGGTGACCAGAAAACTGGCTTTGTTATGTAGGAAGATTTGTAAGCAGGTTACAAGTCCAAATACGAAAACCTGTCCGCTAAGCCACTTCCGAGGACCAATCTAGCGTCTTTGAGCTTTTGGTCTATTCGAGTGGATGGGTGCTACCTACCTTGTGAAGCATCATATTTGAGGGAATTTCAAGTATAATAACACCCAAAAACATAAGTTGGTTTCCAATGTTGATCGTGTTTTGATCCACGGAGACGGCCACTGCGAAACCACCCGTCAATGCACTCGCGATGTTGGTTCTATCCAGTTGGTAGCTGGCAAACCCAATGAGTAGCAGTGGCAGGACCCTAAAGTCCGCTCTTTAAGGGTTCGGCGTCAGAGCTCCATAAAATCAGTTCTTGGAAGAGCACACCATACGCACATTCTCCGATGGACGTTAGAGTGCCTGCGTTTAAAATCATTATCTTGGCCGAGATCATGGAGTCGAATATGTGTACAATCGGTCATATTCAGCGCTCAAAGGTCGGTTATGTTGTAACAAAGGTCGGTTTACGAAAATTCTTGTCCTAAATTTGAGACTTCTTATTCTCCCACGAAGGGGACCTTGGGGGCCTTGGAAATTCAACACCTTGTGGACGATAAGTAAACGCACTCAACGCCACCGTGAAGTAAAAAAAATTTACTTGCGCCATTGATATCAAATATTCTGTTCCTTAAGGAACGCCTACAGTATCAGACTGAAACTCTAGAAACTCGCAGCCGAAGATGAAAGTAGGCAGTGAAGATATGTTTATTGGAACTCGACTTATTTCCAAACGAACCAAGGAATAATTAACAAAAGCCGAATTGATCAAATACCGTCCACAAAACTTTCAGAGACACACCACAAGTTCATACTCGATCGCAGTTCTTCCATGTCAAATCTTGGATAATTGTCCTCTCAAATTGACTTCGCAACATCTGCCCGAGAGGAAGCTCAGGCACGGCAGCGGATCTTAGCGTTGTTCAGATTGATTGGAATGGCGGCATTGGGGTTTCCATCAAGATCAGCATAGGTGTGCTGAGCAGTTAAGGTACCTATGACAGCACCATTGTTCTTAATGACGCAGTTGATTGATTGCGGGAAGGCAGTCAGCTGGGCAGCATTCGCCTTGACGGTGCCTCCAGCCCCGACGGAGGTACTGCCAAAGAGCGACAGGATGCTCTTTTCGGTATCATCTGCGAGGAATGGCACGCCAGAATATGCTCCAGATTGGTCATTGGAAAGAGCAACAGTGACCTGACTCCACTGGCGAGCCTCGAGGGGCGAGGCAGCGGCAAGAACTGCCATGAATGGGAGAAGAGTAGCGAAAGTAAACTTCATATTGAGAATTTTCAACGAGATTCGATTAGGATGAGATGTATGATTTGGAAGAACAGACTGTTCAAGGCAATTAATAAAGAGATGGAAGTTCTTGTGCTCTTGGATGGAAGGTATACAACAACTTGGAGGAAGACGTAGGCTTTATACCTGCTCCACTGGAATACTGAGCTGTAACCGAGGATGCTGTCTTCTTTCTAAAAAAAAACTATTCTTAGATATTCAGCTCTTGATACGGCCTGCAAATGAGGTCTCGAGTCCAGAAAAAAGCAATGCCCTATAGAAAGTTATGTTTTCACACAGCCCTGAAATCGAGATCAGCTGAGGGCTTAGCCCAGGATCCCCTACCTCATGGATATACTCGCATTGTAAGACAAGTATCTTGCATGACGTGGTTGGAAGCAGCCACGCAGTGCGCTTGATACTAACCATGTCTGGTATGTATTTGTATCTTCATGTGTAGTGCAATTCACAGGTAGCGAACATCAATACATGAGATAACTGAACGTTTCATTGCGCCACCATTAAATGGAATGTTGTTGAAACAGACAGGATTGATCATCTCGATTTTAATGTTAGTAGGTTTGATCCTGAGAGACACAATCCGGATATACGGAGATTGTAGGTTTATCATTTTGCTTTCAATGAGCCGTGCGTACACTGCTCAGTTCCTCCGTTCCATTTCTGCATGCGAATTTACACTAGTAACGTATTTGCGTTGTCAGTGAATTTTGAAAGTTGTTAATAATTCAGTGCGCGTGCCAAATATTTTGCCTTGGCATCAGAATGCCATGCGAAGCTGACACGAGAGCTCACCGTGTTTTGTCAAGTTGGTAGGTACAGTTTCCTGATATCAATTTGCTATCTTTCAATGCATTTATACATTTTTGGGGGTTTTACTAACAAGCAGCAGTTGCTAGATCGTCAAGAATTACTGCTGCCGGAGTTCACACGAAGAAGGTAGAAACATGACAAGAGTAAAGAAAGGGAGATTCGGTTTGTAACGAGAAACATTTGAGCCAAAAATCCGTTTACAAACTTTCAAGGCCCAAACCGAGGTGAAAGATTGGACATGATGCCTAGTTGTCTCAGTTTAGTGGAAGTCACAGAAATACGAAGAGGCGTCATCATGAAAAGCAATACACACAAGTTTTGCACACAGCTCATGGTCAACTTCGTATTTACCCCTCAGTGTCTTACAATGTGGATCGTACACGAGGCTCACCTTGATCTGGCTGAGATATCTCAAGCCAAGCAGAACTCAAATTCCGAGTGAGACCAACACCGATCGTTGGAATCGAAGGTAGTCATGCGCCAAATCTGGGGTAAGACATTGGAAGGAGCGATTGTTCTATACATCACGCTAGGCCCAAAGCAAATATCTGGGGGGCCTTAGGCTCCCCGATGTCCTTGGACCTCCCCTGCCGCTGTTATTCCTGGTATCTGTCTTGTCAATTAATAAAATTGTTGCAAATTTCTTTTGTCCACCTGTCTCATGCTACAAGTAGCATTGTATGTGTGCTCAAAGCTATTTGGTTACCCGATTGTAAATGAAGTATAAAGCTATCAACACAGATCACCATGTCAAATACTGGTGCTCAACAAATCCCGGGTTGAATCTTCCAAGGGGACTTTTAGAGATAGCGGTGGGCTATTTCGTGACCTGCACTAAGTTACAATTTCATTGTACTTGTTTGTCTGGAAAAAGTCTTCTCACACCGCCCCCGCTCGTGTCTTGGCGGGCGTTGGTTGGGCTTGGAGCTTGGGGACAAATCGTATTTCTCCCCTATGACACCAAGTTAAATATATCGGCCAGTTGAATAAAGGTTCTTCTTCAAGAAAGACCGTATTGGCTTTATGGATGTGAAGCGCATAAAAAGAAATACCGACTTCTAGTGCGCTTTCATAGGGCCCCATATATACTATTATGCAGCATGTCACTGTTAACCGACTGGGCTGCTTAGGGAGTAGGACCTTAGTATATCCTGCTGTGGGGCATTTGAAGTTCTGCGGCAAGTGACTAGATCTCATTTTGGTAACATTGTAGTCAGGACAGTGACGAATTTTGAGAAGGGTGCCTGATTATGTTCTTATTGAGGCTTCCATCGCATTCAGGGGTGCAGATTGCTGTCCCAATTTTTGAGATCTTTTGCTCTTTTTCTATTTCCTTCTCTGCTCCTGCCTTACATCAGTGTTCTGAGTATGCTCGAAAAACCCAATCCTTTTGTTGAATAGTATATAAGCCTTTAACATGGATCAATAGATGGAAAATATTTAATGGGCTTGTACTTGGATCCTAATAAAGAAGTTAATTTTAAACTGGAGGGGAGAAAAAGAAAAAAATAGAAGAAGAAAAGAGAAAAAGAAGTCGCTGTGATATCGGTTAAGCGATGCGATGTATATGAGACATTCACTATGCCAATTCTCTGACTAAGGTAAGCAAGAGGCCTGAACATGGGGTGAAAGTCTGTTGTCGCATTTTCTTTTGTCCCCCGCCCGTCTTTAGCTTCAAGGACATCATAAGAGTCCCCATACGAGATCATCTCCTGGCTGGTAAGCTCTAATGTACCTTAGATGTTTCACGGGACACAAGGTTTATTTCTAACGATCCTCAACCCGCTGCTTAGCTGGTAGTTCCTTCTCCAATCCACTGGGCTGGGGCTGTGGTCGACAAACGTCCTTGTCAAGGGCGGGTTTCCCCCCTGTAAACTAGATGATGGTCATACGTACTCTGTCAAACGTGTTTGCAATGGGTACCAATGTTTCACATCCCCGTTCGTCGATATGACCGACTCTTCCGTCCGTATTTCTGCTATCTTGGCTGTAATCCAAGTAATTTGGTTCTCTTCTCCCCCAGCTGTTTAGTCACTGGTTCGCTAAAGGGGTTCCATGTGAAATCGTGCTTCTGGCAAGTACATAGGTTATACAATGCTATGGACCTCATGCCATTCCAAGGCTCAGGCCCTCCTCATTTCTACTCGTGGAGAAGTTATCGGCCTTCTTTACTTCTCCGGACTTTGTCTATAAACGAAACTATATGTGAGGCAATGGTGATTTTCTTTTGACACGTATGGATCTTTTCTATAATGAAGATTATTCATGCGTGGGCCCAGATTTGATTTCAGGTACCTTAGATAGGCATGGGATATATATATCCACGTGCGATCTGTTATAGGTCGAAAATTATAATCATCTCATAAATTATCACACTTAGAACATGTTGAAATATTACGATGAATGACGCTACGGAAGCATGTATGTCAAGGCCAACGAGGTGGTTTAAGCCTGATCTCTCTCTCATGAGAGAGAGATCCTATTTAATGGAGAGCATTTCTCCTGAACTATTCTCTATATAGTAGGTTCAATGCTGATCATGAGATTCATGCTTGGTGAAGCAGGCATTTCATGCCTGGAGACCCATGAAATCTCAACAGAACACTAACCTGTTTTCCTATACCAGGTAAGACGAAGATTAGCCTACATTTTGATATTCTCGAGTATTGAGAAAGTGCGTTCAACGAGGCTGGTTACACATATCTAGACCATACGGAAACACCGGCACATTCAATAATCTTTACTGATTTGATCACCCGGTCCTATCACAATCCAAGGTCGTTTACATTGCTAACCGATGACAGACATGGACTTGTCTCAGATGGCTTACGTCAAGTCAAGATCTAGATCTAACCTTCCGGATATCATTATGAGCAAGGTAACACTACACCGCAAGAGAAGCATTCAAGTGAGCATTGTATTGTGGCAAAATCGCTTAGTCAAGGGCTGACTCAATTGGCTGAGGCTCATCGGAGTTCCAATGAGGCAACCCAGGTAGAGTATTTACATGTACTGTACACTCGCACAATCCACACTCCTATGGATTATCTCTCTTGGCAGAGTTGGACGTGAGGGAATTTTCCGGGGTCTGCTCGGTAGCCTCGGAACAATCTCCTCCCCCAGTTTCGGGCAAAGTTGAAAATCGGGCACTGACATGTCCGTACACTACGGGGTCAAAAAGGGGGGATCGCTACCTGAAATCCCCACTCATAGTCCTTCCAGAACAGTAAACGTTCCCAGTCAAAGCCCTCTTACCCACTCACGTCAAAGGCTTCCCAAAGTCTTCGAGGACCGTGACCAGGAGCCACATGAAGCCTGGAATTTAGCGCAGATGGAGTTGTGGGGGGATTCGGGGTATACCAAACAGATAATCACCTTGACTAAAACCCTCTATCTAATGCTATCGAACACGTAGAGGGGCCCCGGGGGGTTGCGCCGGGCCGGGTGCGCCGGGCCGGGAAGATGCAAGTTGCCGGGCGTGACTCTGGGGGTTGGTTGGTCGAGGCCGAATACCCCACAACTTCCGAGATGCGTTCGGTGAAGATATTCGGCTTAGGTAAGCATTACCCGAGACTTAACGAACACACATAGTCGCGTTTTAAGATGCGATATTGCATCTCATTGGCATATATTACGGATTCTTATTCACTTGAACTCTCTCCACACTTGCGGAGTACGTCACTGATTTATTAAACATAATTATAAATCGCCTATCAAATTCTACCCCGGTCCGACCCCATTGCCACCTGGGCAAGCGCCAAGGAAGCAAATTTTGGTCGCTTCATCTTTGGCCACCTCCACGTTGCACGATATTTGTTTCTTCCACTACTCGTCTTCTCGTTCAATTCTTGTTCAATTGCATTTTTCACCTGCCAACATGAGTGTCCCCGAAGCTCCCCATCCTATCCCGCAGCGATTTGAAGTCGACGACGAGACGGAGATGGAAAAGATCAAGCATGAGGAAGTGCCGGAGGATCCATTCGGAAATGAAGAATCTGGGGAGGTGAAGTATCGTATCATGCCTTGGTGGTTAGTGCCTATCCTACTATTATCTGCATATATCGTTTAAGCGCGCAAGCTGACCAACTAACAGGCAAGCTGGAATGCGTGAGAGCCTCCTATTGAGACAATTTACTCACCATGGATTTATATACTAAACTACTGTTATAGTGATGGTCGCCGAAAACATCTCCCTGGGAATTCTATCCCTTCCATCCGCCGTCGCAACTCTCGGAATTGTCCCGTAAGCAATCTTCGTGCGCAGGCGGCACAGGACGTCCACTAATATGATACTAGGGCATTTCTCATTATCCTTGGCTTATCTGCGATATCATGGTACACCGGGTACATCATGGGCCAGTTCAAGCAGCGGTATCCCCAGGTGCATAGCATGGGCGATGCCGGAGAACTCCTTCTAGGGCCCATCGGGCGTGAGGTATTCTATGTCGGCCAGTTGCTGTTCATTATCTTCTTGATGGCCAGCCACATTCTCACGTTCTCTGTGTTGCTCAATACAATCACAAACCACGGCACCTGTACCATCGTGTTTGGGGTTGTTGGTTTGATTGTCAGCTTCCTCGGGGCCCTTCCGCGCACTGCAGAGAAGGTCTTTTGGATGTCAACTATTTCCGCCCTGAGTATCTTGATTGCCACAATCGTCACCATGGTCGCCATCGGCGTTCAAGCTCCCGATAACGTTCAAAACGATATTACCACATCTCCTAGTTTTACAGACGCCTTCCTCGCGGTGACAAACATCGTCTTTGCCTTTATCGCCCACGTCTCTTTCTTCGGCATCATGTCAGAGATGCAGGACCCTAAGGAATTCCCGAAATCATTGGCCATGCTTCAGGTCGTGGATACCATCATGTATATCGTGACTGCGATGGTCATCTATTGCTATGCAGGCCCAGATGTATCATCCCCGGCACTATCTTCGGCCGGTCCTCTCATGAAGAAAGTTGCATACGGCCTAGCAATTCCAACAGTGCGTTTTTCCATATGAACTTGGTTGAAAATTATGTGCTGACTTCGGACAGGTCATTGTTGCCGGTGTGGTTTTCGGACACGTTGCGTGCAAATACATCTACGTGAGAATCTTCCGAGGCGAGCGCTCCCACCATATGCACCAGAGGAGCTTTTTGGCCACAGGAACCTGGGTCGCGATTGGCCTGAGTACGTGGACCGTTGCGTGGATTATCGCAGAGTCAATTCCGGTGTTCAATGAGTTGTTGAGTCTGATCGTGCGTTCCCCAAATCAAGGTCATGTGCGTTGCTAATGTCGCTACAGAGTGCTCTATTTGGAAGCTGGTTCAGCTGTAAGTATAGCGAGAATATGGAAGAGACAATGCATGAAGGGGTGCTAACTCGGAGCAGACGGTCTCCCTGCCATCTTCTGGCTTGTTATGAACAAAGGAAAGTGGGTTTCAACACCACGAAAGATCGTCTTGACGATTGTCAACTTGGTAATCCTAGCTATCGCCTGTGCCATTGTGAGTTTGGCCCATCTTTTTTGCACTTCAGGATTGTCTGCTAATCAACTCAGTGTGGACTGGGACTCTATGTCTCAGGCAAGGCCATCAACGAGAGTTCTTCCAAGTCCAGCTGGACATGTGCCAACAATGCTACTTGAAGTCGGCCAAAATCATGATAAAAGACATAAGGTGTCACGGCTTTTGACTCCTTGTTCTATAAATTTGTTCAAGTACTTGTGATGTTATATAGACATTTTGTAAGATTTCTCCAGGATAGAGTACATTTTCAGCCGTGAAGGCGAGCTCAACCATTGTACATATTCATGCTCAGTCGCGACTAGATCTGTCGCTCAATGTCCAAGGCGCAGTTTATTTCCCCCCCGTTTTTCCACTGTGGCTATTCTGCTTCGTCTCCGATAAACCCAGACATTCTGCAATATTGAAAAATACATCAACAGAATTGTAGACTCCACCAAACAACTCCTGACATGGGCCTTGTGCAAACACGGGAACGTCAGTCAATGAGTGGACTCCCTGGCTCGAGTCGACTGGCAGTGTTCCGTTAACCAGAAAGCCAGTGACTGCATCCTTGTAGGCAGCATAATACCCATTCTCCTTATCCTTTGATATAGCGGCAGGGGTTCGCGGACCCTCGCTATGAACCTGGTAGTTCTCTCGGTGATCGGGGAAAGCAACAACGCCAGAGTGAAGTGTATACCGCGGATCCCAGCGTGCAGGAAAGTGAACACCTTCCGAGTATCGCAAGGCATTGGGACCGCCTACAGTGTATTGCGACAGTCCTGACTCCCTATAGTAACCAATGGCTTTGCGCTTGTCTCGGTCCTCCTCTTGCGCATCCATGTACTCAGTGTCGACAGAGCCGGTGACATCGAATCCGTGGCCATGGTCAGCTGTTACGATGATAAGGGTGTCTTCCAGCTCTCCGAGGTGCTCGAGGCGTTCAATCGTCGCACGAACAGTATCATCGAGCTCCAAAAGCTCACCCAGGGACCGATCATAGTCCAGCGAATGCATCTGCTTGTCAATACTGGCGGCCTCGGACATGAGGAACCAGCCTTGATCACCGTGTCGTTCATGGAGAACGTCGATTGCCTTGAGAGTCATGTCTTTGAGCCCGGGCAAGTCATCTGCATCACGGTCCGAACCGTCAGGATAATTGCTTTGGTTCTGAAGGTTGGCCTGGTAGACATTGCGGTCCAACCAGGTAGCAAGATTAGAAGTTTGGAAAACACCCAGTAGTTTCTCATCCAGTGGGGCATCGTGCAACGCGGTGTTGTTCCAAGCAACATTATATCCCTTCTCGGAAAAGAGCTTGTAATAATCCCGTTGGTTCTCTTCGCTTTCAAGGAAGTCTTCGGCTCCAGCTCCGAGGAGGACGTCGGGACCATCCCAGTCTGTCCACTCATACTTGGTCAGGCCTTCATAATAAGCGCCGATAACATGGTCATATTCTCCACGGTCGCTGGTATGAGCCGCCAATCCAGCAGGGGTGGCATCTGCCAAGAAGGCGGTGGAGACAATTCCGACGCCGGCATCCGGGTGACGACGGCGGAAAATTTCCGAAATGGTCTCAAATTTGGGGTCATCAAACGGATCACTGGAGGAGTCGACGTAGACATTCAAGGCATTGACGGTAGTCTTGTGGCCTGAGTAGAGGGCTGTCGCGGAGTTTGCTGAGTCGGTAATGAACGAGTCCATCGAGTGGGTCATTTGGTGTCCAAGCACAGGAAATTTGTCCAGTGCCATTTTTGTCATGTACTTCCCGTTGATGCTGCGATGAGCTATCAGACGTGCAGCAGTGATCATATTTGTTGTCATGCCATCGCCAATGAACAGAATGACGTTCTTCGCTCGCCGCTTCGTCGGGATATCACGAATGAGCCAGTTCGCCACAGTTTTCTGAGTCCCATAGTACGTCAAAGTAGCTTCATATTCCCCTGGCTCATACAAAGCCACTCGGCGAAATGCTTTGGCTGTGGCATTGACCACAGAGGGCTTGTTCATGTCTTTTGCAAACAGATCTATTCCAGTTACAAAGTGGTTCAATTAACATAATCAGCGACAGGAATATCTCACCTTCATACCATGTGAAGTTCCAACTCTCCAGCTTTGGATCCTCGACATTGAAGAACTCGGTAGCTGGAACAGGGTTGCCGCCTTTTTTTGCGATAGTGAATGTAAAGTTCTCATCTGGTCCTCCAATACGCTGTTCGGAGCCATTGATAGGCGAATGTACTTCGAGCCGAATATCAAAGTATTGACCCGGGAGAAAATCGGCCCTATAAAATGCGCGCAATTAGTTATGGTGAAAGGTAATGGGGCCAGGGCGAGAGAAAACAAAGAGACCCATGAATAGAGAAATCATGGCCGTAACATGATACATGTGAGCATGGGGAGTGACCTGGTGCCTATCACCCAGACAACCCAGGCAGACAAGAACCACAAAAGGAAGACTTGATAAAATGTAGCAGAGTATTGGGATAAGGTCCAGGCAGTTTCCAAGGGATATGGGAATAACCGTTTCAAGCAGCCTTCCTAACCGTAACAAGTAGAATAGAAGTAATACATACTGATCTGGCGGAAACACACATCCTAATTCAGGGCAACCACCTAGGCGCTGGAACGTCTGGGCAATCGTGCGCGAGAATAGGCAAGCTATGACAGCAATTGAAGCAGCCCGCATATTGACTGCCAAGCCAAATTATACAGAATCGAGCTGGTGGCGGGTTCATAAGGGACACGGGCTCTTTAAGTAGATCGAGATGGAGGAAGTTCGAGAGGCTCCCTAGATTAACGATCGAATTTCCGTTACACCGTTAGCTCCCCACATAACGTTACATATTTGTCGCGTTCTAAGTACGTTCCGATAATTCTAGCCGTCGGAGTTCGCTCACTTCCGCTCATAGATTGTAGAAAAAACGCTATCACAAGCTAATAATGAATATAATGAATACCAAATGACAGTTCAGTATCAAGAACACGTGCGCAGAACTTGGCACTTTTCTGGCAAGCTCCAGGCTTCTTGCCAAGGTGAGGGGGCGGACAGCCAAGCACGCCAGGGAAATATTAGGCGTCCGCCAAGAACATTTTCTTGGCCAGCGCTCCCACGTGGTATCTTCTGTTGGCACCAACGAGAAGAAGGTGCCAAGGAGTACCGATTAGTGAATGCTCCGTAGACGCCATATGTGTACGGTTTATGTGTTAAGGTGTCGGCATTAAGTTACCTTATGAATACCGCGTGAAACCCGGTCTATAGATGATCCGGATGGCCTCGGGTATATGATATATCCGAGGACCCATTATGTAAGGTCCAGTATTATGTGGATATAATGGAAACAAACGAAGACTGTAGGTGGTGACACCAGTTAATGGACGTACTATACGCTGACGGTAGCCTCGAGTGACGAGACTCTCGCTTTGTGTAAGCTGCTATGCTGGATAAGTAATACCTGTCTTAGTATGAGAGATCGCCTTGTATGTTGTAGATTCAGGATCAGCAGTCTTCTAGGCGTCGTTTTTCTTATATGCGATGGTATACAATAGATACCGAGGGAAAAAATAAGGAAACAATCAAGGCCCCTCTGGCGGCTCCGAAGCAGCCAGATTACACTGTCTAAAAACTCTTATATCATCAGGTTTCAACGATCCCACCACTGTATGCGACACGCCATGGTTATTGAACAGCACCATATCCCCCTCTTCCCAGTCATGCGCGTATACATACTGTGGACTGATCGCGGGACGCTGAAGACGGTACATCAGATCTCGAACCTCCTTTAAAATGTCAATGATGCTCCCATCGGCGCAATGGATCTTACGGATTGGCGCTGGGTGGACCTGTAGAGATAGTTTACCTGTTACCGGGTTCTTCCAGGCCATGGGGAGAATTTGGATCTTAGAAGGATCGATAGGGGGCAGCTTGGATTCGGGCTTCTCACGGCCTTCGGTGTAGACGCTGAGGCCGGTGGGATGCATTTTGGCGGGTTTGACCCAGTTGTATCTGTAATTTTTTTCCTGGTCAGTGGCTTGTGTGATTTAATTACGTGTAGCTAAAATTTGTTTCTATCTATAGTTTGAGGTGACGTACGGATGTGGTGCGTATTCCGCTTTGCTTGTACGGAAGAATTCCTGATCTTCCGGAGAAAGCATGTTGAGCGGTGCAGTCAGCTTTTCCCCGTAACCATCATCGTACAAGATCGTCTGGCGACGACATTTGGGCACTTGCACCGCCATAAGGGTAGTGACTTTTGGCGGGTTGAGATCATACAACCCCGCATCAATATTCCAGCGATTGAAGCGGGTGTACGCGTCGTCGCCTTGGTCCTCAGAAATCACCTCACTATAGGTACGGCTGTGATGAGGATGCCGCAGCTTGATGTCTTGGAGGCCCATGAAAGACTTGATGAAACCGTGACCCTTTATCTGAACCTGGGGTTGATTGGGGATTCCCATGAAGTATCCATGGATATAATTATCAGCGGTTTTGTCATGGCCGTACTCTTCGGAGGCCGGATCGAAACGTTCGGTCAGCTCGTACTGGGCTCTAGGAGAGGGATCTTGTTGTTTTTTGAATAAGACAAAATGGTGGTGGTTTAGAGCGTCGTGGATGATGGCGAAGTCGTCATCTATTAAAATGTTTAACTTGGCACCTCATGATGTGCTGGCTGTGATCGGTTAGGTACCTACCATGAGATTTTCCAGGTCTACCAAGTCGAATGACATTGGGACCCCATGTCGAGAAACTCTTGCAGTGGATAGATAAAGCGACTGCACACGGTATCATACCACAATTCCAAGGCCACCAGAGCAATCTACGACCAGATATCTTGCTCCCAGTCACAGACCATGAAATCCCGGAATTTCGCGTCTGTGAAATCAACGACCGGTTACCCATCAGTTTTCTCCACTATGTTGCAACGGCCTACGAGGCACTAAGCGGCAGCACATGGAATACGCCCTTGATCGAACCTGCCACGAAGTACAATGTACTCCTAGAAAGCCTGTTTGACTTGTTTGACCCGGATGGCCCGGTTCACTTTGCCAAAGGTTTTCCTTCTAATAACCCTCTGTTTGGCTTTATTGAAGAGCGAACCGGGAGGAGGCCGAGAACCGTCAGGCTAGGAGATCTCCGTATAGTGCACAGTACAACCAGCTAAACCGGGTTCACCTTATGCTGTGCTTTGAAGGCAGGTCCCACGATCAAAACTCCACCGGGTTCCAATCTCGAGGTAGATGGTGAGATGCTAGAGCCAGTGCACCAGGTGGGTCTGCAGCTCTACGATTTTGAGCTCTTCTCTCTATCCCGTGAGATGTGCGACACATTGCCGCGTGCTGCAGGAATAACCCCCGGAGTGTGTTCATCGCCCACGATAAACGCGTCCTAGGCATTATCCTCCAGGAGCTAGACAGCCTCGTTTATATGCAACGAGTATTGTCTCCTGCACAAGCGCAGATCCTGCGTGAACATATCAACTCTGCCATCCTTGCCATCCGTCCCGGAACGCCTGCTTTCAGAGACCTCCTCCATCTTACCCACACTAACCCCTCGAGATCAAAGACCAGTATATCCTCAAACCCACCGGGGATGCTCGCGGAGCCGGCATCCTGCTAGGAAGAAACATTTCCATTGAGCAATGGCAGTCGACGCTAACCTCTCTCGACAGCCAAGACATTTATTCGGCAGCAACCCAGTATATGCTGCAGCCCCTGCTGGATTTACGGTCGTTTGAATGGTTCTGGGATGAAGAGCGCCAAGTCCGCAAGAGTTGCAGCGTAGGCACATACTATTCTGTGAAAGGACGTTTTGTAGGATTGGGAATGTGGAGAACAGGGGCAGTCTCGGAGGATGTGATTTCTGCTTCTACGAAGGATGCGACGTCTGCTTTAGCCATGGTTGCTCTTACTAGTTAAATAATCCCCCAGAATGAAAGGGAAGGCCATCTCACAGGACCTAAAATCCGATGTACCACTGACGATATACTGTAGAGAAGTACCAACGGACTATTTGAAGAATAGCAAATGCGATAATGGAATTTCTACAAACGGCATACATTGCAATGGTGTTAGGTTCCTTATTTTGCTTATATCCTTCACCTCTGGTGGAATGATCAACGTTAGCTCCATATGATGATACCCTGACGAGTTACAGTTGACTATAAACACACGATCTCGTTCAGTTCATAATCCGGTGAAACACCTCCAGACCATTTCATGAAAGATAGCCTGGCTGTCAATTGCTTGTAATCTATTGGCACAAAGCAAAGGTATCCCAATGGGACTTCTTTATTATGCTTCAGCTCGGGGTTGAACTCGAACATGTGTTAGCTAAAGAGGCACTTCATGTTTTAATGCACAAAACGAGCGGCAATGGATTAATAGGTTAAGATATACTTTCAACTGGGGCGCCATTAAACCTGCTCGATGTACACTGCTCTAGGAGCTTCCTTGTGGGAAACTGCGTCGTCTAGACCAGTTTCACACTCACCATCTTCAACACTGTGGATTTTGTCTTCTGGGTTGATCTTTTGCGCAGCCCCTGCTCTGGTGACCACCTCAAAACGGCTTCCCAGCCGTTCCTGTCCACAGGCCATGATAATAGCACAGGCAGTGAAGACAATACACATGGTGATTGTCATAACTTGACTGTAATTTGGTTTTGGCCCTGAGGGTGTGTCGCGGATCCAATTACTGGCTGCAACAGTTGAGATCTGTGCAGCAGGAGAAGACAGCATATTCCCTGCAGTATCGATAAGTCACAGGATAAGCGGCAAATAGCGTCCCGCGAGAGGGGGAGAGGGGCTCACCTATCTGATAAACCGTACCTGGAAAGACACCACGAAATTGCGGCGGGGAATACTCATTCAAGAATATCGGCATAATGCCCCATGCCCCATTAACTGCTGCCTGGATTAAAAAGGTACCAGCGACAATTGGGCTCCATGTGTTTGGGATAGTCCAAAGCGGGATTATGCAAGCGCCGAAGCAGCAAGCCACCACAACCGTCAAACGACGACCGAAGAACTGAGAATAATAACCACAAATAGCTCCTCCCACGATGGCGCCACATTGACCGATGATTGTTGCAACACTGGCCTGGTCAGATGAAAATCCTTTTTGGACCTTCAAATAGGATGGGTAAATATCTGTGCGTAGAATGAGACAACGTTTCGAGGAAAATATGTTTTGATCTCCTTACCCTGCGAACCATGACTCATCCAGTTAAACCCCATGCACAAAGCAATGCAATACAAGAAAATCTTCCAATATAACCGCGAGGCCAATTTTAAGTCCCGCCACACGCCGGCAACTTTATGCCGAAGAGGCATTTGACCAGCGTTTTCCCCGTCGTCATTCACAAAAATAGGGGATTCTGGTATGAACATGACAATTAAGGCTACCAAGCCTGTAAAGCCAGCTCCAACATGAAAGATGGCCTTATAACCTTCACTTGTGTAACGGACAGCCGTGATATTGACCACGGCAGCAATCAGATAGCCCAGGGCATAACCTTGTTGCAATAGCCCTGAAAACAAGCCACGGGCCTCAACAGGCATGTTTTCCATAGACATGGCTGCAGAAAGTCCCCATATACCTCCCATGGCGACACCAAATATAGCTCTAATGGCAATAAATGACGAAAACTCCGTCACATAAGCCGTAGCAACTTGAAGGCCAGCCAAGATCCATAGATCTGCCGACAATGGCCATTTTCGACCGAAGCAGTCGGACATGATACCGAAAAGGACTGCTCCCACTGACCGAAAGAGGAGAGTAAGTGTGATGGATAACGTGATACTGCTCAAGTCTCTGCCATATACAGTTGCCAAGTCAGTGGCAACGAGGTTGACTGCGTTGAAGTCGTAACCATCCGCCGTCCAAGCAGCCCTGCCTCAAAAAGAATTAGCCCCGATAGGATAGGATACACAAGCACATGCAATCTCACAATCCAAGACAAAAATATAGCCATGCTTTCAAGTCAAGAAGAGCAACCACTTTCCACGGTGGGGGCGGCATGACGCGAGGAACCTCCTCCGTTACCTCATTGCCATTCGCATCAATGTGGGTAACATTGTTTTTCCACAGTTTGAGATTCTGAATAACACCCATCTTGGACCTAGAAGGGAGAATATGACAACCAAAAAAGAATCACTTCAAAAAGTCGCCACCTCTGTGAGCTTAGATATGCCTTATTTTTATACTGATTTTCAAATTGGGTTCTTTGGCTCAAGGCGCTGACCTTACCCCACAAAGTTTGTCCTCATGGGATCTCGCCCGAATGCGTCTCAGATTAGTTCAGGAGATGACCAATGATTTGCAAACGCCGTGTAAACGCCGTTCAAGAACAATAAGCCAATGAGAACCGGCTGCGCGATGGGTCACCCCTTCTGCGGCGTTAAGACGGCCCATTAGTGGATCGCAGCATTTAGGATTAATGGGAGCTGGTTGAAACACCGGTTGCCTCGGTAATTAATCAATATTTACCTCATCCGAAAAGATGAAAGACTTTCAGTTCGTCTTGAAACGAGGTATGGTCAGCGTGGTGATCATTCATCTGTGGGGAGAATGATTATGGTTCTCGACCATCTTAACTCAAGCCCGTCGCAAGCCAGATCTCGAAATTAGACTTCGACATTAACCCCAACATAACCCCACAACCCTAACCCATGGCTATGGCTCATGGGTAACCAACCCACTATAGGCTACTAGTGCCCCACTTTGGTCACAAACAGGACAAACAGGACAACAAGAATTGTGAAAATACAGAATATTTAGATATATTAAGGGCCACATTAGAAGGGCCCTCTAATGAAGCTATTCGGACCCCTTCTCCATTTATCTAACCGTAATAGATAAGGCGTAGTAATTGTATCTCAGGCGCATTATTTGGTAAAAATGCATACATTGGCAATTCTAATGCACCGAGGACCGCCCCTAATATACATTTTGAGTACTTATATTTACTATGTAAACCACTAGTAAAAATAAGTCGCTTTTCTGTATATTTAGCTTATGTCTCTTAGTCTACCACCGACTAAACTATCGCCGGCGAGCATTCCTATGTCTAAGGACGAGAGTTCCCTACTCCGATCGGCCTAGGAAGCGTCAGGGAGCCCTAAAAAAGCCGTCGGAGACCTTAACAAATAGCCCATGTGATGAAATTGACACGATTCCTTCACTATTCTCATACGAATTATTTAAAAAATTTGACGTAAAATAGCCGCTAGCCGATACATAGGCCAGCTCGTTCATTTCCGCAGAGTTTTCGAAATGTATATTAAGGGCAGTCCTCGGTGCATTAGCATTGCCAAGTAATGCATGCATTTTTACCAAATAATGCGCGAATAATACAATTACTACGCCTTATGTATTTCGGTTAGGTAAATGGAGAAGGGGTCCGAATAGCTTCCTTAGGGGGTCCTTCTAATATGGCCCTATATTAATCAAGAAGTACCACTCAATATCGATTCACGACATTGAAATGGAGCCAAAAACGTATTGCCAAATGTTCCAATTTTTAGCATCAAACGCAGTTAAGGAATAATTAAAATAACCGTCAGCCTGTTATGGATTCTACTGATTGATGCTAGCTTCGAGTTCATTTGGCCGCCCGAGGCATTCTGCAAGGGCTCACGCGTGATCTACCCGTCGGCGGTTGCTTTAACTGAGTTGATTACCTTACTATGGTAGGCGAACCCTTTGTCTCGGGCTTAGGGCATTGTGGCGAGCATCCACCAAAATATGTTACCCCGCATGGTGGAAAGACGAAACCCTCGGCTATTTGGGCGCGTCTTGCTTTCCAATTTTGTCGCTTCTCTCAAGAAGATTCAACCTTTTCTCTGATGTTAAATATGGCGTCGGAGATAGAAGATCATCCACCCCAAAAGCGATCTCGATCACGAATCATACAAGCCTGCATCCCTTGCCATCGCTCGAAGAGGAAATGCAACCGAAAGAAGCCTTGTTCGCAATGCCTTAAACGTCAGACTACCAAGAATTGCACCTATGAAGCACTGGCAGCCGAGGATTTGGAGATCCTGGAGGACGATACAACATCGGTAGATGCGGAGAACAGGATTTTGCGATCACGGATAACTCAGCTCGAAGCCGTGATTATGCAGCTGCGTGACCGCAACACTGATCCTGTCAATTCGCGGAAGAGGCGAAGGACCCCGGAAAAGGCTCACGATCAAGACGGGGTATATTATGGTCGTTCCTTCTACCTTGGAGGACCTGCGGCCCCAGATCTCCTTCATCAGATGATGGCTTTGCATCCAAACCAACCATCAGATCTATTATTTGCGTTTTTTGGAGGCACTGATAGCAGCATATCAAGCAGGAATGAGGGTGGCAGTATCTTACCGATAGGAAATGTGACGGATTGTGGCGTTGGTGACATCTGCGCTTGCCTTCGAAGCATCGCTCGTGAAAGCCTTGACGCTATCTTAGATAGCTTCGTCGAGATTGTCGACCCTCTTCATCACTACCTTCCTATGCCTTGGATCTTACAAAGATATGAGCGATGCATGAATATAGCAGTCGCACCGGAGCCACAAGAAGCCGCTCTTGTATTTGCTGTGCTTGGTTTAGGGAATCTCGTGGCTGCCAACCGAACGTCATTCAATTTTATTTCGGCTTCCTTTCAACTTCTGCGATTGTCCAACTTTCTGACATCACCATCCATTGATACAATGGCGACATTCTGCTTCATCGCTGTTTACCAACAGCATGAAGGAAAACTAAACGAATATTGGCCATTACTAGGGATGGTGATCCGTTTGGCCCAGTCGATGGGGCTCCATCGCGACCCAAGTCTTATATCTAGCCTCGTTCCAGAGGAGAGTGAAATCCGTCGCAGACTGTTCCATGCCATTGTTGGACAGGAGACTGCATTGAGCGTCATGTTCGGACGACCCAACGGCCTAGGCTTCTTTGATTGCGCGTTGCCGCGAGATATGAGCGACGCGGAATTGTTTGGTGTAAATAGCGCGGTTACTGTTCATCCTCACGAGATCTCTTACAATCGATATGCTTGGGAACTGATGGAAATCACCCGTGATCTGGTTACAAACTCATTCACCACACCTGAATCTTCAACACTTGCTAGGGAGAAATCGATCTCACAACAACTCCGACAGTGGTATCAGAACCTACCACCATCGTTCAGATTCCAGCTACCTGGGTTATCTCTCCAGGATCTGAACGACCAGGAAGAAAAGGTCCATTACGTTCAGGCCTTAATTTTACATATTATCGTCAATCACAACGAGCTTGTACTTTATCGACGTCCGCTTCTATCGGATTCGCATCCCGAGGCAGCAGAACCTTGCATAGAGGCAGCAATAGCTGTTGCAGAAGGATGGAAAATCTTACAAGATTCGTTTCCTAAGATCGCACGTATCGCATGGATGCAATGGTTCCGAGCATTCCATGCAGCATTGATATGCCTGGTTGCATTACGAGCACGAGAAACAAAGTCCCATATAAAAATACGAGCCTTCAACTCTTGGAAATCATGCATTCGGATCTTCTCTAGGATTCAAGATCAGAATGATAGCATTCAATGTTGTTGGCGAGCGTTAAGCCGCCTGGATAATGTTGCCAAGGGGACAGTGAATATCCGGCGCCGGTTCCCCCCCAGTGCCTGCTGAGAAAGGACATCAAAGACACGTCCTCGGTATTGCGGATCGGTCCATCAACAAACCAGGAGCTTAACTCTGATGAGAACTCCAACAGCCCCCAAGCGCCCAGCGCCGGTCAAGAGACAGAGGCTGCAGACCAACTTTTCCCGGAGGTCAATGGACAGTTGTCCCCAACTCAGGCGGTGTCGACCGATTCGCCGGATACCTATAACGTCGATGGGGTTGACCATGAATACAACGACCTGCTACTAGATTGTGGCCAGGCTTTTGATTCATATATGACCCAGGTCGCCGTGCCTGGTGAAGCTTTGGGCATGCAACCCCTCACAGACTCTGCTCAGTACAACATATTTGACCTCGATGTGGCGAATTGGCCGTTCTGGCTTACCGCTGATCAAGCCTCTATAGTGCCAGGGGAATAGATTTTTTGACTCCGAGAAACCTACATTGGTTTAGCACGTTGGACTTGTACTCTATGAATTTGCAGCAATGTAACTATAATTATCCGAATTAAAAAGCCCACAAAAATTACATTCGCAGAATTTGCTCTTGAGTTTGCGTTTCTGGAGTTGGTGATGCGGAGATGTCAATCTTGCCACCGACCCGGATGTCGATATCGTCCGCCGAAAGCTGATTCTTCACACCAAATGCTGCCGGTCCATGATCATGAGTTGTGGTTCGCCGCATATCTCTGCGGTTCTTCTGATCCTGGAACGCAGTCGCTCTATGCATAGTACAACGATTATCCCATTGCACGAGATCACCAACATTCTTCCACTTCACTGTGATCTGATACTGTGGTTGCTGGGCATGATCCAACAAGGCTTTAATCAAAGACGTTGACTCCCTGTCCGTGAGGCCGATGATTCGTCGTGCGTGGCTTGCAATGTACAGAGTTTTATTCATGCCGTCAGGAGCAACCTGAACGAGCTTGTGGTATGCTGGCGGGAGTGTCGCTTTCTCTTCGTCGGTCGGTTTATCGAATTCTTGGGGTGCCGCCAGCTTTCGGGAATGCCAAATCCAGTGTTCCATCACCAAGTTTTCTATTCTCCCCTTGATATCATCCGGCAAACCTAGATAGGCTGCTCTCATGTCGGCGTACTTCGTTTGTCCTCCGGCTGGTGGCAGTTCAACCGCTCGTAAGGCACTGTAGGATGACCGATGCTGGTGGAAAGACGAGTCCGTGTGCCATAGCCCATTTCCTTTGGTATGCCACCAAGCTCGGCTGAATTGAGGGATTATCCGGTCATCAGGACCTAAATTTCCTGCGTCATACAGCTGGGGCAATGAGGCTCGCCGAGGCTTGTTCATGGCATGGGCGGTCTCAAGTGCCCCAAAATTCTTCGAATATGCGACGTGGCTGGCGTCGTCCAGCCCAGTTTGGCGAAAGACCAGAACTCCCCATCGGTTCTGCAATTGAATAATCTCTCTCACGACCTCTGGTGCGAGCGGTCGGGACCAGTCGACTCCATCAACCTCGGCACCAAAGCACGGACTAATGGGCTTGGCTCGGGGGATACGTGCAGCTGCGCTGGCTAAGTGTCGCTTCGTCTGATGAGTAGACGAGTTGATATGACAGAAGTGTCTCAGAGATTGCCGAAGGGAAAACATGATGTGCAATTGAACAGGGCACCCTAAGATCTGGGCGATGAGTTGTATGCCAGGCTTCTCCTATTAGCCACGGAACCAAGTCTGCCTGCTCTTTTATGCGTGGGCAATCTGCGGTATTATGGGTTTCTTCCGATACCAGCCCTGATACGGTTTTCTTAGTGTCGCCGCAAGACCGATCAAACAAGTCGAATGGTGTCGGAACACGGCAATTCAGACCTCAGCCATCATTTCCAAGGTAAGGGTGAAGGGAGAAGGGAAAGAAAAGCCCCTGCGGCGTTAAGACGGACGTCGTGTGCGGGTGTATGCCGGGCCCGTTGGTGGGCCGTTTAGAAGGCAAAGAAAGACCCGTGAGGAGGTGGCCGACGAGACTGGGATAAAAAGACGCGTAGAGCTACCTGAAAATGCCCCACGAAAGCACTAAGGCAATTCCCTGAAGACAAGAGAAAGATGGCAACGAATGGTCATGCAAATGGACGGCTTGCAGGCAAGGTGGCGCTCGTGACGGGCGGCGCCATGGGAATCGGAGAGGCCATCAGCCGTCGTTTCGCGAAGGAGGGAGCATCTATTCTCATCGCCGATATGAATGAGGAAGCAGCGAAAGCCGTAGCCGAATCACTCTCGTCAGAGGGCGTTGAGGCGGGCTACGTGGTCGCGAATGTCACCTCACGATCCGACTGGGAGAATATCGTGGACAAAATCAAGTCTCAGTTCGGCGCCCGGCTTGACATCCTCGTGAACAATGCCGGCACAGCTTATCCTACACAGTCATCGTTGACCGTGTCGGAGGCGAATTTCGACAAAGTCTATTCGGTCAATGTCAAATCGATCTTCCACTCCGTCCAGACCATCTTCCCTATGATGATTGAGAACCAGGGGGGTGCCGTGATCAACATTTCGTCAATTGCCGCCATTCGCCCACGGGGCAGACTCACATGGTACAACTCGTCGAAGGCGGCGGTGTCTAATGCCTCGAAAGCTCTCGCCCATGAGTTTGGTGCGGAGGGTATCCGGGTCAATTGTGTCTGTCCGGTCTTGGTTCCGACCCAGCTCGCCAACAACTTTGTCCCTGGATTTGACAACACGCCGGAGCAACACACCAAGGCGACCCAGCTTTTGCAGATTCCTCTCGGGCGTGTGACCACGACCGAGGACGTGGCTAATACTGCTCTGTGGCTGGCAAGCGACGAGAGCTCCTTTATCACCGGTGTCGATCATCATGTTGACGGGGGAAGAAGTATATAGTATAGTCATAAGGGCAGACAAATAACATGAAATATGCGCGCATAGTGTCTAAGATAATACATGGTCTCTATCGTATGGCCTCTATCGTATGATTCTCCGGCCCTAGTCATTACCATCGAAATCCTAGCGCCTGCCTACTCATGAGTCGGACAAAAATACACAGAGCACCGTATCCTACCACTTCAGGGAATGCATCCTACCATCTTTTGTGACATCCTTCTCACTTCACGTTGTCTATTTTGCTATTCCCTAACAATACATAGTTAAAGTAAATCTTAGTTACTATAGTGCTAGATAGTAGGTAGCCGCCAATACGGTTGGACATTCGATTTAGAATAGCTATGCTTCTTGAGCTACGCTCATCGCAAATCTACGCTGCTCTATATCGCAGGTACCGCCATAACGATGCTCTTCGTGGTCGTAAACTCTTTCACCCCCCATTTCCCACCTTCCACACCAAACCCGCTATGCTTGATGCCACCGAAAGGGATTTCCCCCCGGCAATGACGCCGGTGTTGACTCCAACCATACCCACCTCCAGGCCTTCGGCCATGCGCCAAACTCGTGCCATATTGTTCGTGCACACATAGCTTCCCAGGCCAACCTCGGAGTTATTAGCCATCTTGAGAACTTCCTCTTCGGTATCGAAAGGATACAGCGCCGCAACGGGACCGAAGATCTCTTCGTTGTGTGAAAGCATACGGTCGCTCATATCGGCGAGGACTGAAGGCTGGAAGAAGTACCCCTTCCGATCCATCGCCTTTCCTCCGTAGAGGATTTTGGCACCTTTATCCACCGCATCGTCGATATGGGCCTGGACCTTCTCGACTCCGCGCTGCACGGTCAACGGCCCAACGATCACACCATCCTCGAATCCATCGCCGCACTTGACCTGGGAGAATTTGTCCACCAAGAGACGGGACAGTTCAGGATATACAGCACGCTGAACGTATATCCGGTTGGCGCAAACGCATGTCTGGCCGGAATTCCGAATCTTAGCTCCCATCAAGGCGTTGACCGTCATTGGCAGGTCGCAGTCGTCGAAGATGATAAAGGGCGAATTGCCCCCGAGCTCCAAGGAGAGCTTTTTCAGGCTGTTGGAGCACTGCCGCATCAACAACTTGCCCACGGCGGTCGACCCGGTAAAGGAAAGTTTCCTGATGTTTTGATCTTCACAGAGTGCCTGGCCGATCTCAGCCAGATTCTGCATTCCCGTCACCACATTCAGCACCCCGGGAGGAAGACCAGCTTGTTCCCCGAGGTACGCGATCGCGAGTGCGGTGAGAGACGTCTCCCCAGCGGGTTTGACGATGGCAGCACATCCAGCGGCAATGGCTGCCCCGGCCTTTCGGGTGACCATCGCAGCGGGGAAGTTCCAGGGAGTCAGACAGGCGACAACCCCAATGGGCTGGTGAATGACGAACACTCGGTTTCCCGGGTTGGCCGACGGGATAATATCCCCGTATGTCCTTTCCGCCTCGCCACTGTAGAACTCGAGATAGCTCGCCGCGAACGCGATTTCGCCCTTCGCCTCGGCGAATGGCTTGCCATTCTCCATCGTCATGATCCTCCCTAGATCCTCGGTGTTTTCCATCAGCAGTTGAGCCCATTTCCGGACGACCGCCCCGCGTAGTTTTGGGCTGATCAGTTTCCACTTCTCGAAGGCCGCGAGCGCTAGTCCGGAAGCGATTCGCACATCTTCTTTGCTCAATTCGGGGAGCTTTGCAATCAAGTCACCGGTCGAGGGATTTATCACATCGAATGTCTTGCCGGAACGTGAATCCGTCCATTTTCCATTGATGTAGGCCTTTTCGTGCCATAACTTGGGATCCTTGAGCGCTGACTGCATGGCTGAATCCGATCGACACATTGCAATTGATAATCGAGAAGAGCTAAAAAGAGATTTAACACTAGTACTAGGATACTGAGCAACGTTTCCACTTAGCTTGTCCCCGGGAAGAGTTTCATCTTATCAGAGTGACGCGCTGGTCTTGTGCACGTTTCTCCGGCCTAAACCCGCCGCGGCCACCTGCGGCGTTAGAGCGGTCCCCCGTGAACTACGTGTAATGACTGGTCTACTGGCCCGTTTGCTGAGCCTATAAATGAGAATGGTGGATTTTGCAAATTGAGGTGCATTCGAGGTCGTCGAAATGTCTTTAGATCACCACAGCAGTGTTAGCGACCACCACACTGCCCCGAGTCAGCCGGCAGCGTCGGCGGCTCGAAATGCGAAGCCGAATTCGATGAAGCAACAACTAAAACAAGGCAAAGTTGTCAGCGCCATGTCCATACGGTACTCTCGCGGAGTTGAGATTGTTGGATTTGCGAAATCTGCGGGGATGCAAGGGGTGCTCGTCGATCTTGAACATAGCTCGATCGATCTGGATCAGTGTATGCAATTCACGCTTGCCGCTTTAGCTCACCACATCACCCCTGTCGTACGAGTTCCCTCGACAGCATGCTCGTTTGTCGGGAGAGTGCTAGATGGTGGTGCGCAAGCGGTCATCATCCCCCATGTCCGCACAGCGCAGGATGCTTTGGACGCCGCTCGTGCCGCAAAATTCTTCCCCGACGGTGACCGTTCCGCAATTGGAGGCCTAGCAGCTCTACAGTATGGCTCATATCCAACCATCGAGGCGAATATGGCCGTCAACGAGCAAGTGATGTGTATCATCATGATTGAAACCCTCGAGTCGTTGGAGAACCTGGACGAGATCGCGGCAACTAACAATGTGGATGTTCTTCTCATTGGGACGAACGATATGTCTGCCTGCTTAGGGGCTCCCGGAGATCACGATGACAAGAGAATTACGGAGATTTACGAGCGGGTTATCTCGGTCTGTCGCAAAAATGGGAAGGCGATAGGGATCGGTGGCCTGTACGCCCGACAAGATCTCATCGACAAATTTATCCATATGGCATCTGGGCTTGGGCGCTTCATCATGTGCGGGAGTGACCAAGACTATGTATTGGAAGGTGCTAGACGCACTGCGAACTGGCTGGAGGCGTACAATTTTTGAATTATATGAAGCAGTGGGCTCTGCATTCTTAGACCACGGCACAACTTGAATAGAGTCGGGGGTTAGGACGGTACATACTTTGGAGCTTCAATGTCAATGAGCTTTGCTTAGGATGAACGATGGAAAACTGCTCCCATAGTAGATTTTGGAATTTCCGTTGAAGCGAAGGGTTGGTGTCGAATCGTAGAAGGCTAACGTCGATTGATTTCAACAAAGCCCCCATATCGAGGCGGGTGTTTACGGTGCCAGGCTTGACCTCCTTCAAGATATAGCGAGAATATCTCTTTCAACATACATCTCTGACATTGCTCGAAAATCTCCCTGATATATTCTAGCTTTCCTTAAGCTAGAGACAGAGTCAGGTGTTCATGACGTACTTGAGAGTTTAAACGGCGCTAGTGATTGTGATCATCTTAGAGGTTGGTCCACTATCTTGGAATGTCGAAGTGTTGTTGCGAATGCCGTGTTAACGCCGGTGGTAATATACAGCCGGTCATGTCGTAGTTACTCAAAGGCTCGGGGTAGGGTTTGGTTGACCCTATACCCAGTCAATATATCACCTGTTTCCGGTAAATATGCGCACGTGCCTCCTTCCACATGCCGCAAAATGCCCCATGATTCCACCCTGCCATGGTGAGAGCCAACATGTCCACATTTCGGATAGACTCACCCAGAGTTTGACTCGTCTGGTTTGGTTTAGGCAAATACCTAGGATCGATCGGACAAAGTATCCATTACCCTTCGAATAATCCCTGGACGAGAGAGAGCGAGTTGGGTAGACTTGGTTCCGTGGGCATTAGGGGCAGCGCAGCACACACCCTAGCCCCTCCCTTCACTTCTACCGGTTACAAATATTTTGCTTTTTTTAGGCTGTGGGCTTCGACTTTGGAAGCAAAGCCTAGCGGATACTAGAGCACTAGAGCAAATAACACGTCTCTAGTTGGTTCTACCAATCTCATTTTCACTCACAAGCCATCTTCAAGCATCAAAATATCAGATACAAGAGGAGAGGATCAAGCCACGAAGATCATCTGACCACCAGCAGTATTCTAATGTTCGACATATTACAATCAGAGAGTCTCTATACCGTTATATATTTCCCAACAAGATTCACATTCCGTGTGCCTATGGTAAGGACGCTGTTGGAGCGCCATGCCGACCCAAATATAAAGGACAGGTTTGGCAATACTACCCTTATGCAAGCCGAAAGAGCGTTGGTGAAAAAGACGACACTTGTTCCACGGGATCTGGAGGCTGTCATTAAGCTTCTGAAGTCTTGCCTGCGTTGTGCCAAAATCGATGATATGCCACTCGGCCTTCCGGGTCCTTCTGTGATAGATTGCCTGTTGGTAGACTATTGTTTTTGATTCATTTTTGGGAACAAACTAGCCTCAAAAAAATAAAAATAAAAATAAACCCTTTGAGGGCGACAGCCTATCGTTCAACAGGCTTGGCATGGACATTGACGAACTGAACAGTGATAGTTTACGGCTAGGAATAGGCTTCAAACAGGCTGATCACTATTCGGTGTAGGCCCCGTATAAGGGTCACAACTCCACCGTTATGAGCGGTATTAAATTCTGCCACCTATGCCCAAGATTTGTATTGTGCTTTCTCGCGACTCTAGCGGCTTAACAGATGTCACACCGTTCGAAGATTTCATCGATCAGCTTCTTGAGCATTGCGGAAGATCGTCGAAGCCGAATTCTGTCCTGTTCATAGATAATGCATCATACGCTGCTTAGACCAAATTGCGCGGATATGTGCTGATGCTGGAGACAAGTTAATTTATCTACCTCTTTATTCTCCGGACCTTACCCAATCGAAGAGTTTTTTGTCGAGCCCAAAGACTTCATTGGATGTGATTGGAGCTTCTATGAAGAGGATTTAGACCAAGGATTTGGCTCATTTCTTGATTAGTGTACTACCAAGGTCTAGGCTAGAAAAGAGATTACTAGAAGCCATTTTTGGCAGGCAGGTCTGACTATCGAAGGTTCGGATAATTGACATTCTTCTTCTGGCGGCATTATTAGACTAAGCGAGTCGTCTCACAATGAGTCTAAAAAGCTGTTACAGTAGGCGTCAAAATCAGATTCCCCTCCCTACACTCATGGATTGTTTCCTGACCTAGCGTGGAATATACTAAACCCATTATAGCTTATCTGACGATCTCCAACTCCTAAGAATAAATATTATTGTTTTGTAAAAGCCGATATTAACTGCTGTATTTTTATGCGAAACAACCATACCGGCGCGACCTCTATATCCCTCATTCTGCTTACTCTCTAGTAATATTTAGGACAGCTGGCCGTGGCATTAGCGACTTCACTAACGTGCCATGACCTGCAAAGATCATGATTGGCCAAGTAAAATCACCTCCTTGGCCCCGCGTTTGATCACTTATATATTGTATCAGGTCTACACCACTCCTAGCCTAGGATCTGTACATGCATTCTCCACCCTAGACATTCTACTTGTCTAACTTGCTCTCTTGACTGTTGGAAGCCGAAGCCCCCTCTCGCTCAACCACGGAGACGATATCGCTTCCTAGTCGAAATATTGTTCGATGTGATACCCCGCCTCAAACTGATCCCCGAGAACGTCTCCTGCTCAAGCCCGCACTCGCAGTTAGGAGGACGGACTCTCCTGTTCCAGACATAAATTATGTCTATTAAACAGAAGGTCACTGAAAGGTACGCTACACATTGTAACTCGTGTGGTGACTCCAAACTATCACCGTCTATGATGCAGCTCTTGTTTGTTAAGAGCCAAATAATTTCTTCAAATGACTTCGTGTCATCCATCCGCCTCAACCTTCGACTCTCACTTTGCATATAGGAAGCTGACCCTAGTTGGAGATTTTTGTTGCAGAAAGACTTCTTTACGACGGGCTGCGCTACACGGAGATTCTCCGGAAACAGTAAGCCTCTTGTTTTCCGCCTTGCAACAATTACCTATTCACAGAACCTAAGGATAATGGAATCTCAATCACCCAGGCTCAAAGTAGCTTTGATCTCAGAAACAATGTGCCTTCGGGACATTGTCCTGGTATCTACGAGTTCTATGTGTCAGACGAAAACGGGAATGGAACCATAGTACGGCTCGACATGTGGGACCAGCAGGCGCATATGAGTTCCACCGTTTTGAGCTACTCAAATACCTAGGCGCGCACGTCGTCCTCATCAGCTTCGCCCTTGACGATCCGTATTCTCTTGACAGAGTAGAGGAAAAAGTCAGTTTGCCCCATGTTCTTATATTTCTTCTCGTAATGAGGAGTAGTACTTTGACAACAAATTACTTGCTGACAATCTGTTGGAATTGGTAGTGGATAATCGAGGTCGCCCATTTCTGCCCTAGCATCCCGGTTATCCTAGTTGGCCTGAAGAAGGACTTGCGCGATGACCCACTCACCGTTGAAGAACTCAATCTAAATCGCTTGGCGATGCTCTGGCACATAATATTGGTACCTACAGATACCTTGAATGTTCTAGTCTAACTGGAGAGGGCGTCAAAGATGTCTTCCAGACCGGGGCGGTGGCCTCGCTCCTGGAACCCAAGAAAGGTGAAGCTGAGAGGTGTTGCACTATCTTGTAGCATAACGTGTTGTGATGCCATTCTCAGGTCTCATTCCTTCTGAACTGGACGAAAACAATCCTACGAAACGTATGTGAGCCGTGTATTTGCGCAGTTGCTCAGCAGAACCTCACCGCGGAGGGACGGTGGGCGTGGATTGAGCACCCTGCTTGCAACGTTCTATCGAGACAAGAGTATTCCTTTAATTGTATGCCCATGGTTTACAAGGAGGCTGTGCATGGCTTGTATAATATAATTAATTCCCCTTCCAAAGGCCACATCCAGGGCACTATGGCCTTCATTATTGTGGCAGAGAACGAAATCAGCGTTCCGAAATAGGGAAAGTAGGGAGTCGTACTACTACCAACCGAATGTGAATCTCAGTAGCTGTGTGCAAAACAATTTGTCCTATTAAGTCAATTGGGTGGATATTCGCTCCAGCATCCAGAACAAGGCGAACCAGTTCCAGGACTTCTCATCTCTGTCGGAGTCAAGAGCGCAGGGATGATGCAACGGTGTACGCCCTTGTCCATCTTGTAGATTAACATTTGCCCCTGCTTTTATCAACAGACACTGTCTTTTGGCCCACATGATCGATTCCAATGTCGGCAACACTTATGTAAAGCGGTCGCGCCTTTCTCCATCCGACTCATCGAAGGTATCTAGGTCCAGCCGGATTCTGCTGGCAGTATGTAAATCCAGAAAAACCTCTAGAGTATCTAGTCTGGTCTCCTGAGCGGATTGCAGAAAGTATTCTCGAATATGTCTATTCGAATGACGAAGAAAAATCTGCCTCCATCAGCAGGCGAGCGTGCTTGGGGGACCGATTTCGAAAAGTTAGTCGAGTGTCGTGAAGCCTTGTCTGCTTTTCACGATTGGATCACCGCCAATTTTGATAGGAAGCTTTAGAACTCGAGAGGAAATACGGTGTTTAACAACAAAATAGAGTATTGTATCATTAGGGTCGGTCATACGCCGCCGGATCATGCGGAAGTACGGCGGAAGTGTCTCAACGGAACATAACCGCATGGGCCCTAGTGGATCATAGCCGGCAGCTTTTATTGAGTTGATCAATAACTGGCACGTCTGCCTTTGCTTGTATCTTGCAGAGTATACCAAGTACAAATAACCCTAAAACGCACGTCCACAGCACCAACCGCAATGTGAGGCAAACACGCGTCGACGCGATCGAAACCGGCTGTGTTCCTAGCGCCGTGCTATTCCTGCTGTCTATTTATGCTCTCATTAGACTTATCCTGCCGTCTTTAATGGGGCTCCTTGAATACGTCGGAGAGACTAGCCACGAAAGGTTATTAAGATGCGAGAATAAGTAAATAATCTATATATATACCACAAAGGACAGGGAAATGCGAATTCAAGAGGGGAATCTTTCAAAGCTATCGAGTTCCTTGGATGATGAGGCCTTGGGCTCCGTTGAACCGGCCGCTCGGATTTATCATCAAACCGGAAGAGTCGGACTAATCTTTAGGCCGACGGGAAAATAATAAAGCGGGAGGTTCACGAGCTGTTAAAGATTATAAAATCACCAACTTGTAACCTACAAATTGAAATTCATAAATTATTCCATTTTCACCCTTCCTACGAAAAATTTATCCGCTTCAACCTCAAGCTTCTTTGATTTTTATCGCCTAAGAATACCGTTCCCTAGCTCTCGCCTTAAAAATATCAGCATGGTCTGGGCTCATGGATCATCACTGCTCTTTCCGAGAACATTAAAGGCATGCTCGTTATTCTCCATGATTACCGGCTCCATGGACGTATGCTTCGGCATCGACATGATCAACTCTATATCTGGACCCCTTCCGACTAGATTGCCCGCCGTTGCGCTGGTAGACAGTCAAATTCGATTCCTAGGAGCTATGTGGGCCGGCTATGGTATGATGCTTTGGTGGACAAGCAATGATTTAGAGAGGAGGCGGACCCCATTGGGACTTCTTGGTGCGATCATGTTTCTCGCTGGACTTGGGCGTCTGCTGTCAGGTCTGAGCCATGGCTTTAGCGCTACCTGGGTGCAAGTCGCCACGGCAGCCGAGCTGTTCGGACCAGTTGCAATGTATTGGCTTGGGTTTTAAGAGGACGTTGACATAGACCGGCGGTAGATAGGATGCGAAATTCTCATAGGTCGAGGAGCCACCCGAGCTGATCGCCCCCAAAACACATGGAGGTTGGCGCCATAAAGTCACCACTCAGCTGGTTCGGATTGGGCTGCTCATAAACTCTGGCTCTTACTACGTTAGTCTTCTCTCGCGATAGATTGTGATACTTTGGTTTGACCACTACGCTAGCTGGCCAAAAGGCACAATGTTTAGTCAGTGACACGCTACCTAAACTATAAATTACATATGCTCGAATCCTAAAACTTTCTTCCCTTCTCCGTTTCAAGAGGCAGACCGTTATTTTCTCATTTATCAACGTACAATCCCCTTGTTGTCTGCTTTGCGTCGCAAGCTTTTTGACGCCCTAAGCCTATATCCCATAAATACGCAAAATCAGCGATAGAGTAGACACATTGCTCTAGCAGTAATAACGACAGGAATCCGTTATCACAGTATTGACGACAAACGAAAGTAAATAAGAAAAAAGATGCGAAAAGACAAAGTGCGAATCTCTACGGTCGAGTTATCTCGTAGCATGTGTATATTGGTTGTATTGTCAGAATATGGACGGATGGATGGGTGATTTCATTTACCCTGACCCTCCCCACCGAAGTGACATGCAGGGCTATAACAGCGATTAATTTATAAAGTATAGAGCTAGAAGGTAAATAGTTGATCCTGCATATCACACTATAAAAGGAGTCCAGTGCAGGTTATAGACCATACCACATAACGAATAATCTAGACTTTGTGTGGCAGCGTGGAGGACGTGGGAGAAAGTGCCGCTTTGGTTTGCCTGTGAGGGAGGATGATCGTAGATGGATATTCCGGTTTAGGTTTCCCTGACTTGCAAAATCGATCTTCACCCTGGGCCCTCATGATGCTGAAGGTCAAAGGATGTTTTCCATAGCCAACTGCCCGCTCGACCTTAGCGAGGTGCTCGTTAAACTAGGTAGTCCCGTCTTAAGAACCGTTTTCTAGACTGCTGCTTCCGTCGTAGGCGGTAGTAGGAAGGACAACAAACTCGGAGTCGGTTCGGTGTAGGTGCGCTAGCAATCTAATTGCCCGCTTTTCCTGGTTGTGCTGGCCTATTAAAGTTTTTGCTTCGCATAAGTGCGGCTGAATACGAGACTTAGCGCATGGAGCGCTGCTCCGCGCCAAGAAACTTTCTATTGTCATTAAAAGGGGCGCCAAGAGGCGAAGTTGCTGCCCAGAATAGCTTTCTTTGGTTAAAGCACCTCGTATTCTCGCCATATCACTAATCCTGACCGTTATGCAGTATGCACACTCATCCAACACGCAAGCCTGTTACGTTCAGTTAAAGACGCAAAACTATTACTATTATAATTACCGTTGATGGTGGGTGTACCGCTTAGCAAAGGCTGTCTGGCCTGTGTCCGACGGCGGATAAAAGTAACTTGTCCTTTGCAGCAATCATTCAAATTTGCCAGATCTTACTAATCGGACTTGCAGTGCGACGAAACGCGTCCAGAATGCCAACGCTGCCAGCGGAGGGGCTCCCGTGCCCTGGGTATGCTAAGTATCGAAAATTTTACCACCAATTTGTGACCTCCTGCGAACGGTCCAATCCGAGCACAGCCCCTACTTTAACCAAAGCTGTACATGTTCTTCCGCTACAGCCTACCAAAAAGAATGCGCACCTCCCCCAAGCCTCGATAGACGAAATTGTGGCACCGAAACTGGTCGCTAGCGCCCTAGACCAGCAGTACAGGGAGGGGTTCTGCGCATTTATTGATGCCAGTTTTCCCATATCAACATACGCATATATCACCCGCATCAATGTGAGCTGGTTCGACGTGGCCCGCAACCACGGAGCTTCAGGAAAGGCAGTTGACTGGGCCCTGCGCTGCCTCGGATCTCTACACATAGGCAGAGCACATGACGACGAGCGGCAGGTTATGGCCAGCCGCGAATTGTATGGTCGCGCATTGCGAAGTCTCTTCTGGAGCATCAATAAACCATCATTAGTCGCCGCAGACGAAACTCTTGCTGCCGCTATCCTACTCGGAGGGTATGAGATGGTCAATGCTACAGGCCAGGCATCATGGCTGCTGCATTCGCGTGGTATCTCTGATCTTTTTTGTCTACGGGGACCACAGGCACACACCCGTGGGCTTGGCCGGAACCTACTCGCATCTTTCCGAGGGTTCCTGGTATTTGAAGCCCTCACCCGGGGTGAAGCGTGTTTTCTAGAGCGCGAAGAGTGGAGGGCGATTACCTCGGACACCATCAAAGCAGAACAGCAGCTCGGCAAGGCCTGCCGTCTATGCGAGCTGATTGAATATGCATTCTACGAAATTGCACAATGCCCGGGTTTTTTGGCGAGAACGAGGGCCCTGGTCGCATATTCGCACGCCACAGATATTACGAAAGAGCATTTGATCTGTCGCATGACCCGCTGCCAAGAAGCGTTGTGTGATCTACAGTCACAACTATCGACTGGCGCCTGGGTTGCTCGCCAATCAAGTAATCCAGAAAACGGAAATTTCATTGGGCTAATTCCCCCTTCTGTAGCTGATACCTTAGGGATGTTCTCACTCGAAGGAGTCAGTTCCGCTATAGCGCTGATTCAACAACTGTTGTCAGTCCTGGAGTCTGATTGCACTCGAAGAACCGTGAAGTCGCTCTCGGTTCGTCCAGCAGACGATAGTATGTGGAACTTGGTCAAGGATTCTACTCTGATAGTTCAAAGAACGACTCGAGGGAGAAGCAATTTGCAGCCGGCTAAGCTCGAGCTACAGGAGAAGGCAGAAACCTGGCTTGACCCGCTCTGCATGTCAATGGGCATGCGGGCAGAGAAACTTTCAATCTGAACACTAACGGTCGGAGATCCTGGTCAAGTTACTACCCCTGTAAATTTAAAGCCTCTTTCCTCCTTCCACCTCTCCTTCTGTGGCCTCAGTCCATGAGAATAACCGACCGACATCAGGTATCTGTAGGTAAAGATACATAGGTTAACGGTATTGAAATTGCACATGTATGGCTAATTTGGGCTCTTTACAATGGCTATTCTCATGATATGGTCCAGTACCATACGATTCAGACTGCCCTGAAACGAATCAAGCTGACAGGGGATTCAGAGTAGAGTGATAATACTAAAGTTGGATGTATATTTTCGTTAAAGGCCGGATATTTACAAGTAGGGTGCTCGCTGAAAGTCCTCCTTCAATTTTCGTAACAGTTCAACATTGAGTGCACAACAGTTTTGTAGTTTCACAGATAGGAACAGTGCAGTGGACTGGTAGCAACTACTATGTACTTTAACTGCCTAACGCATCAGTATAAAGCATTATGGTGCATAAAAAGAAGAATCGGAAACATACACAGGAGTCTGTTGATGAGACACCATTTCCCAACCTTCTGGTCCATCTTTGTTCATACGACGGCACCATACACTGGAGCAAAGTGCATTGAACACTTTATCCTCTCCGTTTCCTATCTCTCTTACGGCAATCACCCTGTACACAATAAGTGCACATTTCCCATTGCTGTCGAGAGGAAGCACTCGATCATCAGTTATAGTGTATGTCTTCCACGGTTGAAAAGTATCGCCGGACAGAGTGGATCGGAGGGTCTCGTCTGCGAGCATCATCCCGCCTGGAAAGAGCATCACGCAGTCCTTGGCGAGAAATGGGATGAGAGCGGATCCGGACTGGCAAAGTGCATTCCATGCGCTGACCTCATATGTACGAATCTCGGAGATGTCCATAGTTATCCGGAGAAAAGTTGCGAAGAATGACTAGTTGTAAGTGAATCACCGTTGTTAAAAGGCGATGCCCGCGAGCAGTCGAGCTTATTAATCATCAGCTCAACCAATACTAGGGACTGCCTCGATCTGCCCCCAAAATATCCCAGTATGACTCAGAGCACAGTTTGGATGGAAATATCTATGATTACATTTCCCCGGGCATGTCGAGATGCCTTGCGTCCAAACCCCCGTAGAACCATTAGGTCGCCCACATAATACAAATTTCGAGGGCGGTGAGACGACGACTATCGCGCGTAAAGGTTCAAATGGTCATACTTTATACGTCATCAGTCAAAGTTTGGGGGAAAAACCCCTTTAAGTGCGGGGAAACGTTAAACGGAGAAGCTCGTGATTATATAATCATCCTCGAACTAACGTATTTCACATGCGAGTGGATCACACAACCGAGTGGATCAGCTATCCCTACCTCCCAATTTTAAATGCATATATCTCAACCAAAACGCCATTAAATTCAATAAGCTAAAAATGATTCCTGTTAGGACATATAGTCAATTTATGACCCTGAATTCCATATATCCTGCACTTCGGTAAGTACGTGGCTGTGAAGGTGCCGGAGCCGATTCTGCCTCATAGGGTGTTGGTGCTTTAATTGCTTGCTCCGGCTGCGCTATTAATGAAGAGGCCTCTAAAACTGAAAGGCCTTCTTCGGAAGCTATTTGCCTTTTAGACCGAGTCCTTTTTCGCTTCTTCGTCTCGTCTTTAGCGCGTAATTCGCTAACTTCTTTCTCGAGTAAAGCTGCCGATTACATTGTGATTTAGCAGGCTTTTAAAACCTGATTTATCGCGGAATAAAGCGGGCTCGGTAGGCTTTTTAAGCGCTATTTTAGCAAAGCTTTAATTAAGGAAGCTTGTTTTTATAATTAGACGTAGTTCGACGGCGTTTTTAGCTCCCACTCGCTTCCCCGGCTCGAGGGGGTGCCGGGGTTCGAAGACGAATATCGAGCTTTAAGATCACTCGATCGGGGTTATAAGGTATTAAACCGGCGGTAGTGAAGCTATTCTTAATAGTCTCCGATTTAAATACCTCGATTCGCGCGGACGGGTAGGCTTCGAGGAAGTCTAGCTTATCAATGTGGTTAATTCTAGCACGTATTTTCGATTCGATAAACTAACTATAAGGCCGTTTTAACACCGCAAAACAGCCGATATCGAGAGGGCTGTAAAAGGTGAGACGAATGCGGAGGAATACAAATTAGAATAATATCGTTTTTTCGCAAGTTTCGTCGAATTTCGGGGTTAAATGACTTCCGTGGCCGTCGAGTATTAAAAGTCTATACTTCCCCTTCATGCGATAAATTACAACTTCATATCTGACCAAAAATAAGTATTTAGAAAGCCTTTGCATGAATTCCTACTTGACTAAGTGGATTTTTGAGATGTATCTGAAGAATCGAAATATTTTGTAGCGAGGTGGCCTAGCTCAAGCAGCATTTTTGTTTCGCGGTCCCGAACCCAGGAAACATAACTATATTGGATTATCATTTACAGACTTCAGGGTGTCCGCATCCTTAGCCTGATGGAGTGGGAGCGCGGAGGCAAGAGCGTCTATTTCGAAGATCCGGACGGGCATATGAGTGAGATCGGATTAAGAGGGACCTAGGCGCTTTATGGTATAAAAAAATGAGATGGGGTCCCTGTATGGTCCTTTCCTTTTTCGATCCTGAATCTTTGAGGTAGATCAAGCTGCGGAGACGGACCGCGTCGCTCTCCACGGTCGGTTGGTATATAGACTTCCACACGACGGAGTCGAACTGTAAAGCAATAGGGGTTCTAGTCCTTACAGCCGTGATAAGATTTCGTGGTCGTACGCGCATGACCGATAGTCTAATCCTATATCTAATCTAGGAATAATCCCACAGATTGCGGACGTCCGCGATCTTGCCGATAAGCCCTAGGGACTATCACTAGTATATGGTTATCCCTCATCAACCGTTAACAGGCTTGGATCTTCATCATTTATTTCAATCGACGGATATCCTGCCAGCTGTCTATCCGTCTTCTAAACCCGGTCTCGAAGTCGGGGTAAGAAATATAAACCCTAGCAGATAGCTCGAAATAACGTTCTCGATAGTCGTATAATTTTCGCTCCTAATGTTCAACTTCTAACTTCCTAGAAGGTGACATAATATAAGCTAGTATAAGTCACCTATGTTATATAGATAAGTAGGTCTATAGGATGACGAGAGAGACCGATCAGATATCGAGGGACACTCCATACAGTAGACTTTATACCAGCTTAAATACTAACACATACTCGAGAGGAATTGTGAGCTAAAGATATAACTTTGTCGACCTTCTCACTTAATATTGCATACCCTTCTATTCTAGCGGCCAATATAGTCAATTATCTGCCTACCCCCAGCTACAGCTGCTTATTATAGGAGGTTCATTTCTACTAGTAGTCTATATACCACATCTATCTACTACTACTTATGGAGTGAGACGGAAATTGCGCCGGCCTCAGTTATCTCGTTTGGTGAATACTTTCTAAACGGAATAAGCTAACTATGTCTTAAACTTATACAGAATCTTCCTTACATTGCGATGCAATATAGTCCTTAAATGCTCCTTAGATATCAAAGTTTATTATTTGGTGAAGAGACACTCTTTTAGCTTCTCACTCCTAAAACCATAAAGGTTTCCACTAAGAGCAGATTGGATTAGCTAGTTTTAACCACAGCATTGCCTTTTTCCGTCGCGGTTTTGGTCTATCTATCCTTTATTTTTGTCGGATATTCGTCGCCTTTCTCTCTAATTAAACTGACTAATTGGTCTACCTGGACGTGTCTTTCGTCTATAGCCCACATTTTTACATACACACCACCTCGGTAAGGCTCTCGTTCTAAGAAATAAATGCGATTCTCTGAGCGCGCACCCCGGGAAGGAGTCCAATTTCTTCCTCCTCTGGCTGCCTAATTAATTCAGAGCCTTTAGAACTAAGAGGCTCTCGGTCAAAGGCATCTGCCCGCGAGCTCTAGTCGGCTTCTGCTTCTTCTTCTCGTTTTCGGCGCATAAATTGCTTACTTCCTTCTCTAAGAAAGCAGCTTATTGCGAAGTAGGTTGGCAAGCGTTTATAAACTAGTTTATTGCCGAATTAAGCGAGCTCGGAGGTATTTTAGACCTCGCATGAAACGTTAATCGATGAAGCTTGCTTTAGCAATTGTGTATAGTTCGAAGTCATTTTCGGTCCCACTCGCTACCTCGGCTCGAAGGAGGGGGCGGAGGTTCGAAGGCGAATATTAAGCTTTAATATCACTCGATCGGATGAAAAAGGCACTAAACCCACTGCTCAGAAGCTGTTGATAATTGTATCAAAGCGAAATGGTAGGCCTCGAGAAAGTCATGTTTGTCGAGGTTTTTGGTTAGCTTTAGCTATTGGCAGTATTGCATTTAAGGACCCGGGTGTAACGGAATCCTCAGAAGCCATGCACAGATCTCTCGCACTCACAGAGGATCGACACCATATAGGTGTCGACACGTCAGCGTTGGTTCACCGTAACGTTGATCCCCCATGTTAAATAGTGTGCTTCGGAGAACCTAGGGTTTCTCTAAGAATTAGTCTCTATATTCCTCAATATACTACTTGCTTCTAGGCATCTTCGTCTTACCTAGTTAATAGGCTCTATCCTATAAACATTAGAACTCTTTTCTTTATAATGGGCTAAATATCTGGTATATTTATAAATTGGATTTATCTAAAAAAGACTTTAGACACAAAGGAGGTCTGATTAGAAATATTAGTATATAATCCACTTGTGTCGCTATAAAGGGGTTGAGTAGCGGTTAGAATGTCCTAGCTTCGTCGGAGATATGCCGCGTCATCTAGTCATTTATTATACCTGAACTTAACTCCGAATCCTCTAGTTCCTCTAGTGGTGTTTAGATATAGTGGTAGGGAATCATAGCGTAAAGTGCCATTTTCAGTATATAGGTCTGACAAAGAGACACGATATCGACGGTTTCTATCGTGCTCTACAATCTAGGCCCTATAGAGTGCCCAATCTTTATCAAATTGGAGCGGTAGAGTATCATAATGAAATATTTAACAGATTGCATTAGATGGCGTAAACACAGCGGTCGACTAAGAACGTTTTCTTTCTAGCTAAATGTTAACACGAAACAAACATTGAGAATTGGCCATTTAGATAATCTATAAGAAGGCTTTCTCTAGCCGCGAGGTTATACTAGCCTATTGGTTATGGCTTCGAGTCGCCTATGACCGAATTATGGGGCACTAGGTAACCACCCCTATACTTAGCTGCCCTAATGTTTCTACCTATTTATTCTTTTATCATAGGGCTTTATATTTCGAAGCAGACGAAGAGAGGACGGATCCTAAGGGAGAGAGGGAACTAAGTTGGTATATCAAAGTAAATATATCTACCTATAAAGAAAACTGTCCCGAAAGAGCTGTCGAGGCGACATACTGCCCCCAGTCTGTTCTGCATATTGCATGAATGGCAGTCTTGCATCATTGTAGGGAGAGACGCTACCGGACACAAAGATCTATAAGACTATTGTTAGAATCGAAGTATTCAATACCAAGAAACACTCACTTGATATTCAATTCTCAGCGACTCCAGTGATTATTAAAAGTTGAGATGCCTCTGCCCTCGTTGTCATTCTGCAGCTGAAAGATAATCTTATTCATAAACTGCGGAGCCTCGTTGCCCGGAGCAGTGCTTCTTCCGAGGTTTAGCTTGGTCCTATCAAACACGTAGAAATCCTCGGAGACGCGCCAAAGAACATTCTCAGTGACTCGTGCTCTAACCGCCTCATACCACTCGTTAAGGATATCATAAGAAGGTGCGACAATAACGTAGCGCCATGACCAATCGTCGTTGCTCTGTTGTTATAATTAGTGTTGGTCCCTTGAAAAGCACACCAAACGCCCTCCAAAAATGAACCCTTACGTTCTTTGCATAAGCGTAGTACACCATGATTGGGTATCACTTCTTCGAAGTCTGATAAAAGGAAGAAGATAAAGTTCTGATAACCGAGTCTCAGTTTCTTCCTAACGGCCTTGTTGAATGGGAATGCTATTTGCTCGAGGTCTTTCAGTGCCTTTTATAACTTATTCTTTGCCGAGCGAACGGGCCACAAGCGGAAAGAGATGGGCATCGTGGAGAAGCTTTGGGCATGAATGCAGGAATATGTAGACAGGATGGAGATAACGACATGCACACAGGGGTCTGTCATGCGCGAGCACTGCGCCTCTTATGCCAGTGGGGATTATTGTGGAGATTTCAGCCAACCTCCTCACGGTAACCCCTGCTTCACTCAGCTCGAAGGTAGGTAGCCTACGGAGTAAAAGAAAACATTCACAAGTTGGAGTAAAGTTTCTTGTTTACTTTGTTGATAGTATTGTCAGATGTCACCCAAATACGAATTTCCTCCGCACCAAGAGTTCCATTATGAGAAATATGGACTTATGATCCACTTGTTTTAACAATTCCCGCTATGATCCGTCAATTTCGGTTGTGATGTCGAAGCCTTGCAACCATCATAGTCCAGCAAGTGCGCATAAACCCTCGCTTATCACTTGTTCTTCTGTTAACCGTGTTCGACTGAATAAAGTTCATTGACGTTTAAATACTTTGTACCAAATTTGATATTTTATACGCCCGTTAATTTTCAGTTGGCCTTGAAGCAAGCCGCAAACGCAAATGACGCAGTCCGGGGCCTTTGCACGAACCTTCAGGGCTGTGGATATGTGTTGAGTAGGATGTTCTGTGAACCTTCTTTGCTGATCGCTCAGCCAGCCACCACTTGGCACGCAATATGTCACGTATGACATCAAGCCGATTATCTACTGCCTTCACTATGTTAGTGACAATTGTGAGATGCAAGCGCCTATTGATGTGAAGAGGCAGAGAAAGGAAATGCTTCCTCGATTGGACCATCCTCATCAGAAGGTTTCCGCTGCCTCCATTGCCCATGGGCGGCGCTTGCAGCAGCACAAAATCGAGTCTATCCCCTTCTAGAGCTCTTGTAAGCAGGTCGCACACTATGTCTCTCAACGCGAGATCCACGACAAACCTTGCTCAACAGGGCGATCAGCGGGAAGGAGCGTCCTTGGCAGGCATATCATGACCCAATATAATGCTGACACTGTGCAAGGTGGACTCGATTGCATCCACACGAGATTTCGAGTAAAAGGAACGATGGGTCTCCAGAGCTGAGTTGACCGTCGTCGTCGCCTTGGGGACGGTGCGAGCTGTCAATCAGGCAAAATGTTAATTCTGCAAGGAGGTAGAATCACGATATTGTTCCTGTAGTGAGTATAATACCATCGCTGGCAGAGGAATGCCGCTCGGAGTGGTGGCTGTAGTTACCAATTGTATACTGCATGTGCTGTGTTTGTATTATGCTGTAGCTATGTGCCACTGTGAATTGAGCACTGTTGGGTCTGCACCTATACGTACCGGATTTTCACCAACAGGTGGGCTTTGTGGACCGCTCACCTCGTCATAACCCGCCCAAAACCGAACAGCCGGTCTGTGTGTCGAGTTTCTTTCCTCTAGGGACGGCAACGAACTAGCTATAAAACAGAAGTGGGTTTCCATGCTATGTTTTGTGGTTTCTTTTTTTCGTAGATCATTCAACCAGCCACCTGTGCTGCCCCGCAATGTGTTACCGACAGCTGACGTCAAATAAACAGTTCTTAATGGATCGTTGAACATGGACACACGTTCGTTGGGGCAACTGAAGAGATTCTATGTATTAAGCTTCAGAAATCCTTATAATCTCAGCAAGGATGGCAAATAATCTATGCGATCTATACGGTATTTGTGACTGTTGTTCTGAAACTGCAGCGGCGTGCATCGTTGGGATGGTGACAGTACCAAAGAATCTCTGACGGGACTCCCCCTCAAGTTCGGTTCAACTTAGCGGCCGCTCCCCGCTCCCCGTCCCCCATCCCCCATCCCCACTTTTTCGCGATCATTACCGACAATCAGTTCAAGTCCGACGATGAACATCATCTATGTAGTGTGTAGGAATCGAACACCTACTTTCCTACCTCTGCATTAGCTAGGCTTGCGTAAATCGAACTGTATCCATCTTGCTCAATGTAAAGGTTTTTCAGCTACGGCGTTACTGATCTTCTTGGGTTGATTTTGCATGTATCTCCTTGTGGCTGGGGCTGAATATTATTCACTCCAGCGACTCCGCAATGTGATATATCATTCTCAGTATTTCTCAGTACCCACTATCCATTGCCTTGAACGATCTTGGACGCATAGGCATCCAAAATCTTGAGTATGTAGCTCGTTCATTTTGCGGTCTCGCGTAGACCGTCAGAAATAAGATGCACTGTACAACACTAGTAGGTCGATCTTGTTTCGTTCCAAAACATTCGATATGCTCCAGTGTAGATTCCATATGGAAATTTTGAGACTGACCATGAGTACGATTGCTCTCGCTTTGATGCCACAGAATCTCTTTATTTCACTAAAAGCACAATGGGAGAAGAACGGATGAAAGTCAATAGCAGAGCTCGAAAAAATATGGCCTTTTCAAATAAACATAAAAGTGGAACTCAGTTAGCATTGCAGTGGCCTTGAATCTTCGGTGCATTGAGTGAAAATCAAAATAATAGGATACTTTAGGATACGTTCACAAGGGAAAACTGAATTTTTTTCGACCAAGAGAAACCGGGATTCATCCGTCTTGACATAGAATTTTTTGTTCCCTTGGGCCAACATCTCATGACAACCCCACCCCAACCCTCCTCATCGCAACCAACGTATCCTTCGCCGCCCTCCAGTTCGTTTTCTTCGCCCTCCTTCTAGCTACATACAGTCTGCACTTTGTCGCGCTCTCCATCATCATCGCGGGACTATGGTACGCTCACCAGGCCTGTTTTCTTTTTGAGACCTATACCAACATGTTGTTCTGCTCTGAAAATAGACCTAGACGATACCTACCGGTTGGATACCCCTCGTTTGTCTTGGCTATCACGTATCTGCGTGAATTGCATGGCCAGCTTGATGTGGTTGGGATGCGAAGCGAAAGTCAAAGTAGGCGAAGCTGGCAATATATGTGCATTCTGCCTTAACAAGTACTGTTGTTTCATTTGTCAATTTATCCTGGCATGTTCGATGATGGGCATGGATCGTTTTTCCGTATTCCTAAAAAGTATCTCACGATCTTCCGTCGTTCATTCCTGGGGTAAATAACACCAATGTTCATTGCAGATCATCCTGTGTAATGATGCGTCAGTAAACAGTGCTACTTATCAAATAACGGGTTCCTACTGGACTCTGGGGTTGAGGCTCGTTTAGCGTTTAAGATGCTTTACCGCCCAAAAGGGAGCAAATGCCGATGCACGTGGCCATTTGAAAGATCTCTCTTGTCTGCCTCAGAGCGGCTTCCAACCTATACTACTTACATTCTTGGTCTAAGCCCGGCTGCATTTCGATGTAGCTAATGATCCCGCGATAAGACCTGTATTGAAGCTTCCACCAAGATGAACTTCGATGATTATATGAGTATCAAATACGTCGAACACTGATGGTGAGTTCGGAGAACACATACACGCGGGGCATATGTTTCAAGTTCTTCTGCAGTTCATAATGCGGAGGCCAGTGGTTGCTCCCCTTCTTCTCTCTTGCAGCTTTCGGGGTTAGGTATAAGTCTTCGTCCATGCAAAAGATGTCAGCGACAGCAGAAGGAGAAAGTTAAGGAGAGGCACAGACAACAAAGGGCGAAGAAAAGCAAACACTCAACGCAACATGGTGACAAAAGCTCTGAAAAACTAGTAACCCACCACAGCACTATCCAGCTCTTACTAGCATTCTTTTCTATAATTTCTTTTAGTATTTGGTGTAATGATCTGACGAGCATTAAATATCTAAAGCAATGGAATCGCCAGCCCATCACCTCGTGGGTCACTGCCAGCACTATAAACCCGGGTTCCTTCATCATAGTGACATCGGATGATCTGGCCGCGACCAAACATGCCCCTTTTCCAGCCGGTGAGGACCTCAATCCGATGACCCAACTTCTTGAGACCTTCAATGACCTCAACGCTGATTCCTTCCTCTACATAGACGACTGGTTTCCCGTCGATGAGCTTATCCGCCGCAATGCAGATGCGTGGCGCATCAAGTGCCGCTTGGGGATGATGGTTGAAGGCGAGTATATTCAACAGGACCTGAACATGTCCCTGTGGCTGCATAAAGCCGCCCATGACACCATACACGGAGTGCAACGACCCGTCTGAACTATTCGTGATCATGGCTGGAATAATAGTGTGGTAGGGCCGTTTCCCGGGTGCCACCACATTCGGATGGCCAGCTATTAACGAGAAATTCGCGCCTCGATTCTGCAGCGTAAATCCACAACCCTTGGGGACAATCGCACTGCCGAATTCAGTATAAACGCTGTTGATAAACGACATGCCGTTTCCCTCTCGATCAGTCACGGCGAAATATACCGTGTCACAGTGGTTATGGGCTGGGCTATCATGGCTAAGGGTGTGTGCTGCTTTCACTGGGCTAAATAATTCCGCGCGTTTCACCAGATAGGTTTTTGAAATGAGGTCTTGGGACGGAACTCTTTCAATGTCCGGATCAGTCACCCACCAGGCCGCATCTGCGAAAGCGATGCGGAGGGATTCGATAATAGCGTGCAGATATTCAGTCGAGTTATGCTGGGATTCTGTGAATGTGGGAATTTTACCCATATTTTCAAGTTCCTCGAGAATTCCCAATGCCATTAGGGCAACGATGCCTTGTCCGTTGGGCGGGTGCTCCCAGATCTTTACGCCCTGGTTGGTGCCATCATCAGTCCCCGGGGTCTGCTTTTCACAGATCTCTTGGCCCTTGAATTGGAGTGAGATAGCATCAACGTCTTGGCTGCCAGTCTCGGCGTGACGTTTTAAGTCGTTGAGACTTAAATAGCCGCCCAGGTCCTGTACAACCTTGACGAGTTCATCTGCAACGCGGCCTTCATAGAACCCTTTCTTGCCGTCTGCTGCTAGTGCACGGAAGGTCTGGGCGAGGGTTGGGATCTTCATGATTTCGCCAGCAGAGGGACTTCTCACGCCATCCTTGACCGACGGATCTACCTTGAGCAGTTCCTTGAAATTCGGGGATGCAGTACGGAGAAGATGTTCGTGATCACGCCACTGCATAAGTTAGGACGGAAGGATGGAAGGACGGTTTCCCTTAACGAATCAAGTTCGAAACTGTTACTTACAAAGGAAGACGACAACTCAGAGACCGGGAAGCCTTCCTCGGCCAACTCGATGGCCGGAGCAAGGATCTGCTCCAGAGAGAGCTTTCCACTGCCGAACCTCTCAACCGTGTCAACCCACCCTGCCGCCGCACCGGGTGTCGTCACGGCCAGTGCGCTTGTATTGGGAATTGCTTCCGTCTGATCGGGGCCGACGTTCAGATCCGTTTTGATCTGCTCGAGGGTTGTGTTGGCAGGGTATCGACCAGAACCGTTCATGGCACGGACAGTTCTTTTTTCGGCATTATAAAACAGACAGAACATGTCACCTCCAATGCCAGTGGACGACGGCTCGGTGACATTTAATGCGGCAGCTATGGCGTGGAATGGTCAGCTTTCTTCCCTCAGAAGAGTGTCTGATGCTAGTAAAGGTACTTGCCGACAGCTACAGCGGCGTCCTATATAATAGAAAAATGAGCGTGTTACGTGGCAACAATGGATAGGATCAATCGTACCGCAGCATTTCCTCCTTCCTGCAGAATCCTCTGTCCGGCAGCGGCGGCCAGAGGTTGGGTGCAGGTTACTATCCCATTCGTGCTATGGACAACACTTCTCCTGCTGGCAAACGGGAGGAAGCTCGGGTTCGGTCTGGAATAGACAGCCTTCGAGTTGAGAGGCATTGTCACGCCTGCGAGTGGTAGAGAGATCGGGTCTAGATGAACAAACAATCCAGCTTTGGCCCTGTAGTCGTAATGCGGGTAACCAGATCGCGGAATAAGCAAGAGAGAGACGAAAAGAGGGGTGTGATTGTTCTGACTAGGAAAAAAGGACACCATACGGAGTAGAATGGGAGGACGTTCGTGTATTGACGAGAGCCGACAAGTCAAGTCTAGAGTGAAGAGTCATAGGGACCAGGTGATAAGAAAGTGGGGTGCTGCGATGATTGATACTTTTGCGAATCCTAAATTGGATAAAGGACCTTCCACTTCTGGCGAAGTTGACGTTACGGTCGACCCCACCACGATTGTTTATTAGTTACTTGGTACGTAGGCCTAATATTATTTAATTTTATTATGGACATTTCGTTTGTTCGTCCAGTTCGGCTCCCTTCCGACGGATGATGGCTTTCTCGGCCGATGACATGCAGCTAGGCGTGCCGAGATCAGCTTCGTTGCTCAGCTAGACGAAAACGAAACCTGCATCGGGAAACGGGAGCAGAGAACGGAGAGCAGGATCCCAGGATTATTCTGCGGAGACCTAATTACTTTCTCTTTTCTTTCTTCCTTCTGCTGAACGATCTTGACAACTGCTTATCTCCGATTACTCGCTTTGGCACTCTCCCAGGCCGCCCTGTAACTAGTGTGGCACGTGGAACCTCGAAAGTCTTACCATTTTAGGTATAGTCAACTCTGGTCCGACGCTAAATAACTGTCAACCCGATATATGAACCCGAAAGTTTGAAACTTGACAACCCCCATGATTACCGCCGATTCTGCCACCAAAATTTTCCTGTATTTTCATATACAGCACCTAATAATTTGTATGCCAGTCCTCCGCCTAAACGAACACGATGAGACATCATTTCTGACAGATGCATCATGAATATCTAGGTCTACTTCAGCCCAAGCCTCCTGCGCTATCTCAATTAATCGCATGTGTGTAATATCGTTATTCGGCATCATTGCCTTCAATTCGGGATGAGGCTTATAGGTCTTATCCTTTAATAGTGTCTACAGGTTCTCAATTGGACTCAGACCTGGTGATTTTGAAGGCCAATCTAGAACCTCAATTCCCGTATCCTCAGGCGCATCGCGTAATATACGCATTATGTGTTTAAGCATTACCGTGATGAACAATCCCGTCTTGATTTGCAAGTAAGATACGCAAGATACAACGATATAGATCTCGTATCACAAATCAATCGACCCCCTGTGTTGGATCTGGATTTTCGAAGAGAGTTCTAATGCCAGTACGTCGAGTAAACCCGGAAAAGCAACCCAAAAAATATGTTTTAAAACTGTATACAGCTCCTACATACTCCGTCACTTTGCCCCATTCATGCTTAGATAGATAGCACCTTTTCATACAAGAATGTATCCATGGGACTGAGAAGCCACAACGCGATATCCCAAAAGCACTGATAGTTTACCCCAAAAGTATGGATAGGTTACCCCAAAAGTATAGATAGGTTACCCCAACATTATAGATAATGTACCCCAAAAGCATAGATAGGTAACTAGATGGACATATAGATTATAATGGTTGATAATAAAACTACATAGCCCAAGTTCCCCCAATAGGATTTCGTTTTGCGAGTACGCCAACTGTGGCACTTCCCCAATACATACACACGCACACATAGCTCAATGAACCATCGTGATCTAGACCTCATGCTTAGTAAACGTATCGGAACCGACGGTTCTGAATATCCGTCAGATCCAAGAAGGCCAGATCGGCCGCGGACGCCTCGTCCTCAGACCCAGCCTGCTCCAGGTCTCTCTTGGCGTTCTCCCATACCGTGAGCTGTCGGAGAGCAAGCGCCATCAGGACCACGGCGGACATGGTCGCGATCAGGGTAATCTTGGCCGCGTTATAGCTGGGTGCGTCGGAGACCTGGAACAGCTGGGGGCCGATCAGATTGCCCACGCAGAACGCCATCAAGGTCAGTGCGTTGCGCATCGCGCGTTTGGTATATCCGCTGGTATTGGCGGAATTCCAACTGTAGATGATAGGAAGCATGGCCGGGCATGCGTTGAGGAGATAGACGCCGAAGAGCTTGCCCACTTTATACTGTTCACCAAGGCCTGGCACAGGGAGAGCGATTAGTTAGTTGATAATTCGTCATCGTCTTCCAAGGAGCATTCATACCCAGGAGCAATCCAGCGCCAAGAATACTGGGTATCGTAATGATGGCAATCATGTAGGAGCGGTGCCCAATGGCGCCGATGAGATAGGTAGCCCCAACAGTGGCGATGATCGAAACGGCCCCGGAAGGCATCTGGATAATGGTGGTGCGCTGCGTCGAGAATCCGAATGTTGCGATGATGATGCTGGAGAAGTTGGATACAGCACCGTTGTCGATCATAGCCAGGAGAGTGATGAAGAACAAAGGCCAGGTCTCCTTGTCTTTGAACAACAGCTCCACCAGTTGGTACGGCTTGAAATGCTTGTTTTCAACACCAGTCAGGTTCACGCGGACGTGTTCGATTGCCATAATCTTCTCTTCGTCGTTGAGGAAGGAAGCACTCATAGGGTTGTCTGGAAGGAGGAAGATGATGGCGATTCCAGCCACCGTAGTAAGACATCCCTACAATCCAGCTTGGTCAGCTTCCAGTGCTCTCAAGATCCTAACAGTCCAAAAGCAACCTACCATGAAAAGGAACAGGATCTGCCAGTTCGCCAATGTGATGGAGTTCACATGCTGGAAGCCATACGAGATAGCGGATCCAACAATCTGTGCCACACCAATCTGACTGTACCACAAACCCGTCCGGCGCGACTGTTCCGGCTTGGTCCACCACATGCCCGTGATGAGGATGAGAGATGGCGCCACAGATGCCTCGAACACACCGAGGAGGATACGAACGATCATTAGAGAGGCATAGCTTCGACAAGCGGCGTGGCAGGCAACGAGAATGCCCCAGCAGGTGACGTTGATTCCAATATACTTGCCAATGGGGAAGCGCTGCATGAGGTACGCGGTGATGGGCTCCGCGACAAAGTATCCGACGTAGAAGATGGTTCCGATATTGTTGTACTGGTTCCCTTTCAGATTATCCTTGATACCCATGACGGCTGCATAGTTTAGCAAAGTCTTGTCTAGATACTGCAAGAAGTAAATGCCCATGAGGATCGGCATGATTCGCAGGTCAATTTTCCACCGTAACGCTCCGCTTTCCGCGATATCAATGACCCCAGCCCTATGCTCCCGTGCCAGGAACATCAGCGCCGCATCGCCGTCCTCATACTTCTCAGGGTGTGTGGTTGGCACCTGCATGACTGCCTCTGGCGCAATAGTTTCTTTTGTCTCCATGTTGCCTGATTGACTGAGATGGGTTTGGTTGACTGACGACCAGGAGTGGGGATTCATCCTTATATCATGTTCCTGCCATAAGGTTTGCCGAACATCTGTATTGTACTGTACATCTGAACTTCTTATCAGCAGGGTAAAATTATATCTATGGTTTCTAATCATGTTTATCGGCCGAACATGTACCCGTCTCACTTATCGGAGCCAAGGGCTATCTGTGCCGTGTAGTCGCCCCACACCCCTGCTGGGTATTGGTGCTCCTCACATTGAAGTTAACGCTTATCTTCAACCTTTTCTCCCTTACGGAGGTACGCCTACCAACCACGCCAAAACCAGTCTGATCCTCACCACCCATGGGTCTGTCAACGTCTAAACGTCTTATACTCCGTACCTTTAGGCCGCTTAGTAAGGCCTCTGGCACGTTCAGAGGACTAATCTGGGTGACATAGTCAACTCGCTTATAGCACGCCCGAAACTAGCACACTTCGGGATATAGACCACTTATGGCACACCCAGTTAGTCCATTCCTCCTCCATCTCTGTTTGAACTGACCAATCCCAATGCAGCATTCAGTCGCCCCAAGATCCCCACCACCAGGCGTGCCAGGCAGGGCATATCGGACGCCCAGAAACAGGCTCTACGCGTCTATGCATTCGAGACGCACCTTATACCCTCTCAGAGAGCCTGTGCTGGATGGTTTGGGTCCCAATTTGGTCGCCTTATCGATTGGGCCACTGTCTCGAGGACACTTTTCATCCAATACCAGCATCTTGATACTGGTTCAGATGCTATAAATATACGTACATCAGTATCGCATTGGCCTGTATTCGACGAAATGCTCTTTGAATGGCAGCAGCGACACCAGGATGCTGGCTTTGCGAAAACAGGACTAGACCTCGCCAAAGTCCAATTGACCCAGCGATAGACATGTCCAAACCGGTCCATGGGTAGACTTCTCTAAAGCCCAATTTGGGTCCGACTTCTATAACCTAACCTAACCTAAGACCTAATGCTAGGTAACTATTTGCCACGGAGTCCCCGGAAATCTTGCAGGGATCCCTCGCAAGCACAGAAGATCAAGATCGTATAGGTGTCGACACGTTAGTGTTTGCTCACCGTAACGCTGTCCTCTAGACTGCGGCAACATCCTTAATATTCATGGATATCCACATATCCTCTCCGCAATCCTCAAATTTGTGGATATAGTATGCCACCTAATATCCCCTTGTGAGACCACGCAGTCTCTAGGTTTAAGTGGGTACGCGAGGTAGATGGTAAACTTCCGCATAACCCAATTTAGGTCGAAGGCTCCGACCCAAAACCTAACCCGGACCCAATACTAGGGCCCTAGTAAAACTTATACAGACCTAACCCGACCTAGTTTTTGCATAATTTGGGTTATAAAGCTGCTCGGTTATCAAAATACTTTACTATTTTTTATATCTGTTCTTATTTGTACCCTAAAACACTATACTTTCCTAGTGTAAATCTTTCGAAACTTTAAGAAATAACTCTATAATCTTAAGGAGTATATCTAGCTTATAATTAAATACCTATTAAAATGTTATATTTAAGGTGATAAAGTGTGTTTTAGTTTTTCTAAAGTTATAGAAATATATATTTACACTAATACTTAGTGTATATTCCTAGACTTAATTCCTCATGTGAATTTGGCCACATGTTGACTGATCAGACAATTTTAGCAATGGTACGATAAAGGTTCTGAACTTTTCCCTCCAACAGCTAACCAACCTCCAGACGACAATTTCTGAGCAAATCGATCACAAAATTTACACTGAACTTTTGTCATACGCAGTCAGCTGTGCCAGAACCCGAAGATTTATGAATCATGACTCGGTATACATGACCATGACAAAAGAGAAAGAATACCTTGCAAGGAGAAGTATGTGCTACCTCAACTCGATCGAAGTTGTCTATTCCATACGCGATGGAATGCAACTAGTAAGTTCCGGGTGTGCCACCCTTTTTGTTCGGACTCCTCTGACAGTCTGAAATAGATCCTCACCTGCGACTGGATCGACTATGCCGCTACCCGAAGTCGGCAAGGACACAGATTGGCTGCTCATCCAATGTCAACATGCCAACGCTCTCAGCTCAGCGGTCAATACGCTCTACAGTCAAAGGGCTCTTTGCCAATCTTTAGACGAGCGAGAACGAAATCTGATGCTGGCACACAAAGCCCTCGAAAGCTGGAGAACAGGTCTTCCAATACATCTACAGAATATCCATCGGCACGAAACAGGGTATGTCACCCTCGAAGCCAGAAGACGGGCCATTTGACCTTGACCATGGTTCGCAAGTATCATAAGGCCATATTTATCATTTTCTTTCCATAGACCGGAAGCTAGTCCAAAGGATTAATCTCGGAACACTATCGCAAGAGGGGCATGGAGCTTTGCGTAAAATCAGCACAAGTTGTGTTAGCCATCGCCCGAATCTCAAGCTGTGACATACTCGACGGGTGAGACAAGGACACCTAACCCATAGAGAATAAGTTGACCAATCATAGATCTCTAGCAAGCTTATCAACCTGATCGCAGTGTCGATCTATGTGACTTTCTTGGATATTGTGAGTAGGGGTTGCAAGAAAAGCTTGCCATACTTAAGTATGTGCTATGAAATTTTCGGAAGTTTGAGCTTGGACAACGAATTGCCGTTAGCCCATGCTCTCAAGCTTACGAAGCTCGCTCAAAAGTCTGGGAAACCTTGATAGGCTGAGATTGGAAAGATTAGACTATATAACAGAGTTTAGGTGGCGGATGATAGACGACACACAACAGATAGTAAGACGTCACGCCATAAACTATAGACAACGGGTTACAGGCGTTTGATGACGGATGACAGACCAAAGGCCACAGTTCAGGCTCTTCTTGACAGAATACCTTGTAATTACCTTGCACTAAACATTCCGGGGAGGGGCGGGGGTCAGGAGTCTTTGCACAATCTAACTACCATGTTTTCACAAGTACTGCCAGTCTAAATACTCGTTGTATAAGCCTATTTGCAATCAAACCCCTCTAACTATGCTTGGTCGTTTTGGAATCTTCAACTCTCATCTGGTCAATACTCCACCTCTGTCTTCGTAGATACTTCGCAAGAGCTCGCAAATTCCTTTCTGCAACATAAAACTCATGGTTGCCGAGATAATCTACCATACGTGTGCATCACAAAAGGTCACCTCCCAACTTGAGCTTGTGTATTACCATGTAATACGGAATGCTAGAGGCATGGCTTCTCTCGAAATGTGCGTCATCGTACAGTTTTAGGTTCTGACCGCACCGAAAACCGTGTCGCAGAGACCGAAATTGTCATCAAGGATGATCAGACTTACTCAAGTTTCATAGCTTCCTGCTGCGCCCGATGCGCTTCAACAAGGCGCTGTGCCTGTTTTGCAACTTCTAGCGCTTCTGTCATATCAGGTTCGCCCCTTTCGGGCTCAGATGTCCTGATCGAAGCCCCAGAGGAGTCGTACTCCCGTGGAGGCACATCGGATAGAGCAGGAACGGGCACCTCCGATATAGGTGGGAGCGGAGGGAAGGATAGCAGCCCATCCAGACCATTATTGTTATCACTTTGGGGGATAAGAGTGGTGTCACAAAAGAGATCAAAGGGATCCACGTTGGGGGCTTGGTTCAAGCCGTCAAGAAGCCGTTGGAACTGTTCGTCGTTGAAGCCCTCCATCGTAAAAAGAGATTCGAGGTTGAATCCTCTGTATGGTTTGTGCTTCCTAAAGGCGCCTTTTAAGTCTATCGTCGACACGATTTTCACCGCAATTTTGTCACGAAAACCATGGCCCCTTAAAGCGGTCCCATCCTAAGTCCATCACACAGGTCATGGGTCGCTTGGTGTCGATCATCCTATTTGGTTAGGGCATCATGGGTCAATCACGTACACGAACTTGAGATGGGCTAAAGTGGGGAAACTCTTAGAGAAGTATCAAATCCTCTTTTTGTAGCTCACACATTAGTATCACTCATGCCGAATAGTAATTGAACATCGGATGGCCTTAGACAAATAGGAGGGCATGAAAATTGCGGCGGCGAAATTAATGATCCGAAAAGCAAATTTGATGGGACTACGTTAGGCGTCAGAAAAAAGATCACGCAGATTCGAAAGCAAGACTCGCTTGGCGATGCCTCTGATAAACTCAAGCCAGGCGAAGTTGATAATTGGATAAAATAACAACAAAATAAGTCTAATATCCTCTAAACTTTGAAACCAACAGTACAAGATCAAGAAATTGTGAACGCGGTAAGAATATGGTTCTTGTACTTCTTTGCCATAATGATGATGCTTAAACTCAGGTCTCTGTGGTAGATTCCGCTTGGTCTTATAGGTTCTTGATGACTAGCTCGTTGCCGAATGCCACAAAGATCGTGTTCGTGCTGTCCTCGATGGCCGAGTCGAAGCACTGTGCAGGGGTGATTGTGCAAAGGTTTTGGTCGTAAAAGGTTGCATTTCGTTCTCGTGCATTCTTCCGAGCCATTCGCTCCACGGGTGACGGATCGGATGGATCGACCACCATTTGGTGCTTGTTTATAGTTGTTCAATCGTTCTGATAAAAATATTTTAGGAACGTTTCGGCCGGATCCGGGACATGTTTTATTAAGTTATTAAAGTATCGCAGCTGGACGAGGTAGGATATTTTTTTAAAAAAAATTATGAACAGGCCTTTTTTTTACTTCAAACTTGATTAAAGGCCTCGTGATGAGCGTGAGATCCTGAAGGAGGGTTGTCAGCGTACACTGGAAAAGCTGTCTACCTCGAATGCCAAAATATACCTTTGATCTAGGCCAGCTTAACCTGTCTTTTGATGTTTCCAGGTAGTGCAACCGACCGCCTGATGTACATCCAGACCACGAGAATTGCACAGTTTATAACATAGAGGCCACAAATGGTTCCTAGACCTCCCAAGCTGAACCAAACTAGCGGTTTGTCTTCCAGCCAAAGCAAAATGGTAGCGTCGGCTCCGTGCCACGTAGCAGTTCTGAGGTCGGCAATGTAGGATTCTAGCTGGGCTAAACTTATGACCTGTACGGTGGGTGACGGGAGCCAAGGCTGCTTTACTAAGTAGCTTCTTAAAACCAAACTTACGTACATGGAGCCAGTCGCCATCATGACGTTCCAGTACGGAAAAAGTCCAGCCCAGAAACGGGTAATGGAGTAGAATATGGGTAGCCTGTGAATCGCCGCTTTAAACGCCGGATGGCCTGCGGAGGAAATCATGAAACTGTTGGTCACCCCTGTCGGTATTGTCGCGCGGACCACGGCGGTATAAGGCGCATTCACGGATTCAACGTGATCAAAGGGGATGGGTTCTTTGCAAATAGTGTCCATGTCGAGATATATGCCGCCGAAATGATATAGAACAAAATATCGGATTGCGTCAGCACGCTGAATATTAAAGGCGTAGTTGTCCCAGTAATTTAGGAACCACGGGTAATTCGCGGCGATGAATTCGCGAGACCGCTCATGAGTCCATAACTACATATATGTCAGCATGTAAAGAAGAGAAGAAACGGAGAGGAGCTGCAATAGGGACGTAATGTAAGTCGTCGTTGGAAGCAGTCTACATATACACCCTCAGTTGACGTACCTTGTATTCAAAGTCGGCATAGGCGTTTTTACAGCTCGCGTGTGCCTCAGCCCATTTGGCGGGAATCGTCTCATTGGCGCAGGTCTGGTGTAGAATCCGAGGTATCAATCTGCCAGTCGAGTTGCGCACTTCAGTTCGCTCGCCTGGCGGGAAAATATCTCTGGGTCCAAATAGCTCGTTATTCCTCAACAGCAGGCTAATAAGAGGATGCAAGATGGCTAGCAGCAATCCCAGAACAACGAGGTCGAACAAGAGCAGGAATACTGAGGTCTTTCGAACAGCCATCGGACGGTACCAGAACTTTATAGGTTCCCAACCGCTGGTGAATGGCAGAACCGGTCTTTTTGCTAGACTTTCTTCATCGTACCCGGTTGGTTTACAGTGGGCTTCGTTGTTGCCTTGCGATTTAGCCGACATTTCCGAGAGATGCACCATGGGGCTGTGGAAGCGAGCGATACACGTAGGCGAGGCAGTCCTCTTGTAGGGCCATTTTATAATGTCTTAAATCTGTCGGAATGTTTCCAATTTATCATTCGAACTTCAATTCTGCAAACGGATGATGGTAACTTCCGGTTGGGGTCAAACGTTCCACGGCTAGCAATGTAGAAGATTACTGTAAGGGTGGGTCTCCCAACGGAGTTGGGAACACCTCCAGCTCTAACCTCGCATGGACAGCATATGCATTCCCTTGCAACCACTCCTTGCAATTTCCCTAGATTCTTCATGAATCTAGGCCCCTTCATTCATTCACTTGTTTACCATTCCAAATCCCTTCATTCATTCACTATTTCGGCTATTATTCTTGGCAATTCAGGCGCCTTGGCAAGCGGCCCTATTCATTATAAATAATGGCCGATTTCCCTTCCTTTATTAAAATCATGATCTTGTCTATTTTTTTTCATCTTGATTCACTCTCTTCTATTTTATCTTATTTAGAGTTACACTCGGGTCGGGTTGGGGCAGGTTGGGTATATTCTAACATAAAGTGTCTTGCTAGATCACCTATTACGAAGCAAAAGTAGAATAAAAAAGTTTAAATAATTCTAAAAAGTAGAAATTTCTAATTAGACTAGATATCTTTCTACAAGAAGACCAAAGTATCTAGGACCGATGAGCTAGAACAGGAGCCGCGTGACGAGGCGTGCGGGGTCTAGGGGAGGAAGAGGGACTGAGGGTCGACGATGCTGCTCCGGACATAGAATGTCAGCAGTTGCAAGAGACTAGAGAAGAAAGCACGTTTGAGACACTATCTCCGGAAGATGATCTCCTAGAAGAGCCCCTGCAATCGCAAAAGAATACAGTGGTAGAAACAGCAGAACTAGGATCGCCGATGCGTGAAGATGAAAACACGCTCAGAATGTTGGAAGGGCGTGTGATATCGGCTGAAGCATGGGGGCCGTTGAGGTCTACAAGCAGAAAAAGCGCGACGAGGGACAGAGAGAAGTGGAAACCATATGACCGAACACAACGTCGAGGCGACGTCGGAGTATTTCAAGCTCCCTATCCCACGGGGGTGGCCCAGTCTGGCAGACTGGGGGTTATGGTTCTGTCTTAACTATGGGAGGAAAAGTGGGTCGTCGCCACACTTGGAAGGTGTAGAGTGCTCCGATCGGCTTCAAATTTTGATCAGTTATAATAGACTATCCAATTGATCTCCGATTTGCTTCGGAGTAGAGTGTCGACACCTATATGGTGTCGATCCTCTAGGAGTGCGAGAGATCTATGCATAGCTTCTAAGGATTCCGTTACAATTATCCCCCTATCCGCTACGGGTGTCCGCACCCGTGGTGAAGCCTATAGAACGTAGCCTATTAAAAACCTAGTGGGAAAAGGTAGCTAGTTCTAATAGGGACTATAGTGATTACGTATAGATAGCGAGGCGATAGGAAAACGATAGCGTAATATAGAATAGTTATAGGCAAGAAGATGTCACGATTTGTCCTGTATCCGGCCAATTGGAGATGTCAATGACTCTGTATTTCCATTACCCCTATTTCCTGCTATTTATGAGGTCCATTCTAGTTACATAAGCTATGCCGGTCGGATCATCTATAGACCCGGTTTCATGCAGTATTCGTACGATATTTGTGACACACCCCCTCAGCGGCCTCAGTATCTCTATCTGAGCCGCTGGCAATGGCATTTACTAACGAATGATCAGGTGCCTGGAAGCTGTTCTCCGCTTCCTAATGCTGTGACCGGGTTCCTAGAAGCTTATCGAAGATGACATGCTATAGGCCAATTGGACCGCATTTGCTGACGGTTCTGCGGTCTCTTCAATAGCTTCATGGATCCATTTCCTCCATGCTGGATCGGCCGAGAGAGCATTCTCTGCTCTCTGTAGGTTCTCCTTATGCAGTCTGAACCAGTTGGGTCTAATTGCTTCATTTATAACAAAGCAGTTGACTGGATCGTGATGTTTTCCCCGTCCGCAAGGGCATGGTCTTTCTTCAAATGGGACCTGGAAGCTATTCTCCGCTTCCTGGTCCTGGTCCGCTTGTTGGAAGCTATTCTCCGCTTCCTGATGACCCTTCAAAGTGGAGAAAGACCCCCTTGGCAACGGCGACGGTGATAAATCGGACTGGCCAATCTCCCGATACGTTGCTCTGAATGATTCGATTAGATTCAGAGTATCGTACGAGGCTCCATTCATCACGATCTCTTGATATTTAGCTTGCCACCAGATTGGTAAGACCTCCTTGACTGCTTGCAAGAAGTCATGATTCGCGCTTCTAGCTTCATGAAGCTGTAGTTCTGCCACTTGCTCTCGGAGCTCAGCCCATGACGCAAGCCATTTCTCGATATCTCCAGTCGGTTTTTGGGTCGAGAAGGCTCTCCATTGCATCCGAACTTCCTCCTTATATGACTCCGAGCGCGCGAACCTAGTCTGTAAATAGACTAGCCGTTCGTACGGAGTTTCCAATGCGAAGATAGGGTCGCGGAGACTGCTATCTACGTAGGTGATGATGAATTCATTCACCTCATTCAGACCCTTCCGCTGCCGTTCATAGCGGTTAGTGTCAATTTTGTAGACCTCCAAGAGGTCTCTCCACTCTTTTTTAGCCTCCGAATCCGAGTCTAGCGGATACTCAGGCTGCCGTGGTTCTCGCAGAACCTTCGGACGAGAGGCTTTATCGGCATCGGGGTTGCAAAGGTCCCAGATATCCCGATAAATTGCGAATGCCTTCATCCTTTTATGCCATGCTCGCCATTGTGACGAGTCTTTCAGTTTATCGCCCTTCGTGGCGGAGAGCATCGATGTCAACTCCATTGCTGCTTCTAGTGCTCCGAAGCAGGTGTTCTCGGAGGTTGGTCGGATCGTCGAGGTCGAATGGGTTTCAGGGGTAGGTCGACGGCAAGGTGCTTTTCAGGATCTCCAGCCTAGCAATGGCTTCAAGAAATAGCAGATGTCTTCCTAATAGGTGCGAACCGGGCTCATAACTGTCACGATTTGTCCTGTATCCGGCCAATTGGAGATGTCAATGACTCTGTATTTCCATTACCCCTATTTCCTGCTATTTATGAGGTCCATTCTAGTTACATAAGCTATGCCGGTCGGATCATCTATAGACCCGGTTTCATGCAGTATTCGTACGATATTTGTGACAGAAGATTGCGGCCTAAGGCAGAAATAGGATAGGGCTAGAAAGCCTTAAGAATCCCTAATTAGGATAACGGGGGTCTAGTTGCATACGTAGTGTACTTGTTATAATAACCAAAGTGATCACAGTTAGATTGCGTGTTTGTTCTTACGTTTATTTGTTTAGGTTATAGGGTTTTTTTCTTTGTTATGATTCTACACCTATAGGTATAAATCCCCTATTGTTCACCTTCCTACTTCTTCTTTTCCTCACTATTTTCCACAATAGCGACACGTCCTTACGTCGCTGTCGTTCCCCTAGGGTTTCTCTAGGTTCTTACTATTAACTCTCTAGGTAGGTATAATAATCATTCCTATCACTAAGTCTAACGACACGTCGCTAACCCACTATTGTTTCGTCGTCGTTATAGTAGCGTTCTATCGTCTACGCGCTAATCATTATGCCTCCCCGCGTAAAAGGTCGAGGCCGTAGTAAGGGTCGGGCTTAGGCTCCCCCTACACCGTCTCCTCCCCGTCGTTCGCTAACCCCGTCTAAAACCGTGTAAAGAAGTAGGGTTCTAGTGTTTACAGGATAGAGCCTGTCAACTAGGTAAGATGAAGATGCCTGGAAGCGAACAATATATTGGAGGAATACAGAGACTGATTCTTGGAGAACCGCTGGGTTCTCCGGGGCAGACTATTTAACATGGGGGATCAGCGTTACGGTGAGCCAACGCTGACGTGTCGACACCTATATGGTGTCGATCCTCTGGGAGTGCGAGAGATCTGTGCATGGCTTCTGAGGATTCCGTTACAAACCGAGAGTGTGATATCTATTTCCGACGACGATGATAAGGATAAGCCTTCCTTTTCGCTAGTAGGACGCTCGGATATCGCTAGTACTAAGACACCTACTCCTAGTAGTCCTACTTCTCGTGGAATTACGACTATCTCCGGTCTCCGCCATGCCCTTACGGGTAGAACCTAAAGGAAGAACCGTCCCCTTCGCCCTATTGCCTATCTTCGGTATATGGCATAGTGTATGCACTGTTTCTAGACCTTCTTAGATAACTAGGATACTAGTAGGCCACTAGTGATCCCCTATTAGGACGATAGCTTATCGTTAAAGAGATGCCGTTAGTGCGCTAGCCGTAACAAGAATTACGAGCCCGTAAGTGATTCCTTCTAGATAGAGCGTTATAGTGGCGGCTAACCGGCGTTTCCCTATAGGTAAATAAGGGTATCCTTAGTGATACGATACGTTTATAGTGCATCCTTAACTAGGTTAAGCCCTTCTAGGACAAGGATAAAGAAAAGGAGATCTTCTATTTAGAAGATACTACTTTTGGCGAACTAGTATAGGCTGTCTAGGCTTTGCTTGCCGGTTTCAATATCCTTTTAGATAGTCACCGTAAATAGTTTGGTATTGCTTCGGACAAGAAGCTAGCGAAGGTATAGTGTTCTATTGTCGTTTCCTTAGCGTTTTACTAACTATTTGATAGGATATCGCTAAGGCTTATAAAGCGGTTGTCTATAACCGTCGTAGATTACTTTATCCTATTCCTATCACTCCTAGCATATCGTCGCTTCGCCGTCTAGTCGCTAAAGCTTCTACTTATCCTAGTGCCCGTCTTTCTAATAATAGTTACTATACTTAGGCTTTTGCTATATAGACTTTCCGTTCCCGTGTTTATAACATTGTTATTAACTAGGAATAGTATAACAATCTCACTAACCCCGATATAGAGTAGCTTAAGGCAGATGCGGCTAAGGATTTCCCCGTTATTGTCTAGTCGTCGGGTTACCGGTGTTTCGTTAGTTTATAGGAGGTTTTTATGCCGTTGATATTTTAAGGATAATTTTGCGTTTCTTAGTTTTTATGAAGATAGCGGGTTGCTAGGGTGAGCTAGTCATTTCGCTATATTTTCGCTAGTGTTTTGTGGTCGGATCGATGTTTTTCTAGGGTAATCTCAATTAATTCGACCTTTTCTTTTGCTTCTAGAATTTTGCGATAATACCTCTAGCATTTCCTATATCTAAGAGTGGCACCTATTAGTTATACTCGGAAGGCTATCCTTTCTATTTAACTAAGTAGTGTAGCTTATTCTAGAACTTCTTTTCGCCTCGGACCTCTTTAACCTCCTACTCGTTATCGTCTTCTAGCTCTAGCATAGGTAGAGTTTCACTATCGTTTCGCTTATGCTATTCTTAGAGTAGGGAGATTAGAAACACGTTATGAAGGCGGGAATATTATTCTAGTAGGGCTAGCCGGTACGCTTGTTTCCTAACTTTGTCGAGAATTCGGAATAGTCTAATAAAATTAGGAGCAAGCTTTCTTAATAGGCTTTTCAATCGAAGGTTACGGGTTGATAAGGCGACTAATTGTCCCCTTCGGAACTATATCGGTTTGTGGCGTTTATTATAGTGTTTCGCCTATGATTCGCTTGCTTTTCGCTATGCTTTTTAGAGTTTCGCGCGTAGTTCTTGCAACTTTTCTAGTCGTACAATAGTTGCTAGGACCTCCTCCCTAGAAGTGCCGTCCTCGGCACGTAGTTAAAAGTTTGGATTATAGCCGTATAGTGCCTTAAAGGGTGTGAAACCCTATAAGCAGAGGTGTCGAATGCTTAGGGGTTATCTTTCGATAAGGTAAGGCTTATATAATATATTATTATATAAGCGACAGTGAGGTGTAATAAGAGTCACGATAGTAGGCGACGGTGAGGTTATAAGGATGATTCAATTGATAGATAGAATAAAAGTAGATAATGGTTATTAGGTTTAGGACCCTTCTTCGAGGTCCTATATATAGCTAACCTTCTTACCTAATAGAACGGCGTAGAATTGCGTAGTTCTATAAGGTATTACAAATTATAGGTCAGAAGATCATTAATATAATAATCATTGATCAGAAGACTTATAGTCTTCGGATCATAGGAAGGTTATTAGGTTTAAACCATTAATAGACCTTCTAGAATATATTATCGAAGGCTATATTAATAGACCTTCTAGGGGTAATAGGTATTAAGCCTTTTGATAATAAGCTTAGATCAAGATAAGATAAGCTTAATGATACGCTTATACTAACATATGCCTATCGTAACCTTTATAGCACTTAATAGATATGTTCTATATAGGTCTCGCGGTCTAGCGAGAAGATTAGGATATCGTCGAGATACGCCACACAAACGATATCGAGAAGCCCTCTTAACGCCGTGTGAATATAATTCTGAAAAGTGGCCGGTATATTCGTAAGACTAAATAGCATAACTATATATTTAAAATGGCTATAACGAGTGCGAAAGGCGGTCTTCCACTCCTCTCCTTTATAGATCCTAATCCGATAATATACGTCTTATATATCGATCTTGCTAAAGAACCGCGCGCTAGCGAGCCGATCGAGGATCTCCGAGATAAGAGGAAGAGGGTACCGGTTCTTAACTAAGACCTTATTTAACCCCCGATAGTCTATATAGAGACGTAAACTACTATCCTTTTTAGGCACGAATAGGATAGGGGCCCCTACTAGGCTCTTTAAGGGTCGGATCCGACTATTTTCGAGATTTTTATCTATATATAATCGGAGCTCTCGAAGCTCTATCTAAGAGAGGGTAAATCGGGCTATACGGCGGCGTTTCACCGTCTTTTAGCTCGATAGTATAGTCTATTGCTTTCTAAGGCGGTAAGGTCTTGGTATTTTCGGGAGCGAATACGTCGCTATACGCTAGTAATTCGCTAGGAAGCCCCTTACGTGAAGTGGGGTCTTTTTGGTTATCTCCTAGAAGCCACACTTCCTTAGGAAGTTTCACCACTACGTATACGTACGCGTGGTTCCGGCATTCTTTCACGAATTGATAGGGGGTGGCTATCGAGTATAACGATATGATATACCACCACTAGCGTTTATATAGCGAAAAGTCGATATATTTATCTCGTATAGTTATTATAGAAAGTAGGACTAGGCTTCCTTCGAGACAAGGATCTCGATCGATAGCTAGGCAGCGCCTCTCGAAGGTACGAGTAGTTCCCCGTGAGTCCGTTGCTATGATAGGGACTACCCACACCCCGTAAGTAGGTGTTGACCTCTAGTTAATAGCTAAGATAATAACGCCGGTGAGTGGTGCACGACGAAGTCCGTATTACTAAGCGAATTAATAACTAACGATGTTAACCTTAGCTCCGCTATCGAGATCCGTATACGTTTCGATGTCGCCCTATACGGTAATTAGGATATAGAGGCGGCATACGGTCCTAATTGTTTCTTAAGGGGTCGGTGTTCCGGCTTCTACACCGACCCTTTAGCTTTTCCCGGGTGTACTAGTGCTAACTAGATGTAACGGCGTGGCTGATCCACGGGTTCAATTGTGCGTACTGAGTAGTATATGTATCGGTCCCAGGCATGTCAGCCTGACGGCTGACATAGTGGTCTTTTGGCCTAGTTGGTGAGACGTGTATTGACCTGGGTGCACTCCATTACACTAGACCCTAGTTGAATTCTAGGGGCATTCGTCCTTCTAGTGATCGGTTAAACCGTAAGTGAAGCAGCTATATAGTTTTGGTGGAGTTACGCCGTCGGTTCGTTAGCGATCATACGGCTTTACGCCGAATTCACGCCGGTTTAAATATAGTTTAATGTTTAGGTTTCGATCACCGCCTCGTCCTCGGAAGTTTCCACGGTTCTATCCTCGGCCCCG